TGAATTGGGCAACGTTGGAAATGGGGTCCGTGATTGAGCGTGATATCTCACGGCGGAATATGGTCGTGGTGTCTGATGGACTCGCTTTCCGGGCCAAGTCCGCTACAGAGATGCGCCTCTGACTGATCGTAGATGTGAGATCCATCAAGTTGTGCAGCAAGCTCATTGTATCGTCTGCAATTTCGACGAGCTCAAGCGGGTTTTTTGAACGGAGAAGAGACTTGAAAAGCCTACCGTCAACAAGGTCACCCACGTCACAGCCACCTTGGGTGTCTTGCAAAAACTCTGACCAGCCATACGAGTTTACTACCAGTAGACAAACATGAGCAAAAGGCGTAATCGAGCCGTCCAAGAAGCTTGAGCCAGCAGGTATGTTGGTCAGGTGCCGCTGCGATAGGGATAGCTGTGTCTGCAGCGCACTGTGAAGAAGGAAGGTGGCGGCACTCCAATCGCTCACAGCACCGATGGAAGCAAGGATCCCGATCGTGGTGGCTACGAGGTACAGTCGCTCGGAAAGCTTGGGAAGATGGCCCTGCCGGCGGTGTTTCTGCAGAGAATCGAATATCTCGCTCGAGAGAGCAGCCCCATTGCTCCTAACCTTAGAGTCTACTCCACTGCGTGGAACAGGAGCTTGTACTCGGGAAGGGGCTTCGATGATTGCCACGTTAACCTTTTACGTGCTATTAGCGTCGCAGACATCTCAAGAATAAAGATTTCCTGGCTTACCTGGGCTGATTTCCACTCGACACCGTCCATCCGCGCTATGGAAACCCCATTGTCAATCAAACCTCGACATTTCCGGCGCAAAGGTATTATTATGCGATGGTTTTCTTGACAGGAGAAGTCCATGGCGGACCCGTCGTCCATCATGATCGTCATGAGGTTCTTCTCCAAAAGAAAGTTGAGAAATTCACCGGAGTCGCTGGAACGGAACACTTGAACTCCAACGAAAGAATGCTGAGAAGCAAGATTTGCCTGGAGATGACGGATCGTCATTGCTCGAGCCAGTAGGTACTTGGGTCTGTGCTCGCCATCAGCAAATGGAGGCAGACACAGCTCAGCGTCTTCCTCGAAGAAGATCACCCAAAAGCGCCAATTCCTTCGGCGTAGCTTTTCAAGGAACGACTCGACAAGCCACATGCTGTGTAGAAGCTGATAGCCGTCTGAGATACATTAGCGTTGAGCGTCAAGGCATGGGACAGGCTTTACCCTTGAAGTCAAGTAACTTGTTTGAATAACAACGTAACAACAATGATTCCCCATCGACACACAGGCGCTCCCCACAGAATTCTCCAGGGATGTCTAGCCGATGCAAGACTACTTTTCGACGATAGTGATCTCTCGCGTTCCTCGTTTCTCTGTCAAGAGAGAGTGCCATATTCAGAGCCAGCCAGCGTATGGCAAACACACAGTTGCAAAGGTTGGTACGATTTATCGCTCAGAATACAAAGAACATATATATGTCACAGCCACCGTTTCATATTTTCCAAGGTCAATAATTTACTGGCAGCAAGGGATTAGCGTTGCATATTATCGCGAATTAAGTAGAACACCGACCCGTCGGTTTTATACCAAGTTCAGCTGCATAGCTTTCGGCGGTAAGGTGCATACCTGTTCAAACATGCGACGAGTACGTATTCATTTCGCGCGTACAGTAGTGTCCCTTGCACAACAAGAGCATACCTCCCAGTCGGTTGTACGTGCGATTCATCTTTTACAATGCGACAAATGGACCAGTCGGCATGACGGTGGTTTGAAATTTGCAGATGGATTTAGATGAAGGCTTACAACGGCAATGGTTGAGCTAGAAGGATTCTTGTAAGTGCGGTAATATTTCGGATGGTTCATTCTCACAAAGGGGTAAAGCGGCAATTGAATCAAAATTAAGTTTGCAGGGGACATGAACTAGAACAAATCTATCATTGAGTCTAGTTCGGCTGGCACTGCCGGCCGCATGCTTGATGTAGCTTAACTTAGCCGGCAAGGTTTGGATGGACACCTACTCTTATAGGAAAGTCCCCGACTGCACGCATACCGAGTAAGAAAGGCTAGTGAAAAAACCGGGAATGCGTAAGATTTTTGTTCTAATGTGGAGCAAAGACACGTTGTAAATAATCAACAGCATCCGTGTCTATAGCTCAACTTGGGTTTAGGCGCGTGCCGCCGCTTCAAATTCGCCTATATGCAGCATTAAGTTCCGCACTCTGACATTCCCAATTGCTGAGCTATGTGTTTTTAATGACTTCATTCGATTCCTGTACTGTCTTGTTTGGTTTTTTTTTTTTATTCTTCCCAAATAGAAGAGAATTCGCGACTGAGGAATTTGAAAAATCTACAATCTATGCTTTCCCATCATACTTAAAGCCGCTTTACCAGCTCCAGACAACTGTCATTCAAGGCGTTCCCTCATCTTCGTTCTTCAAGCCTGTCGTTACTTCAGCCTGTTCTTTTGACACATAAACCAACGAAATCATTCGGTCATGGGTATTATCATGTCATTTCAAACAATCCTCTTCTTTGCGGTCATCAGCTCGACTGTGGCTGCCTTTCCTCAATCTGGTCTTCCGCAATCTGGTCTTCCGCAATCTGGTCTTCCGCAATCTGGTGTTTCCACTGGTCGCACTGAACCTTCCGGTGTGTTTGAGCTTCTCTCGGAATTGAATCCACTCGCAAGCCCTAAAACTGGTGCCGTATTGGGTCAACCTAGCTCTAGCCCAAGCATCAGCCCGGAAGCTGGGCCTTCAGCTTCCTCCGCTCTTAGCCTGGCAGTCGCAGCTCCGAAATTTGCAATGAATGATACGGTTTCAGACGCGACAGCTACAGCTCCAGACGCCACAGCTACAGCTCCAGACGCCACAGCTACAGCGTCAGATGCTTCCGCGCTCCCTGACACATCTGCTTCTGCCACAGGTACCGCTGCGGCAGCTCCAGCTGCTTCCTTTGCTGCTCTTGCGCCCTCGCAAACCGCAGCGGCTGCGTTTGCTGCATTGCCGTCCCCTCAATCCTCGACGACCGATCTCCATCAGAAAATACTTAGCGGCCTCCTGACGGCATTCATGCAAATGTTTTCTCCCTCGAGATCATCCTCATCCTCTTCCAATCCGCTTGCTTCCATCTTCGGCGGCGGCAGCAGCAGCAGCAGCGCAAACTCTATTTTCGGCCGACGGTCCGGGTACCGAAAGCGAGACTTGACGGCGTCCCAGACAGGCGCAATCAGCTCCATGAGCCGATACTTTGCCAGTCTTGTCCGGTCGATCTTGGCGGTATCGCCTACGGTCGTTACGAGCGGGCTATTCTCGTCGGCCGCGGCGGGCTTCTCGCGCGACCCTGCCTTGGCGGTGCAGCTTGCCTACCGAGCCTTCGTGGACGCGTTTCCGGATGCGGAGAAATCCCAACTCGACGAGCTGATGCGACTATTCATCGACATGATTTTCCCATCATCCACTGTGGCTTAGGATTGCACCTCAACCTTATACATCTGAACTGCGCTGGGCTATCGTCATGAGATTGTAAACAAGGCTTGGGCAGTATTAGGCTGATAATTAATGGCATAAGTTGGAGTGTTAGACATAAAAGACTATAAAAAATCTTCTTCTGCAGAGTGTATTTTAGATGGAATATATTTAGTTTATTATTACCTTGCAGAGGGTGAGTGTGCCTCAGGTGGCAACATCTAAGAGACCTCCGGGCAAAGGTAGGTATCACGCTCGGACTTTCGGCCCTGTGTGACCACCGTCATTTCGATAACGTCACGTAATTTATTACCTTAGATAGTTTCTTCTTATGGATTGCGAAGGCAATCCGTACAGCCTCTTGTTAGCAATCCGACATTTTTCTCTGCCATCCCAACCAATCCGTGGAGGAATTATTCGCCTCCCGTGTAGGCGCATTTGGCTCGCTCTTGAGGAAACGGATCAAACAGGATGAGCTTCAGAGAGCTTTCGACGAGTTGGTGGATTCTATGCAGGCCAAAATCACGAGGTCCTCAACAAAGCTTGGGAACGGGCCAGATCCATTCTCAAGCTGCCCCCGAGAAAGAGCGCAGCTATGCTGCGAAGCTGTTCGTGTCTGCTCTCAAGGCTCCGAGCACCGTTATGGAACAGCAGAGAAGGCTGCTCAGGAACGTCTTCGACCCAGCGCTTAATTATCCACGCAGGGCTCTCGTGGCTGTAGACAAAGAGCTCAATTGCAACAAGACTGCCGCCAGTGTTGCATTCAAGTGGGTTAGCAGTGTCTTCCATCACGGAAATCCTGAGGAGGAGATGGCCGGCGATGGCCACGGTATGAATATCATCGGCGACGCTTCGGCTGGGCTGGATTTTGGGGTCATACGTCTATCGTTCCAAAGACGAACAGCGGCTAGACAGTTTGTAACACATCTTACTAAGATGTGAGGCCAGCGACAAATGCCTTATTTATGGAAAATGGACTCAATCAATTTTATCATGCTATTAGACGAGCCACTTAGCGTAGTTATTTGCTTCGAGACAAATACTCGGGCGACATCCTACGAGCGCCGGTTATATGATACATATTATAATAAAAACGGTAGAAGGCAATCTCTATTAATATACATAAACTTATAAAAAGTAGAGAACTAGTATTACGGTATAGTGTGAGACATAGGTGCACTGAGGCAAAATAGGGAGTTCACTGCTGATGGAAACAAGAGGACTGAACTGCCATCGAGACGAATCCTTAGGGGGGTTTGGTCGGCCTCTAGAGAAGCGTAAGAAGAGACTCGTGTGTCAAGGTCCAGCACGGGCCTGACAGGAGAGTCGCATGCTCCTCGCAGGGGCAGGGGGCTGAGCGGATGCCTCAGGCAGAGGCCCGGCGCCCGTGATCCTGACAAATGTAGAAGCTACTAGACCCTGCATATATTTACGGCAATTCGCACCTCTCCTTATTTTTCCATTAAAAGTTGTTAAATGAGAAGTTGGTGAAGATATTCCGTTCCCTCTCTATTTTGTTGAGCGCCGCGCATACCCCGTTCCAATCCGATGCCAAATCAAGTATTCGTCAACAAGTAAATTTCATTCAAATTAATGCGTAAAACGCCGGCGTTGAAGCAACACATTTCCCTTCTCATCCTCTCCAACGTTCAATAACAGCAGAAGCTGCTCTGCATCCTTATCAGAGATCGAGTCTGGCGAATATCACCACCCTGCGAGGAGACGTGCGCAGCAATTTGACAGAGCCCTACCGCAGGGAGAATCGAAGGTTCGAAGAGAAGAATGGCTTGCAGGTCAAACGAAACTGGCCGAATCAATGGAGGCTCTTGTTGCGACCACGCATTGACGTAAGAGAGACTGTCGACGGCGACCTTGGTGACGACGGCAGTGAGCTGCGCGAGGAAAGCAGAGAGACGGGCCGACTCAAGAAGCGCGTGGTGCTCAGGTCCATGGGCTTCTGCGGCTATTGGCCCGCGGTGCTGCGGCTCTTTGCAGCCCAGCAGATGGCATCGGTCGCCGCAAATGCGTGCATCCGGAGCTGGTCCGGCTCTTACACTCACAGCGAGTCAGACGTCTCGACATTCATGCTTGACGCGGGCAGTGTCTCTCGCTGGTTCCCCGTCGTCGGCCAGACAAACAGCAAGGTATCTTCACACCCGGGGACAGCCTACTACCTCGGCATTTACGCGGGCCTAGGATTCGCCTTTATGGCGTTGACGGCTCTGCGCGAGAACGCCGTGTTCGCCGGGTCCATGTTGGCATCGCGGAAGATGCACCTCCGCCTATTCGAGGCCGTGGTGCACGCCAAGATGCGCTTCTTCGACGCTACGCCGTTTGGGTAGGTCGTGAGCCGCTTCTCGAGGAATATGGAGTCGCTCGACTAGGAGCTCGCGGCGGCGGTAGTAGGCGTGGCGTACTATACGGTATCGCTCGCGGTAATTCTCGTACTCGTTAGCGTGATAGTGCCGCGCTTTCTGGTGGTAGGGCTCGCCAGTATAGCAGCCGCGCTGGTGCTGGGAAGGGTGTATATAGGCTCGGTAATGGACCTTAAGCGGCTCGAGTTGACGCGGTAGAGCCCGTTATACTAGTACTTGGGCGTAGGGGTCGCAACAAGCGCAAGCGGCCATTTTGGACCTGCTTGATCGGATTTTCAAGATCAAGCGCTTCTACATTACCCCGATTGATTGCAAGCGCTTGATAAGCGGTTCTTAGGGGTGGTTACCTACTATAATAGGCTTAGTGTTACTAATTTTATATATCTTAGTGGGTCTAGAGAGGGAGGAGGGGGGGTAGGGTAGAGGCGGGGGGCCTTGATATGCACGTACCATATTCCAAATTAGGTATAAACTAAGTCTATTATAGTAGAAATCTGGCTTGCAAGCGCTTAACAAGCGTTCAATCAATCTAAGCGGAGTCTTAGCGGATTGATTGATCAAATCTGGAACCCCCCCCTGTGCTTGTAAGCGGCCACTGAGAGGCCGCTTGCGCTTGCAAGCAGTTTAATCTGCGACCCCTGCTTGGGCGAGACACTATCCGGGGTTAGTACCAGTAAAGAAGCGGATTTACGGCTAGAACGGTGGTGTAATCGACTTCGTCGACTATAGCGCGTACTACGGCGACGGGCGCGCAGCCGTACTGTAGAACCTACGGCTGAAGATCCGAGCGCGAGAGAAAATCGGCGTGGTCGGGCGTACAAGGGTAGGTAAGACGTTACTCGCGCTCGCACTTATACGGGCGCTAGAGGCGGCGAGCGGCTGGATTCTACTAGACGGCGAGAACGTATGCGCAATGCTACTATAAGAGTTGCGAGAGAAGGTTGTTATGGTGCTCTAAGGTGAGCGAAGTAAAGAGGTAGCTATGGCGCGTACTGACGCGATTAGATGCGGTTTTGTTTAACGGTAGCGTACGTAGCAATCTGGATCTAGCCAACCTGTATACCGATGCTGAGCTGCGGGACGCATTGGGTCGTGTTGGCCTGGAGCACTGCGAGCTGGCGGCGCCCGTCGGCGATTCTGCCCGCATCCAGGACAGTCTGCGCGCCCAGACCTGTACTACCATCACCGTAGCCCATCGCTTGCCCAGCGTTATCAATTGCGACCGTGTTGTGGTGCTCGAAGCAGGCCGCGCCGTCGAGATTGGCTGCCCGCGCGAGTTGCTGGCCGAGCCCGGCAGCGTGTTTGCCGCCCTTTGGCGAGCGCAGCAGTAGTACAGAAGCTGCTTCATAGGCGAGCTTGGTCAGACGAGCATGGTATAAAGGCTCGTATCCACGGGGGAGAATATTAGTCTTCGACCTCTTCTTTACTTCTACGAAACAAGTCACGTGAGAGATGCGCTACCAACGCATGGCAATTGAGCAAGAGGCGCCCGAGGAAGTTGGCGCCACAATCCGATACAACCTCTCCGAAAGCGCCGTCGCGGACCAGACGCTGTCGTCACTGGCTATTTCAATCCCCGAACATCTCGTCCTGACCTACACCGAGCACCTTGGCAGCAGCAAGCTCCGAAGCCTGATTGCGGCGGGCACCACCACCACCATCACACCCGACAACATCTTGGTCACGGCGGGGGCCTCGACGTCGCTTTTCATTGTGGCGACGGCGCTGCTGACGGGCGCAAGCGACCACGTCGTCATCACGCGGCCCAACTACGCTACAAACCTCGAGACGCCGCGTGCCATCGGGTGCGACGCCAGCATTGTGGATCTGGAGTTTTCGGAGCGGTTCCGGCTCGACGTCGCGCAGGTGGCGGCCGCCATCCGGCCGGACGGCACCACCAAGTTGATCAGCATCTGCTCGCCCAACAACCCCACGGGCACCCTGTGCGACGCGGCACAGCTGCAGGCGCTGGCAAAGCTCGCGCGGGAGAGGGGGTGCTATCTGCTGGTGGACGAGACGTATGCAGATCTGACCTATCGCGACGACGGCCAGCCCATCCCCGCAGCCGCATCCCTGGGCGACCACGTCGTCGGCGTCTCGTCCATGTCCAAGGTCTACGGCGTGCCGGGCATTCGGGTCGGGTGGCTGTCGACGACCAACAAGGCGCTGATGGAAACGTTCTTGGCGGCCAAGGAGCAGATCAGCATCAGCGGCAGCGTGTTGGACGAGCTTGTCGCCGAGCAGATCCTCGCGCGCCGGCAGGAGCTGTTGCGCAAGACGCGCGTTGAGATGCGCCGCCGCCGCGCCCGCGTCGCGGCGTGGGTCGATTCCGAAGCCGAGTTGCTGGATTGGGTGCCCCCCGAGGCTGGCGTCATGTGCTTCATCCGTATGCGGAAGGTCCCCGTTGGCGGGACCGCAGAGTTTTACCGGAGGCTGCTGGACGAACACGGTGCATATGTAGGGCCTGGCAGGTGGTTTGAGCGCGACGACACCTACTTCCGGCTGGGATTCGGGTGGCCGACCGAGGATGACTTGGAAGCTGGGCTGAAAGCCATCTCTAAGGCTCTGCGGGGATAGGTAGTTTGGTGACATAGTAATTTCTACTCGTCAAGCGGCAACAATCAGTCCGCCCTGTCCAAGACTCCTGAAACAAGTCTCCCCAGCGAGCCCATCACCCATAGCCCTAGGCCAAACAACCCCGCGGCTGCGAAGAAGGGAATCCTCCCAAGCGCAGTTCCGCCATACCGGATTCCGGCCGAGAAGGCCGAGCTCCACAAGACGGTGCCGGCCAGCCCAGCAACCGTCTCCACCATGCTAATCCCCATGTACAGCTTCCGCACGCCCTCGTCACTGCCTACGGCCTCGGTGACCAAGGAGCGGAGCGAGTCGGTTAGCCCTGAGCCGAGAGAATAGACGGCCAGAGAGAGAATGTGGAATGCGCCGAGGGGGGAGATGGCCACGCAGAGGATGCCAATGATGTTGAACAAGAGGCTGGCCCTGGCGATGCCGAAGTCGACGAGCTGTTGAGAGCCCAGGAACGGACGGAGGACCTTGCGCGAGAGCAGTGGGATGAGTAGCAGCACAGCGCCGTTGACGACAATGGAGAACGAGGTGATGGCGTTGGCCTCGGCCAGCGTGTAGTCGAACCGCTTGACCGCCCACTGCGGCAGCGTGACGCGCACGTATATCGCCGTCTCGTCCAACAGGTAAATGAGCAGCGTCGCGCGTGCCAGCGGGTCTCGGAACAGATCGACCAAAATACTGGATGAGCGGGTTGCTTCCATCACCACGGCCCCAAGCGTTTGCGCAATCGTCTTCGGCTCCGGCAGCTCCTCTTCCTCGTCTTCTACATCCGTCAACAGCACGTTTTCGCCGCCGTCTTCGCCCTGCAGCAGAGGTCCATATGATGACGCTTCAAGCTCTTCGACTTGACCGGACGGTGCGAGCCCAAGGGAGAAGGGAACGGCAAGAGCGCCAAACCCTGCCCCCAGGAGTGATAGCAGCCATATGTCGACATCTAGCAGCACCGCGCCCAGAGCAGTCCCCAAGAAGTTCATCGCCAGGTTCAAGGTGCTGACTTGATACAACGTCTCGCTCCTGTAATGATCAGACGCAGCAAGAGAAAATGGGTAGGTTGGTGGGATCCTACAAGAAACCAGTTTTCACCGCTTCGGCGATGTAGGTATACAGCAGAGCATTGCGGACTGGCAGCCCGCCTCCAATCAGATCGAACAGTCCCGTAAACCATATCATGCGAATATTGAAGAAGTTGTGAAAGAAACCTGTTTTCTCTCAGCTCCCATGTCAGTAGATTTCCTAACGTAAAAGTTCACAGGCACTTTGCTTACACACGGCCGTCGAGTAGACGGCTCCTGCTGTCATACCACATAGGTTGAGCAACAGGATCTTGCGCTTGCCCATCATGGGTATCAGACGAGTGTACGCCGGAGTCGCAATGAGGCCTGATCAGTCAAAACGAGAGAAAAAACAGCCCTTCCTGCTTCGCTGACTTACCGCAGACCATCGTCACCACTTCGAACAGTCCAGAAACTAGCGAAACGTCGGCTTGCATGGCGTTGGACTTGCATCGCGACTCGTCGACGCTCCCGTCCGGCCCGACGAGCACAGGGTCCTCGATCTCGAAGTACGCGCGACAGAGCGCCTGCTCGATAAGGAACAGTCGCGCGCTGCGCAGGATCGAAGTGCCCAGTACCGCGACGGACATTATCACTATCGCCGGCCATCGCGGTGGCGCCGCGATGCTGTGGGTGGAGTTCATATTTCTTACCTTCGCCGATGATGTTTTTCGGGGATCGGCGAGCTTTGCTGCCTGCTCAATCTGCAATGCATAACGGCTAGGGAGGGAGCGGGATGGTAGGAAAGGAAGGGCTGATTACATAGTAATGGAAGTCAGCGGTAACATCTGGCATTGGCTCGGTTTCTGCTGGAATGTTGATGATAACGTTTGTGTAACAACTTTTTATATTGGTGCGACTACTGACACGCCATGCGTACAAGAGATCGCCGATTGCGCAGCCGCCGAGATCAGTACGCGATGTGCCAAGAACCGGGGTCGGGAGCACCCGCATGGTGCGATGCAGTAAGAAAGCCAGGACCACCTCCGTACATCAAGAAGACCCATGCAGCAAACAGAGCCCTAAGCGTGCCCCTCTCTCTCAAATCCACCTCCCTCATCGGCCTTTTTTGATTGCACTCTCCGGAAGCGAATCACGCATTCCAGCGCCCAGGGCACGGCGTCATGAGTGCTGCATTGGCTCATTGATTCTGGCGTCGACGACGCCGTCACGGTGCTCTTGTACTCGAGATACAAGGCCGCGATGAGCATCTTGATTTCCATGGTCGCAAGAGCCTTGCCAAGGCAGATGCGCCCACCGTAGCCGAAAGGAACGAGCCGAGCCTCGCGTGCCTTGTGGGTTGACGCATCCGCCCCGAGCCAGCGTTCGGGGGCGAACTCTTCCGGATCCGGAAAATATTCCTCGTCGCGGTGCAGAGAGAGGACTGAGCTCGTGGCGATGGCACCCTCCGGCAGCAGGACCCCAGATGCCTCATAGCCTCCCTTAGGGACAATGCGCTCAGACCGCCCGCTGGACGCCGGGTACAGACGGTAGGCTTCGCGCAGGCAAGCCTCCAATGCGGGAGCTCGGCTGTTGATGTCGCTAAAGGACACAAAGTTGTTGCTTTGTAGGGGCAGGGCGCTTAACTCTTCCCGTATCTTCAGCTGCCAGTAAGGGTGCTCACTCAGCAGCCATATGAGATACGTGGCCGTTACCGCAACAGTGGCCTCGGCGGCGTTAATGTTATCGAGGACCTCAGCGGCGACGAAGGTGCGGTCGAGGAGCTTTCCATCACGATCGCATCGTTGCTGCAGGAGCTGGCGGAGTAGAGAAGGGGAGCGGCAAAGAAAGGGGTCATCCATTGCCTCCGAAATGCGCAGTTGGCACCAATCTGCCAACTCGTCGTCTGCCAAAAGGAATCTCAGGCAAGGAATCCACCGTCCGAGGGGCCGAGACAGCCACGAGAATACGATCGGGAAGCGGACCCGGCACGGGCCGGCGAACTGCAGCTTTTTGAGGCTCTTGAAAATGACACGTTCCGGGCACGCGTGATCGACGCTGCGCGTGCTGTGTTCGCGACCGAAGACGAGATAAGTGATGATATCCAGAGCGTACCAGTCCGTGAGACTGTACACGTCTACCTCGCCGTCACTGCGCTCAACATTGCCAAGAACTGCCCGGCAGCGGTCGTAGACGAATCGTTCGAGCTCCGGTAGCTTGTAGATGGTCGACGCCTGATAGAATGCTGACGTAAACCGGCGCTTTTCACGATGTTCCTGGTACGGTTTTGTTGCGAATACAGACCGCTGACCGTAGCCTGTGAAATGGTCGAAGTAGTTACTCTTGGCCCATCCCTGTGTCGCCCCGTAAATCGCTCTAGTCCCCTCCAGCGACGCTATCGAGACCTCGTTGGGTGAGATGCAGACCACGGGCCCGTAGCGCCGGTGCCACTCGAGGATTTTGTAGTTGCGGCGACATCGAAGATCGTAGAATGCCAACTGCAAGCCGGTTATCTTGTTCATCCAGGGACCCGGGACATTACTCAGCCGGGCGCGATGAATCAGTAATCCACAGGCTAAGAGCAGGATGACGGCTAAGGAGATTCCAAAGATTGGCGGGCAGCCTTTGATCAAAGACACAGCCGCCGACACTAACATAGCTGCAAGTAGTACACTTCCACCTCGTAGGAAAGTAGGGCGGGCTCGTTTCTGTTCGTTTGAACTCTCCAAGTAGGCCACGGCATGAAGTCCATTAAATATATCCCAAGCGCCGTTTACTACGTACTGTCTCCGAAATGCTGTTGGATTCAACGACGCGGCAAAAGACTTGGCTTTACTCATCCCCTGCATCCCATTCTGCGGGGTAGATCGTGCGTTATTCATCTGCCGGCTTGTAGAATCGCCGGTGAACACGGCTCTCTTGCCTACTAGATGCATAAATGGCGTCACGTATTCACGTTGCAATTGTCGGTGTGGACTTGAACCGGTGGGTGATCCGACAGAGAGGGATTATTGGCCAAGAGCCATCTACGCTCCAGATTTAGCCACCGCTATCGGAATATCGTTAGGTGCAGTCAGCGAGCTATAGACGCCGGCAGGTACACTCGTAAGCAAGGGCGTAAAACTAATCACGAATACTACAGAAGAGTGCGAGATGTATGCTCGGGGTGATTATGTGATCACTAACTCGTTTTTTTTGAAAGTGCTAATCGGTACACATAGCTGAACCGAGAATTCTCACTGGCCAGCGTCATGCTTTCTGTTTGAGGCACTGAATGGTCAAAATGATTGATTTATTGTCCGTTCCGGCTCCTGAAGACAAATAGCAAAAACCCTAGAACCAATCCGAAATCCTCTACCCTCGCGCATGCAGGAGATCCATTCAAGCACTGCTGCCGTTTGCGTGAGCACTATCCAACTAGCTCTTCCGCATACTATCAGAGCTGTTTTAGTCTCGGATATGGAAAGCTGCTCCCCAGTCACATGGAACACCGTTGCCATGGATGTTTTGGCAGTCTGCAAGCTCGACATCAAACCGACGGAATACCTGTGCATTGTCAATGGTACAGCTTCAATGGTTCAGGGAGGCATCAAATAACACACTTCTGCAATGGATTTCCACAACTGAATAGACGCCACGTGCCTTCCGAGACATCTCCTCGCCCCGTAACCAAACACAAAATCAAATTTGTCCATCTTTCTTAGTTTATCCTCCGACGCTTCCAGCCAGCGGGCGGGTCTGAACGTGTTGCTGTCTTCGCCGTATAAATTCGTGTCACGGCCCACGATCCACGCACTCGTAGAGACCGAAGTGCCAGGAGGAATATGTCTTCCATGAAGATTCAGGCCTGTGTCGGGGGGCGCTTTGCGGGGAATCTGCGCCACAGAAGGGGTGTAGCGTAACGATTCGCGGATACAGGCGGTGAGGAAGGGTAGTTCAAGTGCTTGGTCGTAACTGATCATGGCTGTCCGCGGAGGAATTTTACCCGTTTGTTCAGCATGGTCGAGTTCATTTTGAAGACGATGCTTGACATCGGGATTGCGGGCGATGTGAAACACAGCCAAGGCAACATTGAGCGAAGTGGTTTCAGATCCAGCTTGCCTAGCTCATGATGTTAGCCGAGCGTTATGATAGTTGGAATCGGGCGGGAACCGACATTGCAGTGAGTATTTCGGCCTTGACGTCAGACATGCTCATTGCGGAACCATCTTCGTCACGTGCTGACAAAAATATTTCTAGTAGACTTCCCTCAACGAGGTCCATCTTTAGCTCACGATCCGGACCTACAATGGCACCAATAAGCCTGTCTCGCACCCCCATAACAGCCCCTATACCCCAGCTATCAGTCGGGCGAACCATGAACAAGTACCGCCCAACCCTTGTGTTGCGAATATACCAAGATACGTTCTCTTGAACTGCCAAGAATTCACCGAGCCATAATGTCTCTTGAAACTTCTGTATCAAGCCATGCACGTCTCGTTCCTGGGTCAGAAACCCAAGGGGTCGGCCGAAACAGAGCTGAGTGACAACGTCGAAGTTGAACCAACTTTGAGCCACAGATTTGGTCAGCACTTCTTATTCTCAGCAGCCCGTGCCATTCCTCATCACTTACTGCAGATGGTACAGAGAGTCTATGGTGACTCCCTTCATAGCGGTCTTTGTGAGAACCCCCACGAGTTCCTTCAAGCGGAGGTCAATCTCGCTTTCGAAGGCCCTCATCCTCTTCATGGAGTACTTTGTTTCACTCTCAAATTAGCCACGAGGATCCGATCTCAATCACTGAAGCCAATTTGCAGGTCTCACCGCATGACCAATTCTCTTCTTCGATGCAACGTGATCCTTGTGGTTCAGCATCGTAAAGGTGCTCATCGACCCGAAGTTGGCGGCATTGAAATTCGTCTTATCAGCCTTCATGTGATAGATGGTAGGGATGAGCGTTGGGTCATTTGTGATGACTCCATTAGGGCTGTATCGCACGAGGGGCCCTTGAACCATGCCAACGTTAATGATACTGCATTTTATAAATCGAAAGCTACGTACGCACCGTATTTTTCATGGAGGCGGGCTTGGTTGGCCTGTTCATCACCATGAAGGAACCAGTATGTACGATACAGGCTGGAGATACGACCGAGGAAAGGGCCGGGGACCGTTGAAAGAGGGTGAAACCAGACCCTGTGGGCAATGATACACACCCTCCACAGAAGAAAGAAAACAATTCCGAGGATGAAGAAGGACATCCTGACTCAAGATGCAGTATTTGGGCGGTTCAAAGGAGTAATTGCTCATACAGAGTCAAAACAATAGCTTAGAGCAGCAAGCCACTGTCCAGATAGAAAGCACTTAAGTATAGAATATCAGAAAACACTGAAGAACTTACGGTCAATAACACCCCTAGATCATCGAAGATCTTAATACTGTCTATTTACCAAACACAGCTGAAGGCGTGCATTTTTAATGTCTTTGAGAAATTCTACTACATTAAGCTGTGGCATCGTGTAATATGTCTGCATCTGCAAGTTTGCCTTCAACATGAGCGATTTCATCTGTGCAACCCCGCGAACTATAATGTCTAATCGGAAAACATTTTGATAGTCTAGTCTTGGCCGGAGTGTTACTGTTTTTGGTTAAATTCCGACGATGAAAATGTATGACGTAATATGTGCATGCACACGGAAGTTAGCCCTGGCACACTGGTATTCGTACGATTCCCGAAGGCTGCGATGTCAGGGCTAGAGTATTCCGATAGCCTAAAGTAAGCCGGAGCTTTACCAATTCTAGTCGAATCCCGATGATAGAATTCAATCAAGTATGATATACATGTATCTGCAAGTTAGCTTGGCGATATTCGTACGGCTCTCGTACATTCCGACACCAGAACGGAAATCACTCCGACGGTCTAGAACTAGCCGGAATTTTGCCGCTTTTGGCAAGACGCCGACGATGCAAACCATCCATTCGCTTTCACATACACAGGGCTTGGATTTGCGCTTGATATGCAGAGGCAAGAGTTCTGCGGCTGCATGGTTGAAACTCTATCCATCTCGATATGGACGAGCCTCCTTGGCTGCTCAGCCACACTCTGAATGTGGATGCCTCTTCCGTGCTGCAGTTCGATTGAGTAACTATGCATAGAGATGGCGTAGAGATGCATTCTGTACATATTCATGGCCTCGACATTGTAGTACGTCTTACCTAGAAGTTAACCGCTTGGAAACCCTTTCCAGTGACTTTATCCTTGTCAACTCAGCCGCGGGTGTTCTTGTGCCTCGTTTCTGCGCTTAAATAAGTATAGAGTCCGTTTAGGTGGGAAATACTAACAATAAATTAGGTGCCTCAATATTTTCTACGTGTTACAATGTAAGTAGTCTCTGAAAGAAGCACAGCAGACACATTCTCTGCATGCATCCGATGCTAAAGGCACAGACCGCACTGGAAAAAGAACGGCATCATACTCTAACACTACAGTCATAGAATGAAAACTGGTTCCGATGGCTTGCAGCGTGGGGTTTAGCATTCTAATGCCGACATTCAAGATTGCACACCGCTATCAAGATCAGCGGGGGATGTCCGCAAGCTCGAAAGCACTTGGTCCGATCTACGGAACGCCTGCAGCAATTAGATTTGGACGGTTACTACGAACAGCTAGGTAAGTTGGACCACACGCATCTCTACTGCTGTTGCTGTGGGGGAGGGGGGGTTGCATCAAATGGCAAAGGCCACCAGCCAGCACCAGAACCAACGCTGCCACTTTCCTTCAGTTTCATAAATTGCTTGTTCCCGCTGGTCCGAACTCTACACGGAAGCATCATTTTCATCTTTGCCAGCGGTCCATGATGCTGCTGCATCAATTGTTCGAGCAACAAGTTCTCCAGCACCCCGAGCGGGTTGCAGTCGAGTTTCGCGACAGAAGACTCACTTATGGCCATCTCAATGATTCTGCAAATCGGCTAGCTGCGTATATCAGATTTACCGGTACTCTGAAGTCAGGCACGGTGGCGCTCAGCCTGGACAAGGGGCCTCTGGTTGTGGTAGCTGTGCTCGCAGTGCTCAAGGCCGGGCTGGCATGGGTGCCTCTACCTACCGATGCGCCCCGACTGCGCATTCAGAAAATTCTGGAAATTTCTCAAGCTGGTTTGGTGCTAACGTCTCAAGATACGTTACACCTTACTGATGGTCTGACCACAAACCTCGTACTTGACGACTTGGAGACCGACAGAAAGATTCAGCAGCAAGCATCCGCGAATCTGCCTGCAACAGTCAGCCCAGATGACCTCTGCCATGTCATATTCACCTCAGGATCAACTGGTATCCCCAAAGGCGTCATGATCGAGCACAGGGCAGTGTTTCACAATGCCCGCGTTTTGGCGGAGTTGTTTGCGCTTCACGAACACACTAGAACACTGCAATTCGCAGCATACACCTTCGATGTCTTTGGTCTCGACCTCTTCATGACGTTCTTTGCAGGTGGATGCCTGGTCATGGGTAACGTCTCGGACATGATGTCCGATCTCACAGGCTTCGTGAACCACACCCACGTCAACTACGCGCAGCTTACACCTACGGTGATTTCCCTCCTGGACCCGACAAGTGTACCGTCCCTAGAAGTCCTGGCCAGTTCTGGGGAGCCATTGACGGCGGAAATTGTCCAGCAGTGGCGCCATCGGGTTCGGCTCATCAATGCCTATGGGCCGACCGAGACCATCGTTTGTACCGTTCAGGACATGACTGCAGGCGATCTAGCCGATCCACAGATCATTGGCACTGCTATCAAAGGCTCAGAAGTCCTAGTCATGCTGGAGGGCTGCGCAGAAGAGGCTCCGCTAGGTACGGTCGGCGAGATCTGCGTCGGTGGTATTCAATTGTTCCGCAGTTACCTGGGGGTTGACCACAGCCATTCGGGATTCTTCTTCCATCGTGGATCTCAGAAGTTCTATCGGACTGGGGACTTTGGTGTGGTCACTCAGCTCTCTGGTGCCCATAATGTCATCCGCTGTCTGGGCCGACAAGATAGCCAAGTCAAGGTTCATGGGGTCCGAGTCGACCTTGGCGATGTTGAGAGTGCAATTGGCAGCCATACAGTAACCCGGCACTGTATTTCTCTGGCCCCCAAATCTGGACCTCTGCAAGGAAGGCTTGCTGCAGTCTTGACAGTCGATCATGTTGGGGGGAATTGGGAGCAGATTACAACAGGGGTTCCTGAGATGAATGTTCTCCAGCCTACCGAGTCCGTTCAACGTGAAAGACTGAGGGACTTGGTTGCCTGCGTACAAGAGATGGTTCCGCCCCAAGCGGTGCCTAGTATCTGGTGGGTTGTTGACAAGTTCCCGCTCACTGTTAGCGGTAAACTCGACCGTATTTCGGTTCAACGATGGCTGGAAGGCATGACGAAGCAAGACTACACGCAGCTGATGCAGGCTTGGCACACCGAACAAGAGGACTCTGCCACATCCAGTGGTAGTGTAGCCATACAACGGCGGCTGGTTGGCTTGTGCAGCAGAGTCTTGGGTGTTGACGTCATCGCCGTGAATCCTCATGCCCCAGTGTTGCACATCGGCTTCGATTCCTTGACCATCATTCAACTAGTGTCCTTGGCCCGAAGAGAGGGAATCGATTTGAACGTGCAGCAAGCACTTCGGGAAAGTTCGATCTCGCAGCTAAGTGCTTCTCTATCCAGGGAACGGCCAACCACCGCGCGAACGGGCCAGTCCATCGATGAGGAGCCCTTCAGCCTGGCACCCGAGGGCGCTGACCTACAGGAGTTGAAGGCCTCAGTGGCAGAACAATGCCATGTTGCTCCTGATGATGTTCTGGATGTGTATCCTTGCACACAATTGCAGTCTGGCATGATGGCGCTGGCGGCCCGTAGATCTGATGCTTACATCTGCGTCATGAGCTTCCTACTCTCGCCCAAGGTTGACAAGACCCGGTTCGAGGTTGCGTGGGAGCAACTTCAGTCCGGAGTCCCTCTCCTCCAAAATCGGATCGTGCACGGCCTCGGAGCCGGTGGATTGCTCCAAGCAACAATTCGCCATCGGATTACACCCATCAGCGATGATGTCTTCAACTCCACGATGTCATTTGGAGACAGTCTGTGTCGAGGCCGAGTTGTTTGGGACGATACTGCACATGCATGGAAGTTTATCATGAAAATCCACCACTCTTTGTTCGACGGATGGACGAAAGGACTAATGTTGTTGGAACTGAAAAAGATTTACGAATCTAGAGATCTACCTGCACCTACTGTCACTCCGTTCAAGAGAGTCGTCGCCTACCTTGTCGAAGACATCAATAGCAACGGGAAGAAACATTCTCTTTTCTGGAGACATTATTTGGATGGTTGTGATGTAACCGACTTCCCCAGGATGACGCTCAAATGGACAGGGGAGCTCACGTCACATCACACTCTGATCCATGACATCAATGTTGACACATCGACCACAACCAAAAAATTTCAAGTCACGGCCACCTCGGTCATCCAGGCAGCTTGGGCTCTTGTCTTAGGCAAACACACAGGGACAGACGACGTAGCCTTTGGCAGCACTCTTTCTGGTCGAAATCTCCCTGTCGAGGATGTTGACCGTATAATCGGCCCGACCATGACGACTGTTCCCTGCCGGGTTCGATGGGACAGGTCGACTACGTTGAGATCTTTCCTAGAGCAGCTCCATCGGCATTCTGTTGAGTTAATCTCACATCAACACTATGGACTTCAAGACATAGCGAGCCTCGGACAAGACGCAAAGAACGCTTGTTCTTTCCGTTCAATTCTGGTCGTCCAGCCATATGACACATCGGCCGATAATCTCAGTGATTTTATCAGAGAGGAGGAACACCTTGGCTCAGATGTGCTCCGTACATATCCTCTTGCCATCGAGTACATTCCGCTGGACTCCAAAAGCGCCAGGATCAAAGCTCACTACGACGAAAATGTTGTTCAAAAGGAGATGCTACTCTGGGTTATTCGCCATTTCGAATCGGCCCTCCGTAAATTTGGCTTTGCAGATCCCGAAGTAGCTGTCGCAGACATCGAGGTTATGGATCGTGCCGAGGTGGAACAAGTCCTTGCGCTCAGCCGCAGCCATTCACCGAAGATCGATCGTTGCCTCCACGAGCTCGTGCAGGAGGCAGTTGATAATTTCCCCGACTATGTCGCCATCCGCCAATTCTCTCCGCCAAAGACTGTTTCTTATCGCGAACTTGGCCGCTTGTCAAATTCTCTATCCCGACGTCTCAGCCACTTGTACAACGTTGGAGTAGGAGACATTGTACCTCTTGCGTTCGAGAAGTCAGCCTTGGCAATCATTGCAATGATGGCTGTGCTGAAGGCAGGGGCTGCATATGTGCTACTTGATGCATCCCAACCCGTCCAACGCCTCCAGCAGATGACTCGGCTGCTGAAGTCAAGACTCACTCTCTGCTCTTCACGATGCTTTCCTGCGATGCAGAACGTTGGTGGGCAGGCTTTGGAGATCAACGACGAGTGTCTATCTGAGACAGGGCTTGACCTTGACCCCACCGATATCCACCACATGCCAGCTTCTCCATGTGATCTTGCAGTCGTCTTTTTCACATCGGGCAGTACAGGACAACCGAAGGGCGTGGCTTCCAGCCACTCTGCGGTCAGTACAGCCATGTCACACTTTGCACGAATGCTACGTATCGTGCCGGGGCATCGTGTCTTCCAGTTCACTACTTTCACGTTTGACATGGGGCTCAAGGACATCTATTGCACCTTACTCTCCGGCGGGTGCATCTGCCTGCCTGACGAGCAGGATCGTCTTAATCCGGAGGCGATGCGCGAAATGGACGTCAACGTCGCCTTTCTGACCCCCTCCATAGCGGAGACGATAGAAGTCGAGGACGTGCCAAACCTCCAAATCCTAAACCTGGGTGGTGAACGGGCCACTGCCTCGGTCATTCGCAAATGGGCTGATCGGGTGAGACTGATCAATTCTTACGGCCCCACAGAGACGGTCGCGTGCTTGACGGCTGCTGACTGGCTGACTCACGACGCCAACCCGGACCACATCGGACAGGCTGTGACTGGACAGATGTGGATCGTGCAGAGGAACTCAACCGGCTGCATTGTTCCGTCGCCTATTGGATGCGTCGGCGAGATTGCGATCGCTGGCTTTACCGTCGCCCGGGGATATCTCAACGATCCTGTGAAGAGTGGCGAGGCATTTGTCGAGCCACCAGAGTGGATGTGGCCTGCCGTAGCCGGCTCTCGACTGTATCTCACGGGTGATCTGGGCATGCGTGAACCCAGCGGTGATGTCAGGTACGTTGGGAGGAACGATAGACAGGTGAAGATCCACGGCATCCGCATCGAGCCGACCGAGGCAGAGCATCATCTTCGCCGTCTGGGGGGCATCTTCACTTCGGCCATCGTCGACTCGGCGCGTCTCACAGAAGCAGAGTCATCGCTCTCCTTGGTGGCTTTTGTGCTGGTCCACGGTGGTCGGGATGAACAGGAGACGTCGGCAGTGATTGTTGATCCCGAATTCGTCCCAGTAGACTTCTACACTGCTTGCCAAGACGCGCAGGTGCGTCTGGCGGAGAGGATTCCTCGGCATCTGGTACCGAAATATTTCATCCCAGTCCACCATTTCCCTCTATCTTCATCCAGCAAGACAGACCGCAGGCGTCTCCGAGATGCGCTCGAGAACGACGCACATGGCGATCACCACGTGGCCATGAACTCGACGCGCGGCGCCTCCGAGCGCTTACCCCCGCAGACTAAGCTGGAGCGGTGCGTTTGCGAAGCGTGGAAGACGGTGCTGTCAGCGGAAACGCCCTTCGGTCTGAACGACGACTTTTTCAGGGTCGGAGGCGACTCCTTTGCGGTCATCAAACTGGTGCTCGTCTGCAGGAAGAAGGGGCTGCAACTCTCCGCCGCAGATGTCTACGACAGGCCCACCCTTGCTAGAATGGCCGCAGCGGCGGTGGAACTCCCCGTTGCAGAAAAGACCAAGACTGGTGAAGCCGAGACTCCGGATCCCTTCTCTCTGCTTCCTGGATCTGTCCAAAGTCTTTTGGTCGAGGCTGCGCAGGTCTGCGATGTCGACGTGGAAGAGATCGAGGATATGTATCCAGCGTCACCGTTTCAAGAAGGCCTTGCTGCGGTCAACTTGCACACTAAATCGGCTTACATGGCTCGCTGGGTATACCATCTACCCGGTTCGGCGGACCTTGATCGACTCCGAACGGCCATGGAGTTTGTCATTGCGCGGAATCCAATCCTGCGCACGACTCTGGCCCACCTCTCCTGCGGTACTACCCAAGTGGTGCTCAAGTACGGCCCATGGACGACGAAAGGCCATGAAGAGGACGCTGGGATAGAAGGCAACCGCCTCTTCGCTTACTCTCTGTCTCGTACCGATCGTGGAGATACGTGCTTGCAGATCGACATGCACCACGTCCTCTACGACGAGTGGACAGTCGGCTTCTTCCTGGACGACCTGGTACACAATTATTCTACCCCGGGAAGCGAGCGCCAAGGTAGGCCCGGCTATGCGAAGTTCATTCGTCACCTCGCCAACACGGATTACGAAGCTTCAGCGGCGTTCTGGAGGGGCAACCTGGAACACACAAGCCCCTCGAACTTCCCCCGTGCGCCTCAGAGCGGGCGTCTCCCTCAGACGAGGGCGGCGGTCCAGTCGGCCGACCAGATATGTTTGGAAGAGTCGAACCGCTCGGCCATAACGCCTGCCGTCGTTTCCGCCGCAGCACTGGCCGTGCTCTTGTCCTCGTACGCCCAGACCGAGGACGTCGTCTTCGGAGTCACGCTCTCGGGGCGACACGTCCCCGGTCTGGAAGAAGTCGCCGGACCGACGATTTCCACCGTTCCGCTCAGACTGAAGAAGACGGGAGGGGGCGAGCAATCCACCACCACCGCCGCCGACTTTCTGGCGCTCGTGCAGTCCAAGATGCGGGCGCTGCAGGACCACCATCACTTCGGGCTGCGGAGGATCAGGCAGCTGGGCGGCGAAGGTTGCAGAAGCGCGTGTGCGTTCCGCACGCTCCTCGTCGTCCAGCAGGACGCGAGAAGACGGGCGCGGGCCGCCGGCGTGCTCCTCGATCTCAGGCCGGTCGACGAGGAAACGTCCATGTCCTTGAACTACGGGCTGGTGGTGCTTCTGTGCACCGACCACGCGACCGGGTCCGCCAGATTCAGGATCGAGTACGATCCGGACAGCATCGCCGAGCAGCAGGCACGACGTGTTCTGCGCCAGCTCACGGAAATCGCTCGGCGTCTGTCTTCCATGCAGGGCACGCTCGGGGCCATCAAGGCGGATTGTGGAGAGGGTTTCGAGCAGCCGATGCAGACCGAGCCACAAAATGGAGACGTGGGCAGCCACGGCGGCAAGACGGCGTTGCAGACGGCGTCACAGAGTCGATTGCGGCATATCTGGGCCAATGCAATGAACCTGCCACCCGAGAGCATCGGCGCGAGCGATACCATCTACGGCCTGGGAGGAGACTCGATGACGCTCATAAAACTGCTGTACGGGGCAAGGAAGAAGGGGTTTCGTCTCGTCGTTGGGGGGGAGGTGAACCAGTTCACGACACTGGCTGATATGTCGCGGTCCCTGGAGGAGGCTTCGCGCCGGCTGGAGCCGGAGGGGCCCGCACGGTTCTCGCTGGTCAAGGGCATGTCGGAACAAGAATGCATCGAGGACGCGGCGGCGAAGTGTAACGTCGACGCGGCCCGCGTTGAGGATGTGTACCCGTGCACGTCGCTGCAGGAAGGCCTCATGGCTCTGAGCTCGAGGGAGGCTGGGTCTTATGTGGCGCAGAATTGCTTCAAGATCTTGGGAACCGACGTCGACATGAACAGGCTCCAGTCGGCAATCCTCCGGGTGTGGCATGCCGAGCCCATCCTCCGCACCCGCATATTCGTTGGTGCGAAGCTCACCACCTTCCAGGTCGTGATACGCGGTGACGTCGGTATCTGCCAGCATGGCCATGCACTGCACGAGTTCCTGGCCAGGGACAGGGAGATTCCGTTCGAGTACGGGCAGCCGCTGAGTCGGTTTGCGCTGGTTGACGACGGCCGGGGCCAAGCACACCTCGTCTTGTCGCAGCATCACGCCGTCAGCGATGGATGGGCCACCAACCTACTGGTCAACGCCATCAAACGAGAGTACGGCGGCGCTGGGCAGCTGAATCGGGTGAACCGTATGCCTTCGTTTGTCAAGTTCGTCGGCAGCACGCAGCACTCAAGCGAAGCCGCGCTGTTCTGGAAGACGGTCCTAGACGGGGCCTCTGCCACCGAGTTCCCGCACTCGAGGAAGAACGACGGCTTCCGCGCCGCCGCGTGGGCCAGCACTGCATGCTCCATCGCACGCGCACGCGGGACCGCTCTCCCCACGGTGCTCGAGGCGGCGTGGGGCCTCGTGCTCGGCAGGCATGCTGCCTCGGACGACGTCTGCTTCGGCACCGTGCGCTCGGGCAGGACGGCGGCGGTGCCGGAAATCGACAGCCTCATGGGGCCGGCCATCGTGACAGTGCCTCGGCGCCTGAAACCCCAGGCCGCGCTGAGCGTCGCGCAGTACCTCGAGCAGGTCTATTACCAGGCGGCGCAGGCGCTGCCCTTCGAGCAGCTCGGGCTGCAGCGCATCCGCGAGCTGGGTGAGGATGCCAGAAACGCATGCAGCTTCCGCACGCTGCTCATAATCCAGCCGGAGCAGCCGGCTCTGCAGGACGAGCCGGGCGGGCTGGCCCTGGAGCAAGTAGACGTCGAGTCCATGGTGGGCACGTACGCGCTGTCGACGTACTGCCTGCTGGGCGAAGATGGCGAGCTGACGATCCGCATCAACTACGACGACGGCGTTGTTTGCGAGAGCGAGGTGCGGTGGATAGCGTACCACTTCTGTCAAGCGGCCACGCAGCTCGCCGAACGGGCAGGCGGCCTGGTGGGGGACGTCGACCTGTGCGGCGACGAGGACAGGAAGCAGATCGCATGCTGGAATGCCAGCAAGGTGGACGCAACGGAGCAACGCATCGAAGAAGCGTTCCGGCAACGGCTCGGCCAGTGGACGGGCCTCAGCGCTGTTGACGGCCACGACCGCCGGCTGACGTACGCGGAGCTCGACGGCGCGGCCCGCAGCATAGCCCAGCTGCTCCGCGACCGAGGCGTGCGCTGCGGGGACCTGGTCCTCGTGTGCATGGAGAAGTCGGCGCTGATGGTCGCCGCGCTGCTCGGAGTCTTCATGGCGGGCGCGGGCTACATCCCGCTGGCAATCGACAACCCCGTCGACCGGCTCAAGAGCATCGTCGGCCAAGCGCCGGCACAAATGCTCCTCTGCTCGCGCCAGCAGGAGCCTCTATGCCGCGCGCTGGCGCCAGCGGCGGCGGCAGTGCTGGAGTGGGAGCTGCTTGACGGCCGGCCGGCGGCGGCAGACGGCAGCACGCAAAAGGCGCAGCCGACGGACCTGGCCTACATCATGTACACGTCAGGCAGCACCGGCGTCCCCAAGGGCGTCATGCTCTCGCACACGGCGCTCAGCACGAGGATGCTGGCGCAGGGCTCGCGGCTGGGGTACCGGCCGGGGACGCGCACGCTCCAGTTCTGCTCGTACGCCTTCGACTGCAGCCTGACCGAGATGTTCATGACGCTGCTGCACGGCGGCTGCGTCTGCGTGCCGACCGAGGAGCAGCGGCTCACGTCGCTGGCCGCCGTCATCAACGCCGAGCGCATCGACATGGCGGTCCTGACGGCGACGGTCGTCGGCGGCATGCTGCAGCACCCCGACCGCGTGCCGGGGCTGTCGACGCTCATGCTGGTCGGCGAGCCGGTGACGCAGCATATTGTCGACGCCTGGAGCGGGCGGGTGCGCGTCATCAACGACTACGGCCCGACCGAGGCGTGCGTCGACGCCGTCATCAACGTCGGTGTGGGCCGCGACACGGATCCGGCCAACATCGGCCACCCCGTCGCCGCGTACGCCTGGGTGGTCGACGCGGCCGACCGCGCCAAGCTGGCCCCGGTCGGCTGCCCCGGCGAGCTGCTGCTGGCCGGCCCGACGCTAGCCGTCGGCTACGCCGGCGACACGGCCCGGACCGATGCCGTCTTCCTGCCCGCCGCGCGCTTTCCCTGGGCGCGCCGCGACGTCGCGCGCCTCTACGCCACGGGCGACGTCGTGCGCCAGCAGCCCGACGGCTCCCTCGTCTTCGTCGCACGCAACGACACGCAGGCCAAGCTGCGCGGGCTGCGCGTCGAGCTGCGCGAGATCGAGTTCTTGCTCGAGAAGGCCGACCACATCGCCGCCGCCGTGGCCGACGTCGTGGCCGGCCAAGCGCTGGTGGCCTTCGTGGCCGTCGAGAGCGGCGCCCGCGTGCGCCCGGCCGTCCGCGCCGCACTCGACGACCTGCGCGCCGCCCTGCCGCCGTACATGGTGCCCCAGGCCGTGCTGCCGCTGGCGAGCATTCCCATGACCGTCAGCGGCAAGACGGACCGGAGCGCTCTGCGGCGCCTGTACGACAAGGCCGCGCGCAGCGACCTCGTCTCGTCCAGCCTGTCGTCCGAGTGCCGCGCCCCCGAGACGGCCGCGCAGGCGACACTGCGGCGCCTGTGGGCCGACGTCCTCGCCGTCGACGCCGACATGATTGGAATCAACGCCGATTTCGTCGTGCTGGGCGGCAACTCGGTGGCGGCCATCCAGCTGTCGGCGCACGCCCGGGCCGAGGGCATCTCCCTCCCGGCACGATGCATCTTCCAGCACCCGGTGCTGGAGCAGATGGCGCTGCACATGGCCCAGCTCCAGCCGCAAGCCGCCGAGCCGATGCCCTCGATGCACCGCCGCCAGATCGGCGAGACGTACCGCATCGCGAACATCGAGGACGTGTACCCGTGCACGCCGCTCCAGGCCGGCCTGATTGCCCTCACGCTGCGCCAGCCGCGGGCCTATGTTGCAACCGAGCAGTTCCTCCTGGCGCCGTCGACCGACGTCGCGCGGTTCAAGGCGGCCTGGGACGCCGTGTACCGGCGGCACGAAATGCTGCGCACTCGGCTGTGCCAGGTCGACGACAACATGGTGCAGGTCGTCTGCTCCGGCGACGCGGTGCCGTGGTCGTCGCCCGACGAAGAAGAAGACATGGGTCTCGGCAGCCCTCTTGTCCGCTTCAGTCTGCAGGGTCGGTGCTTCCGGCTGACGAGACACCATTCCATCTACGACGGGTGGTCGTCCCGGCTGCTGTGGGACGACGTGCAACGCGCCTACACGACCGGGCGTGATCCGCCGCCCAGGCCCCCCTTTCGCGCCTACGTCCAGCATCTGCTCGGCCTGGATCGCGACGCCGCCACGAGCTTCTGGGCGAAGGAGCTCGCGGGCGCCGATGCCGACCACTATCCCAGACTCCCCCCCGGCCGCCCGTGGGCCGAGACCAGCCAGTCCGTCGAGCTGGTCACCACCTTCGCCGAGGACTTCAAGCGGACACTCGCATTCTCCAATGTCGCCAGGGCTGCGTGGGCCCTCGTGCTCGCAGTCCGCGGCCGCCGCCCGGCGCCGACGCACGACGTCTGCTTCGGCGCAGTCGCGTCCGGCCGGATGGAACCCGTGCTGGCCGTCGAGGACATGGCAGGGCCGACGCTGGCCACGGTGCCCGTGCGCGTCCGCATCGACATGGCCGAGCCGGTGCGGGCGTACTTGAGCCGCATCGGCCAGAATGCGCTGGAGACGGCGCCGTGCGAGCACGTCGGCCTCCGCGCCATCGCCGGGGCCAGCCGCGACGCAGAGGCGGCGTGTCGGTTCGCAAATCTGCTGGTCGTCCAGCCGCCCGATTCGCCCAGCGCAACCCCGCTGTGCCGCCCGGTCGAGGCGGCGGGCGGCACGGGCATGATGCTGCAGCCGTACGGCATCGTCTTGGAATGCTGTGAGCTGGCCGACGGCCGGGGCCTGCGTGCCGAAGCCAGCTTTGACGACGGGCTGATCTCGCGGCAGGAAATGCGCGGGCTGCTGGACCACTTCTCGCGCGCCGTCGGGCTCCTCGTCGACCCGGCACACGGCGCGTCGTCGGTGGCCGCGCTGGTGCGGAACCTGACGACCGCCGGCGACTACAGCCAGATGCTGTCTTTCAACGGGCCCCCGCTGCCGCGGCTCCCAATCTGCCTCCACGAGCTGGTCGAGGAGAGCGCGCGGCTGCATCCGCAGCGCGTCGCCGTGCTCGCCCGCGACCAGACGCTCAGCTACGCAGAGCTGGACCGCGCTGCGAGTCGGCTCGCCGCTCATCTGCAACGCCGCTTCGGCGTCGGCCCGCGCAAACTGGTCCCGCTCTGCTTCGAGAAGTCCAGCTACATGGTCATCGCCATGCTGGCAGTCCTGAAGGCGGGAGGAGGCTACGTGCCGCTCGACCCGTCCCACCCGGGGGCGCGGCTCCGACAGGTCCACGAGCAGACGGGCGCGGATCTGGTCCTCGTGTCGGCGGCTCAGCAGCGCCGTGTCGTCGACGAGCTTGTTGGCGCAAGCGTCTTCGTCGTCGACGCCGCCGCTTGCCGCGAGCGTGCCGGCGGCGGCGGCACGCCAGAGCCTTGCACCGGCCCGCACGACGTGGCTTACGTCATATTCACGTCCGGAAGCACGGGGAGGCCCAAGGGCGTTGTCATGGAGCACGGCAGCGTGAGCCGCAGCATGACGCAATACGGCCGAGTGTTTGGATACCGGCGCGAGAAGCCCTTCAGGACTCTGCAGTTCAGCTCTTACGCGTTCGACGTCAGCGTCGCCGAGGTCTTCGCCACGCTGGCGTTCGGCGGGGCCGTCTGCGTTCCCGCCGACGACGAGAGGCTGAGCAATCTGCCCGGCGTGGTGGCGAGCATGCAGGTGGGCGTTGCGTTCCTCACCCCTACCATGGCGGGCGCCATGCGTCCGGAAGAGGCGCCCTCGCTGGAGCTGCTCTGCTTGACGGGCGAGGCCCGGACGCCGTCGGCCGTCCGCGCGTGGACATCGTGGGCCAGCTCCGCCGCCCAACGACGCCTCTTCGATGCGTACGGTCCCACAGAGGCCGCTGTGCATTGCTGCGCGGCCAGGGTGGAGCGCGATACGCCGCCAAACAACATCGGGTCGCCGTTTGGCGGACAGCTCTGGATCGTCGACGCCGAGGACCACACGAGGCTGCTTCCTGTAGGCTGTGCCGGCGAGTTGGTCATCTCGGGCGCAACGCTCGCTCGGGGGTACCTGAACAATGCCGAAGAGACGGCAAAGGCCTTCATTGACCATGTCTCATGGCTTGAAGACGGCGAGGCTCGGCGCATCTACAAGACGGGGGACGTCGGCAGGTTTGCATGCGACGGCACCATCGAGTTCCTGGGCCGCAAGGACGGCCGTCAAGTCAAGCTCCACGGCGTGCGTGTCGAGCTGAGTGATGTCGAGGCGGCGTTGCAATCATGCGAGGCAGCTGTGAGCAATGTCATGGCGGCGAGGGTTTCTATTGCAGGGAACGAATCGCTCGTAGCCTTCGTCCAGACCCCGGAGATCATGGCCATGGCGCAGCATGCCGATGATGAACGGCCGGAACTGATCGCTCCCAGCCCTCCGCCAAGCTTGAAGTCTTGGATTCGAGCGACCCTTGGATCCCTTCGCCGCTTGCTGCCGGCCTACATGATACCTTCGCTGCTCCTACCAGTGCCGGTCTGGCCGCGCACGACTTCTGGCAAGACCGATCGTCGGATGCTCTGTAACGCGGCTAGCAGCCTTGTAGCTGGGGTTCTAAGTCTCTATCAGGCCGCTGGAAGCGCCGAGCCGGAAAAGTCGGAGCGCGGCGCTACGCTTAACAGAGCCGAGCGAGCAAAGAGCAAGCAGAAGATGCTCGGCAGCAACAGGACCTCCGTAGCAGAAACTCACGATCAGGTAGCGGATTCTTGGAGACGGGCGCTACGTCGCGACAGCGAGATCCGAATAATGGCGGAAGACGACTTCTTCGCCGCCGGCGGCGATTCGGTCTCGGCCATTTTTCTCGTGGCAGAGCTGCGGCGGAAAAACATGCACATTACCGTCAGTGACGTCTATCGGTGTAGGAGTTTGGGCGATATGGTTGACCTGGTGCTGTCGGCCCACGAAGATGATGACTGCGTTGGTGCCACAACGAAACCCTTCTCCTTATTGCAGCAGCCTGCGGGCTCACAGCTCCAACATCTCCTGGATGACGCAGCGTCCCAGCTTGGCATCGATTCCAATTCAATCGAGGACATGTACCCCTGCACTCCGCTGCAGAACGGCATCATGTTCTTATCGGAGAGGGTGACAGGATCGTACCACGGCCACTTCCGCCTCCTGATGCCTCGTAAGTTGGACGTGAACAGGCTGTACCACGCCTTTGAGAAGCTGGTCGAGATGCACGACATTCTTCGGACAAGAATCATTTTCGATAGGAGCTTTGGTGGGCTACAGGTCGTTTTAAGCTCTGCCGCCCATCTCAAGACTCTACGGAAATTCACCGAGCGGGAGAAGACGACGGCTTTCCGCTACGGGTCACCACTGTATCGATACACCCTGACGGCGGGCGGTGACGGCATCTACCTCGAGCTAGTATGCCACCACTCCATGTACGACGGCTGGTCCCTACCGCTCCTGGTCGAGGACCTGCGCTGTCTGTATCACGACATTGACTTCTCTCCGGACCCCACCACGCCTTTCAAAGACATGGTCGCGTATGCTTGCGACCCATCCATCATCCGGGCGGCGGAAGAATTCTGGGACGTGTATCTAGACGGCGCAGCCGTGTCTGATTTTCCCGAGGTCGCCGACCGCGTACACCACTCAATCCGCGCGACAGCGTATCACGAACGCGCCGTCACGGCAATCGAAAAGAAGGCGTCTCAGCGCATCACCATGGCGACGATTCTAGCGGCCGCCTGGTCCATTGTTGTCTCGAGGCACGCCGGATCCAGCGACGTGTGCTTCGGCGTGCTGCTCTCAGGGCGAAATGCGCCCGTCGCGGGAATCGAGGGGATCAGAGGCCCGACCATCAACACGGTCCCCTTTCGGGTCGTCCTGGACCCCGCGAGCACGACCACTTCGGCCGTGCTCGAGCAAGTCCAGTCACACATGGTCGCCATGATACCCCATCAATTCATCGACCTGGCGAAACTGCGCAAGGCTTTCGCTGGCGCGCGTCAGGACTTTGGGAGCCTTTTGGCGATCCAGTCGGCGGGGAGCAGCAGCACGGACGGTGGTGGACGGGACTTCAGTCTCGGCTCAGCCCCCTCGGAGAAGGCGCAGGTCGGTGCCATGTTTGGGGAGCCGTACCCGTTGTTCTTGGAGGCCACCACCGTCGCCGGGCCAGGAAACGACGTGCTCCTCGCGGCGCAATTTGATCCGGAAATCCTCTCCATCGGCCACGTGGAGCGCATCCTCGGCCAATACGAGACGGCCATCCGGCTGTTGGCCGGTGTCGAGCTGGGGTCAACGCTGGTCTCCGAGGCCGCACTACTTTCCGCGTCCGACGAACAATGCCTTCGAGACTGGGCCGGGGAACCCATCCAGCCCGAGGCCGACTGTGTGCACCAGATGATCGAGCGGTTCGCTGCTGCTCACCCGGAGAAGCAGGCCATCGAGGGCTGCGGCGAGCATGTGACCTATGCGCAGCTGGAGCAACGGGCAAACTCGCTGGCGGATCATCTGCTGCGACTTGGCAAGAACGTGGGGCCCGGCATGATTGTACCAGTCTGGATGGAGACGTCCCCTACGGCCGTCGTGGCGTTGCTGTCGATCCTGAAGCTGGGAGCCAGCTACGTGCCTCTCGATCACCGCTTACCCGTTGCGCGAGCCCAGTCCATCGCAAATGACGTGGCGGCCGACGTTATGCTCGTGTCCAAGGAAATGTCAGATGCAGCAAGCCAAGTGGTGCGCCAGATAAGCGACAGAGGCGTGACGGTGGTTCAGGTAGACATGGAAATGCTGGAGACACGAACGACCCCCTCGTTCCCACGAGCACAGCCTTCCGACCTCGCGTACGTCATATACACGTCTGGTAGCACTGGGGAGCCAAAGGGCGTGATGATGGAGCACTGGGCCCTCACGGCCACGGTCAAGGCGCAAGCCGCGACGTATGGCTTCGATTGCACCACCCGCATGTTCGGCCTCGCCAGCCTGAGCTGGGACCCCAGCATACTCGAGATCTTCGCGACGCTGTCGCACGGCGGGTGCCTGTGCATCCCGACGGAACGCGAGCGCAGCCAAGACCTCGTCGGCGCCATCAACCGGCTGCGGGCGGACCAGATCAGCACGTCGCCCGCCGTGGCGTCTCTGATCGACCTGTGCGCGACGCCGACCGTGAAGGTCATCGCCCTGGGCGGCGAAGTCGTGCGCGAGGAGAACATCCGCAACGCGCACGAGGCCGGAGTGCGCCTGTTCAACATCTACGGTCCCAGCGAGGCGTGCATCGACGCCATCGTCCACCGCAACGTGGTTCCCGGCGTCGACACGCGGAACATTGGTCGCCCCATGTCGAGCCAGGTCTGGATCGTAGACCCGGGCAACCCGCGCCGGCTGGTGCCGCCCGGCTGCGTGGGCGAGATTGCCTTGTCGGGCACACTGGCACGGGGGTACTTGAATGATGCCGTCAAGACGGCCAGCCGTTTCGTGACCGATTGCCCTTACGCGTCCCCGGTGTACTTGACCGGCGATCTTGGGCGGCATCATGTCGACGGCTCGGTGTATTTCCTCGGCCGGAAGGATAGGCAGGTCAAGCTGAACGGCCAGCGTGTCGAGTTGGGCGAAATCGACGACGCAATCAGGACGCTGTGCCCAGGCACGCAAGTCGCCGTTGATTACTTCTCGACCACTGGTGATGCCAAGAAGCGACTGGTCGTATTTTCCTCTTCTTCTCCTTCCTCGCCGCCGCCTGAACGGGGAGACCGCGGTAGGGCCCTGGTCCAGGTAGAATCTCGATTGCGACCAGAGTCTGGGGAATTTCAGCTCTTGCAAGCGCGGCTGAAAAACAAGCTACCCAGGTACATGGTTCCCCGCATCTTCATCACAGTCTCGTATCTCCCTCTATCCAACGCAGACAAGGTCGATTTCCACGCACTCAGGGCAGCATACACCAGGTGGGAAGAGAAATCGGCCGCCAGTGTCGACCAGGATGCTGAGTTTCCACCGCCATCGCCTCCCTCTACTCCTTCATTGACAACAGCCGCGACCATGTTGCGCAGCATGTGGGCTTCAGTCATCGGGTGCCCCGAACAGTCAATACGGGCACACGATGACATCTTTGACCTTGGAGCAGACTCTTTGACTGTGCTTAAATTAGCGACACTGGCACGCACGAAAGGGATCAGCATGTCGGTCGCTGACGTTTACGCGTCACCAACACTATTACACATGGCTAGACTAGTTCCGTCGAGCGTTGCTGACGAGAGTTCCCCCGTTGGAGACAACCTTGAATGCCCACCGAAGTTCTCCTTACTCCCAGACTTCATTAGGAAGAGGTTGTTGGAGAAGGGGACAGAGAGCGACAATGAAGTGATCGACGCATACCCGTGTACCACCATTCAGACAACGTCGCTCATCCAGGGCCAGAAGAGACACAAAGCCCATTATGCATGGTTTCTACTTCAGATTAAAGGCAGTGCGGACGAGCTACATCTGCGCAAAGCCTGTGGCCTCTTGAGCGAGCGTCACAGTGCCTTGCGTACCACCTTCCGCATCATCGACGGCCAATTCATCCAGCAGCTCCACAAACGGCCTCGAATCGACTTCCAAAAGCTAGAGCCATGTGACTCTGTGGAAGCATTCTGTTCTCTTCTCGATCAAAACGTCCCTAATCCAGTCAACTTTGACCAAGTCCTGACCAGATACAGAATAGCGGAGTACGCCGATGGTAGGGGGTATCTTCTTGCAATTGGCATGTCTCATGCGCAGTATGATGGGTTTTGCTGGAGTACCATCCTCAACGATCTTCAGCAGGCGAGCATGAGTAACGGCGGCGGAAAGCCTTCCCCTCCATTCTCCCGCTTCATCGGTCACATGCTCCAGACCTCTCGGGATGTGAGAACCCAGTCATTCTGGAGGGACCTCCTGCGCGGCTGCACAATGACTACGTTCACGGGGCCGGCAGAACAGACGCATCTGCGCAGGGTGCTAGACAGGAAACATGTCGGCATACTCCCGCGGTACGACACCCGACCTGGCAACGCCACGTTTGCAATGATTGTAAAATCCGCCTGGGCGATCGTCCTGTCCTGCCTTTCCGGCAGTGCAGACGTGACTTTTGGCTCTCTGGTCTTCGGTCGTGACCCAGAAGTTGCCGGAGTCGGTGAGATGGTTGGTGCCTGCATCAATGTGGTGCCCAACCGCGTTTCATTGGCGGACGGCCGTGAGAACTGGACTGCTTCCGACCTCCTCGAGCACGTCCGGCGCCAACAGGTTGAAATGGGTCCGTTTGAGACCACACCTCTACCTACCATCTGCAGGAGTGCGGACTGGCCCTCGACCACCAGGTTCGGCAGCATTGTGCAACACCAAAACATAGACGAGAGCGTTTTCGCCTCAACAGGCACCATGGATCCAGCCAGCAGCAGCAGCGATAAATGGAACTACCTTGGCAATGCGTCGTACCCCGGGGTCTGCGATGACGTCATCGATTGCTGGATCACTACGGTGCCTCTGCCCGATGAGACCCGGCTTGAGTTCGCGTACAACAGGTCTTCGATCTCGGATGATGTCGCTGCCTCCATAACAAGCCACCTGTGTGATACGGTACGAGCTATCTACGAAGATCCACGTCGCCGGCTGAGCTCCCTGCGGCCACCCCGGGAGCTGAATTCCCTCGTCCGGATCCGCCTCAATGGCAATGAGACTCCTCAGGCTGTTGCAGAAGCCGAGAGAGATGACCACGGTAGTGTCCCAGAGGGTGAGCGGCAAAACCACCTCATGAACAGACTAAGGGAGCTGTGGAGTAAGGTGCTTCCATTGCCAGAATCCTCGGCATCATCATCTCGTTGCATCATCGATGACAACGACATCTCTTTCTTCGCTATTGGCGGAGATTCGGGTTCAGCCATGCAGCTCGCCGCCATTTGCGAGAGCGAGGGTCTCGAGTTGGGTGTTCAAGGCGTGTTTGACTGTCCCACGCGGAGGTTGCAGGCGGCGAGACTACTCGCATGCGGACATCAAACAAAGGCCAAGGAGAAGATAGAGCTCATCTTCGAGCCGAAGCTGGGATAGTACCATGGCGTTAGAGGTTCTTTATGCGTTTTTACTTTTCCTTTTTTTGTTGCAATGGGTAATGAAAACGAATGATATTGTCTGCACCGAACGAGTGGCATGAGGGCTTAGTGAGTGGCTGACCGGGTGGCTCCTTTATAACCTGCTCAGATTACGAAGCTAAGTACAGAGTTGCTACAGTACACAGTGCAACAAAGAACTACCCTATAGCACTGCAAGAATTGTTCTTCGAAAGTCGCCGGGGGTAGTAAAATCTGCCCGCTCGAACTCTTTCCGGTAGCGAGCAAGGAGCTGGAGCATAGCACTCATACCTTCCGGGGTAGAGGTATCCCACGGCTCCTTGCCCAGCGCGAGTCTCCACATTTGCATCAGGGCAGCGGCGTTACTCAACGCTACATTATTCCCATCAACGAGGCTCCTCGCCACTCCAGCCGTCGACCCAGCCAAGATGTCACGGCAGAGAAACGGCTCATGGCACAGCGCGCGACCAAGCCCCACGCCATCGACGGTCGCCAGCGCATCCGCCATGCCAGCAGCCGTCTGGAAGCCGCCAGTGAGGTAAGTCCTGGTGCGCCGCAGATCTGGCGCAATCAGGGCGGCAAACTCGATGAAGAAGGCCTCGCGCGCGCGCGTCGACTCTTCGCGGTGCGCGAACGCCGTGGCCTCGTACGTGCCGCCGGACAGCTCGACGAAGTCGACGCCCATGCCGTCCAGCACGGCGCACAGCTCGCGGGCCTCGTCCGGCCGCAGCCCGTCTTGCTGGAACTCGACGCTGTTGAGCTTGACGCCGACGACGAAGCCGGGCGACGTGCGGGCGCGGATGGCGCGCACGATCTCGACAAGCAGCCGCGCGCGGCCCTCGAGGCTGCCACCGCTGTACTCGTCGTCGCGCCTGTTAGTTGTCGGCGACAGGAACTGCGCGACGAGGTAGCCGTGGGCCGCGTGCACCTCGACGCCGTCGAACCCAGCCTGCTCGAGGTACGTGGCCGCGAACTGGAACTGTCGGACGATCCTTGAGATCTCTTCGCTCTGCGCCGCGTGGGGCTTGCCGAAGCGCATCCCCATCACTGTCACCTATTCCTACTGGTCATTATTTGTGCGAAGGGATTGATTGCGAGACTGCAACAAACCTGGAGCTGGACGTCCGAGGCAGACACTGGGTCGGGCTGGATCCGTACGTCGCACTGACGGCCCGGATGAGATATTTGTGCAATCATCAGGCTTCCGTGCCTTTTTCCTGCGCTTGCCATGTCCTTGAAGGCTTCGAAGCGGCGTGAGGATTCCGACGCACCCAAAGGGACGGACGCGTTGCCCACGGCCTCCGGGTGCGCGGGGTCGACCATGATGTTTCCAGTCACGAGGACGCCAATCTGGCCGCGTCCCCAGACTTCGTAAAGATCCGCCAGCTCCCGTGACGGCACGCCGCGGCTGAGGGGATGCGGATCCCAAGAGGCGAGACGTTCCGACATGGCCCCTTTGAGGAACCGGTTGGGTGCAGTCCTGCCGGATATGGGGAATGAAAGGGGCTGGCCGAGGTGCTGGGCCGGATCGGACATGGTGCAGGCTGGCAAGAAAGATGATGGCTCTGAGTGATAGAGGCGGCTAGATGGCCTTTTATATTCACAGATACGGGGCGTCGGCTTAATGGACACTATCTACCCGGCTCCATGCACACAGACACTAACTAACCCTGTCTCCGCTTGAGGTGTACCTTCCACGAACCATCCTTGAACTGCATGGTAATGTACTGACGGTAATCAATCGTCTGGTTCGGGACCTCCTCGAAATCGTACCGAGAAAACATGTTAGCGGCGACCATGCGCATCTCCGCCCACGCGAAGCTGTTCACTGCATTAGTACAATGTCGAGGCTGGCATTTGCATCCGAGGAGACGTACTTGATCCCGATACAGGAGTGCTTGCCCGCCGAGAACGGATAGTAAGCCGCCATACTGCCCCTCTAGTCAGCACACTCTCGCGGCAAAAGTCGCCGAAGATCAACTTACTCGGGCGCCGGTGCCCCCTCACGGCGATCTTCGTCCAGCCAGCGCTCGGGCCAGAAACGCTCTGGCTCCGGCCAAAACTCTGGGTTGCGATGTAGATCGCGGTACGACGCTGACACCACAGTGCCCGGTGGAAGACTGTAGCCCATGAGGTTTACCCACTCCTTTCCGGTCCGACGGCCCATCTCCGATGCGATCGGGTGCAGCCGGAGGTTCTCCTTGATGCATGCATTGAGGTACTCGTACTGCGGGTCAAGACGCACCGTTTTCCCGTCAACGACTGGATCCTCTGGTCCTAAAACAGGCAGGCTGCGGAGAAGCTTCTCCCTGACGTCTGGATTTTGGACGAGCTCGAGAAATAGGCACGCAATCGTTCCCGACGTCGTTTCAGACCCCGCAAGCAGGAGCTCGGACATCTGATCGACGATATCTCTCGTATTCATGCGTACGCCCGTGTCTGGCCGTGCGCCCTCTTCGAGGAAATGCTGCAGGACATCAGACCTTCCTGCCTCCAGCTTCGAGGCGCGGTTCTCAACAACGACATCAATAGCCTCGTAACGTTAGCGCAGTTCTCGCGAGCGAAGCTTGGAAATCGTACCTTGACCATTTCGGCTGGCCAGTCGAACTTCAGGTCAATTCCAAAGCTGCGGAGAAACCTCTTGACGTAGACATTCTAGCCCAGGGCGTCAGCACAAACATCATCTGTTTGCTTACACAGGGCTCACCTGGTATCTCTTGGTCATCCCATGGAAAATTGCATGCGGTATCATCTTCCATGCTTTTTCGTCAGCGCCCTCCTCGACTCCTTTCTGGGGGTTAGTTTGCCCAAATCCACGCCCAAATGAGCTCTCTCCCATGCTGTTCCGGCAATCGTGTCAGCGCATCAACAAAAGCGAGCACCTATTGGTCGCTTACATGTCCAAAGCAACGTTGTGCAGATCATCCATCAGGTCGATAGTGGCACCGTCCCCTTTGCCGCCGAGAACGTATTCATATTTCGCGATCAAGTCACTGATGCTCTTTGCGAAATACCTCTCCAGCTTGTCAACGTATGAAACGGTGAATGCTGGAGAGAGAAAGCGCTTGAGGCGCTTGTGCGGTTCCGGACGGCTGTCGAGCATCAGTCTATGCCAACGAAATTTGCTTGTGGTGAAACGGGTGTTTGCTCACATCTCGCCAAACAGACCTGGCGCAAAGCGGTCTCGTGAGATTTCTGCGTACATGGTGACCTTTGGCAAGTCTATCGTAGAGAGAATCTGCTGCATCGCCGTCTTATCCGCAATCCAGATTTGCCTTGGGCCGAGGCGGACAATGCTGCCGTATTGTCTGTGCGCCTTCTCGGCAACCTTCCAAATTTTCCCTGTAGCAAAGCCGTAGCGAAGATGCATCGTGGTGAAAGGAGCGTACCAAGGACCGGGAATTTTTGAAAGAGGGGATCTCAGAGCCTTCCATATGCCCACTAGATAGTTGACCAGCAACAACGATAGAATTAGGGCAACCGCAGGTCTCTTCCATCCATTGAACAAGATAGATGTCGTGTCCTCCATGCTGATGGTAGAAGCAACCATGATGAATGAGCTTGACAGCAAAAGGGTGTATTTTTCTTCTAGAGAAATGAAGTCTTTTGACAACAGAAAATATTTCAACCAGTCGCTCCCGTTATATACACACCCCAAGCCCTTGCTTCACATGTCAGTCTGTGTCTTCTTTGGCAAGACCGTGTTTGAGACCGTATTACGATGCATCACTGACCCCCACTCTCCTTGGTACCTGGACCGGAGTACTTCCCTCCTTCCTCGTTTGATCCGATTCCTCTTTCTCATGAGTCAATCTTGAACATTCGGAGTGTGGCAAGCTACCCAAACCGTACTAAGACACGAATATCGTCTCTCTTTCCTACTTTTCGTTTAGCTCCAGTATACATAACAGGATCTAGGCCGGATCAACGAAGCCCCACATCACCGACGTCGTGCTTCCTGTTTCACGCCATCGAGCGGAGCTGCCCGACCACGACACCTTCACTATCTGTATGCACCGCTCAACGGCATGACTCGATGAGCTGAAAAATGAGACATGATGATCAAACATTGAGTCAGACGGAGACCAAAACGCTTTGGGAAGGTATGGAATCAAATTAGCGACGATGCGGGCAAAAGTGCGGAGCTGTAGATATGACATACGACAACGTGGACATATGGGATGCTGGAGCACTTTTGCTTTGGTCTTGAGACTTGCATGAAGACCATGAACTGACTTGCACGCCTGCTTACGGTTGCGGATGGTATCTATAAATGGGGTGTTTCTGGTCATCGTTCAATACTCCAGAATACACCACCAGAATCCACAACAGATTACCGTCCAGTACACCAGCATGTCATCAATCAAGCAGGAGCTACTTCCTGTCGTGGAGAAGACAGAGGGTGTTTGCAGAGACACGCCACAGGAAATGCCAGAGCCTGGTGACAAAGTAACCCCCTCTTGTGCTCGCTGTTCCTAGAGTGGATACTTACAGGCCATGTGTACAGCCCGCCGAAATGAGCACCCCGAGTCTGGACGCTCTCAGAGAAGCAATTCCTCGGTCATGTTTCGACCGGTCTACTCTTGGCTCTTTTGCTTATCTCCTGCGCGACGTCATTTACGCGGCGCTCCTCGTGTACCTGGCGGTCAAGATAGACTTTATCCCGGTCCGATCAGTGCGCGTGGCTGCCTGGATCATCTATGGAGTCTTGCAGGGCTTCGTGGGTACGGGCCTCTGGATCATTGGGCACGAATGCGGGCACGCGGCCTTCTCACCGAGCGCAATCATCAACGACACGACTGGCTGGCTGGTGCACTCGTCGCTTATGGTGCCGTACTTTTCCTGGAAAATCACGCATGCAAGACACCATCGCTACACGGGGCACATGGAGAAAGATGTCGTTTTTGTACCTCGGCTACACCAAGAGGGGAAGTCACCCTCGAGGTTCGCCCATTTGTCTCACCTCGCCGAGGATACGCCGGCATACACGCTACTGCACCTGCTGGGGCATCAACTCATGGGCTGGCAGATTTACCTCCTCTTCAACATCACGGCCGGGAAAAACAGTCTTCCCAAGAACGGCAATCGTCGCCAGCTATTGCCAAACGCAAGCCACTTTGATCCCAGCAGTGCGCTTTTCACTCCGTCCCAAAGAGGGCAGATCATGCTATCGGACCTGGGATTAGTCGTCATGGCGTGTCTGCTCTGGAGGCTGGGATCAGCGATTGGGTTTGGGCGAGTCGCGCTACTGTACGGCATGCCATACCTCTGGGTGCACCATTGGCTCGGTAAAAAATTAACCCCAGACACGTTGACTCAGAACACCTGCTAACCTCCAGGTCCATGAGTTGCCATCACCTATCTACACCACACCCACCCTTTCGTCCCGCACCTCTCTGAGACAGCGTGGTCGTTTACAGAAGGTGCGCTCTGCACCGTTGACCGCAACTTTGGATTCGTCGGTCGCCACTTCTTCCACGAGATTATCGACTACCACGTCGTGCATCACCTGTTCCCGAAAATCCCCTTCTACAAAGCTGAGGAGGCAACGCGAGCCATCATGCCGTTGCTGGGGCCTCTTTATCGCCAGGAGAAGCAGCGGTCTTTCCTCGGGTCGCTTTACTCTACTTATCGCGCGTGCGATTCAGCGGCCGACGCTGACGGTTCTGGAGTGGTCCAGTGGGTCCTGTCAAAGCAGTGAGGCAAGGGTGGGGAAAACGCAGAAAGTGGAGGCGGGGAAGCCGGGGTATCGAAGCATATCGGAATCATCCGTCCGTTCCCTACTAGTGCGATCGTGCTTAGAATTACTGCTATTATTGGAGGGGACGTTTGGGTTTCGGACTTTTGCGAAAGGAGTTTAGATTCAGTTACCACCCTCATTTAGGTACCTTTACCCACTCATCTAGAAAAAAAAATGTAGGCATGATAAGCCAGGCTCCACAATCACCCCATCTACGAGTCGACGCGTCAGGTCTGCATTCACAGATCTTGCTGGTCCAGAGTCAAGCCATGGCAAGAGACTTGCCACAGTCTCTTCTCAGCGGTTATAGCGGGCAAATTTCGGTCGTAAGGATCGGAGCCACTGTCGTACATACAATCCAGTCGGCCAAAAGCTGCAGAACGCCCGAACTCTGTACCTGAACTTTAATCAGTTGAAATTCTACTTGGACTAGCTTCAGACTTTAGTGCAACCGAGGGGACGGGAGACTGTGCAGCAGACCGACTTCGCGGTTGGACCCGCCTTGGCCACGGGTATTTTAGATCTGATTATTTACTAATTGTGCTACGGTCATAGCAGGGCAGAGATATTGCGGCCAATACTGATTGTCCGGGAAAGATTTGACAATGTCAAAGGTCATCATTGTTGGAGGCGGCATTGCTGGCCTGGCCTTGGCTAATCTCCTCGAACGGGACGAAACAGACTTCATTGTGCTGGAAGCACGCAACGCAGTAGCTCCAGACGAAGGGGCCATTATCGGAATAGGTCCTAACGGCGCACGTGTTTTTGAACGCATCGGGTGCATTGCGCGTCTATCGGCGGGTGCGCCGTTTGACAAGTCCATTCTCCGCGGTCTAGATGGTGCACCGTTGCGCATATACGAAGGGGTGGTGGAATTCTTCACGGAAAGGCAAGTGGTACATCTGGAGGTGTGAAACGCGTCGGTGCTAATTCGGCTGCTCATGGATAGATTCGCACATCCTGTCTATCTGCTGGAGCGCAGACACATCCTTCAAGTCCTGTACGACAATCTGACAGATAAAAGCAAAGTAAGACTGGGGGAGAAAGTCATCGGAATAGAGCAGAGGGAGAACACAGTCACCGTAAAGACCAAGAAATCCACTTATTCCGGGAGCATTGTCGTTGGAGCAGATGGCACCTACAGCAGGGTAAGGACACAAATGCTCCGCTCCGCGCCGAATCCAAACCCCTGTACACCCTCAGGGCCGAAAGGTAATCTTTAGCAAAGCCTTCCGTTCTGACTCGTCGCTGACCGTGCATCGCAGGCTGGTCGTCGTGCGCTTACGCCTGTCTCTTTGGCATGTCGCCATCACGTAGCGAGTTCGGCCCTGGAACAAATACGATAGTCTTCAAGCGCAACCACTCCTACCTCATGCTTGGCGGGGCACGTGGGCGGATGTCTTGGTGTCTTTGGCACCGGCTGGAGCGGCGACTCTACTTGGATGTGGATGATGTGCGCTTCTCAAAGTCAGACGAGCTTGCCATCGCGCACAGATACTGGGACGACTACGTTGCAGAAACCGTCACATTTGGGGAGCTATACCAGTCTCGTATCACATCGACTCTGACCGCGTGCATGGAGCACGTTTTCCCACAATGGTACGATGGACGCATCATCATCATTGGGGACGCCGCGCACAAGGTACGTCCCGTTGCTTGTGTTTCAAGCCACACGCGCTAAGCCTCAACTCAGCTGGATCCGACGTCCGGACAAGGAGCCAACGCGGCGCTCGAAACGGCGGCTGCGCTGGCCGACGGCCTTCGCCAGGGAAAGTTTGCCAGCGGACCGAATCTCAGTCATGACCTCGCGAGCATCTTCGCCGACGTGCAGGCCAAGCGCATGGGTAAGGTAAAGTGGCTTCTTGAGGACTCCACAAGACAGCAGCAGCTCAAGTCGATGGTCACGCGGCCGCTGGAAGAAGTTGCGTTGCGCAAGATCCCGAAGCTGCCGATAGAGAGGGCCTTTGAAGGCTACATCAACGCACTGGATCCTGACGTGACTCACGAGCGTGAGGCTGGCAGCAAGCTGTGATTCATGGTCCCTGCAGAAGCGCCTGGACTGGTGGAACTACTATCGTGCGTGTTGCAGTTGGTCTCTCTCTTACTAGCGTGATTCCGCCGCCAATCCTTGTTTGCCCGGTTAGGTATCATATGATCGGCGTTGTAACTAAGCCAAGCAATGCATATCTCTGTCGACGCAGCAGGCCCGTGCTCTCTACAGTGCTTTGCTACCGGAGACGGCCTGCGGTGATGGTAATTGGCCCGGGAGGCCGGGCCGGGCGGGAGACCCGACAGGCTGGGTACAACATCCCACACTCGGCCTGTCAGGTACGGGACATAAATAGTCGGAGCGTTCTACTTGCCCGGATACGCCGAGCGCCGCCACGTATCTGTCCGCTATGACTGCAGGCCCTCTTGACACTCTACGCCCCTTTGGGCTCCCGCCCACTCCTGTCATGTCCATCCTCCTCACCTACGCCATCAACGTCTTTAGAACACCGCGCCAGTTTTACGGTTCCGTGATCAAGCACAATGACGACCCGACGGAGGCGCTTGTCCGAGCCGAACACGAAAAGGGCCACGTCAGCCCGAAGCGACTCGGCATGATGCGGCGGTCAGCCGCTGCGTCCAGTAACCTCCAAGAATGCGTGCCTGTTTTTATCGCCGGAGCGATGGCCGCTTGGGTGGGGGGCGTGGATCCCTACCGCCAGAATGTGTACCATATCATCTGGGTCGTAGCGAGATGGGCCTACAAGGACGCATATCTGCGCCAAGCCGGATTACTTCGCACCGCATTATAGTGAGTCATCGCAGTTCTCAAGGTGTAGTCCGTGTATCTCACAAGCTTGGCTGAGTAGTTTCATCTCCATGTTCGTTAGCATTGCGCTACTCGTTGAGGGAGGAAACCTCGTTACGGAGAGATACTCTGCTTAGTGCGCACCATCAGTCTCTCCATCCGCCCGAAGCAAGAGAAGAGTGACGGGGGGAAGTTCTTATGTAACTAGTCATCTTGTAGAGCTAAATTTATAAGATAGGGTCGAGCGTGGGGGTTGTGACGGCCTGTTTCGTTTCTTGCGTATCCGCGGTGGTGGCGGGGACGTTGTGACATGTTTGAAGAAGTATATTACTAATACCCTGAAAATGATGACTTGCGTCGAAGTGGCACTAAATAAAAGAGGATAGCTGGAGCTATGGCCGACTGCGGTCTGACTAAAGTTGGACTCCTTGTAAGTAAGCGAGAAGCTTGAATTAGCTAATTCCCCAACTAACTCTATTGAGTAGTTCTTCAAAGCCTTAGGCTATGTTAGTAATCAGGCAACAGAGGCAATACTTCGCTGCAAAGGAAATGTGCAAAGAAAATGTAACTGTATCATTTCTCATGGAGAGTTAAAGCGAATGGAATTTACAACTGATACGCGACGGTTACATGTAGATGAAACTACCTCGGTAGCCATCAAACACGGGCCGCAGCTAGTTTCGCTCCTGCCGTTCATCCGACAACGTGCACACTAGCTTGACGCCCGACACACCGCCGCCCCCCAGGACAGCCAGGGCTTGCGGGATGGCGTCCAAGCCACAACCGACGACACGATGCGGATGGCAGCGCAGCGGCGCCCCGCCTGCGAGCAGCGTCTCGACCTCCCTGAACCAGGCCACGGCAAAGGCGCGGGTCGCAGGCGAGGCCGGGCTCGTGTAGGGAGCGACCCAGTCGACATTAGTGCCAAAGGCGGCCATGGCGAAGACCCACGAGGGCCGGACCGTCCGGCGGGAGTGGGCAGCGGGCGAGAAGCGGTCGAGCGCGACGTAGCGGCCGCCGGCGGGCCCGAGCGCGGCGTAGCAGAGGCGCGTCGTGTCGGGGGTGGTGGCGATGCAGTCGATGGCCATGTCGAGCGTGTCGGCCGTGAGGGCGCGGATGTCGGCGGCACAGGTGGCGGCATGGTAGTCGAAGCAGTGAGTCGCGCCGCTACGGCGGGCGAGGTCGAAGTTGTGGGGCGAGCAGACGGCGATTGGGTGGAGGCCGGATCTGCATGGGGGCGGGTGTTAGAGCGGGCCATCAGAAGAGCGGGGGGGTTGAAATCTACCTACCGTTGAAGGAGTTGGGTGATGAGCGTTCCGGTTGCGGTGCTGGCTCCGTACACGAGCGCGTATGGGCCCGCTTTTTGCGGGTGCTGTTGCGGATGGGGCAGTTTGAGCGTCTTGTATAGCGCCAGCCCCGCTGTGAGGATGCCGATTGGCAGCGTCGACGCCTCGTCGAAGCCCAGATCGTCCGGGAGCTCAAGCACAAAGTCAGCTTCGGCGACGACGTAGTCAGCAAAGGCGCCCACATCGGGGCGCTTCTGGTCGTATCCGCAGACAACGCCGCACACTCGGGCGCCCACGCGCACGTTTGCCCGCGTTGCGACGACTGTGCCCGCAAAGTCCAGGCCTGCAACTCCGCTCAGCGGCAGCCCGGCTTTGACCATCTTTGCATCCGCTGGGTTCAGGGCCACGCTGGCCGTCTTGATGAGCACTTGGCCATCCGAAAGGCACGGCAGCGGCAACCCTCCGACTGACTCGACAGTGCCTCGGCCCTGCACGACTAGCGCTGTACGTGTCGTCGGCACCTGGTCCATGGCAAATGAGGGAGAGGGGGAGGTGAGATTGGAGGCTGAAAGGATGGTTGTCCAACGAGAGAGGAGAAGCGGCCGGGAGGATTCAGAGCGTTACTGTAGCTATATACACCATCTTGCCACGGATGCCTCTTTCTATCCGTGCTATGCATAAGCTCTCCATCCCAGCCGTAACCGTCCTGCGCCCAACAAGCGGTGAATTGAAGCCTTGTCAGACATCGCAATTGCAACCAGAGCTAGGCGAGGAACCCGATTGCCAAGGTTCAACTATGGCAGTGTCAAAGGCCGAGGCGAGTCGAACGGTAACCTAACGGCTACCGGGGTCCCTGGAGCTACGAAGACCTACACAGAGACGAGTCAATGCAACCACCGAACATTTTGCAAAGCCCGTGTCTTTAATATACGTAGTGCAACCGCATCTTCTTCTCCGAAGAAAAAAAACCTCATTCGTACCAGTTCTTTTCTATCTCGTTCGGTATGGAGCCTATTGCCATCGTTGGGTCCTCGTTCTGCTTTCCGGGCGGAGCAACGACAGACTCGAGCTTCTGGGAACTCCTCAAAGATGGTCGAGATATCCAGAAGGAGCCCGAGCCCGACAGGCTAAACCTTGGGAAGTTTCACCACCACGACGGCGACCGTCATGGCTGCTCGCCCGTCACCAAATCGTACTTCTTGGACGGGGATCCGCGACGTTTTGATGCCGCATTCTTCAGCATCAGCCCGCTGGAAGCGGAGGCGATGGACCCGCAGCAGCGCATGCTTCTGGAAACCGTGTTTGAGGCCAGCGAAAGCGCAGGCTACACTCTGGACCGCCTTCGAGGGTCGGATACCTCGGTGCATGTCGGAGTGATGACCAACGATTACTCGGACATTCAGCTACGTGACATGGAAGATGCGGCCGCATACACGTCTTCGGGCACGGCCCGAAGCCTGTTGGCCAACCGGATATCCTACTTTTTCGACCTCAAAGGGCCGTCGATGACGGTTGACACGGCATGCTCGTCGTCGTTGGTGGCGCTTCACCAGGCCGTGTGCGGTCTCAGCGCCGGCGACAGTAGCCTTGCAATTGTGGCCGGCTGCAACCTGATCCTCGGGCCCGAGGTCTATATCGCCGAGTCGAAGCTACACATGCTCTCGCCCACCGGCCGCTCGCGCATGTGGGACGCGGATGCCGATGGTTACGCCCGCGGAGAAGGCGTGGCAGCCCTACTGCTTAAGCCCTTAAGCCAAGCGCTTAGGGACAAAGACCACATCGAGGGCATCGTCCGAGGCACAGGAGTCAACTCTGACGGGCGTACTCCTGGGATCACCATGCCGAGCGCAGCAGCCCAGGCGCGTCTGATTAGAAGGGCCTATCAAATCGCGGGCCTGGATCCCCTCAAGCCGGAAGATAGGTGCCAGTATTTTGAAGCGCACGGCACTGGAACTCCCACCGGCGATCCAATCGAGGCGAATGCTATCAGCGACGTCTTCTTCCCCAAGAGGAGCAGCGTTGGTTCTGCAGACAGCCTGTTCGTTGGGTCCGTGAAGACGGTTATTGGACACTTGGAGGGATGCGCCGGCCTGGCCGGGGTAATCAAGGTGTTGCTGGCGATGAAGCACGGCGTTGTTCCGCCTAATCTGCATTTCGAGAAGCTGAATCCAGCCATTGAGCCATACTACGGGCCACTGGTCATTCCAACCAAGGCTGAGCTCTGGCCTGCTCCGGCTCCCGGCCATCCGAAACGGGCAAGTGTCAACAGCTTCGGCTTTGGCGGTACCAACGCCCACGCCATCATCGAATCCTACGAGCCGCATCCCGACGTCGACGGAGACTCGGATGCGACCGACGCCCCATTTCCTGGCCCTTTTGTCTTCAGCGCCAACAGCGAGCGGTCACTGCTCGACAACGTGCGCAAAACCGCCGAGCACCTGCAAGCCCACCCCTCCAGCTCCCTCTCCTCGCTCGCCCACACGCTCCTGCACCACCGCAGCGGCCTGCCTCTCCGAACCTCCTTCTCCGCCACCAGCCGCGAGCATCTCGTCTCCCAACTCCTATCCGCCACCCCGGCCGCCCTCCAACCAACCCACCTCCGCCCGCTCACCTCGCCCGACGACGGCCTCGGCACGCTCGCCATCTTCACCGGCCAGGGCGCACAATGGGCCGGCATGGCGGCTCCCCTGCTCGCCTCGTCGCCCATCTTCGCCGCCGCCATCGCGCGCTGCGAGGACGCCCTGTCCAGCCTGCCAGAAGCGGCCGCCGACCGCCCCTCCTTCTCCATCCGCGCCGAGCTGCTCGCGCTGCCTGCCTCGGCCAGCCGCCTCGGGCGCGCCGCCGTGGCGCAGCCTGCCGTCACGGCGGTGCAGATCGGCCTCGTCGACATGCTGCGCGCGGCGGGCGTGGCGCTCGCGGCCGTCGTCGGCCACTCGAGCGGCGAGATGGCGGCGCTGTACGCGGCGGGCGTGCTGGACGCGCGTGACGCCGCGCGCATCGCCTACTACCGCGGGCTGCACGCCGACGCGCTGCCGGGCGACGGGGCCATGATGGCGGTTGGCATGGGGCGGGCCGCGGCTGAGCGGTTCTGCGCCGCGTGGAAGGGCCGCATCTGCGTCGCGGCCGTCAACGCGCCGGCGAGCGTGACGCTGAGCGGCGAGCGGGACGCCATCGAGGCGGCCAAGCGGGCGCTGGACGCCGACGGCGTCTTCGCGCGGCTGCTCCGCGTCGACCGCGCGTACCACTCGAAGCAGATGGAGGCGTGTGCGGACCGCTATCTGGCGGCGCTCACGGCGTGTGGCATCAGGCCGCGGCAGCCGGCACCGACGGCGCCCGTCTGGGTGTCGAGTGTGCGCGGGGATGCGGACTTGTGGTATGCCCAAGACTTTGAGGCGCTGCGGGGACAGTACTGGGTGGACAATCTGGTCAGCCCGGTGCTGTTCGCCGATGCCGTCGAGGCGTCGTGGACGCATGGCGGGCCGTTTGATGTCGTCGTCGAAGTGGGCCCGCACGCGGCGCTGAAGGGACCAGTCGCCCAGACGCTGAAGCAGAAGCTCCAGGTCAGCTTGCCGTACTGCAGCGTCATGGTGCGCAACGAGAACTGCGTCGAGGCGTTTGCTGGAGCATTGGGGCGAATGTGGGAGCATTTCGGCTCCGACGCATTCGACTTTGACGGCTACCGCAGATGCTGGGGGGCGACGGCAGAGCCACGGCTGCTCAAGGGCCTGCCGTCTTATTCCTGGGACCACGCCCAAGTGGTCTGGAGAGAGTCGAGGATCTCGCGCAACCACCGCCTGCGCAACGACAAGCCATACACGATGCTTGGACGACGGTGCCCCGATGACTCGGATGAAGAGCCACGCTTCCGTAACATGCTGAGCCTAAAGGAGCTTCCCTGGCTCGAGGGCCATCGATTCCAGGGACAAGCATTGTTCCCCGCGACTGGCTACATCAGCATGGTCCTCGAAGCCATCGACGCCATTGCCGGCGGTCGCACTGTGAAGTTGGTTGACATTGACGACTTCACTATCGACCGCGCGCTGACCCTGGAAGACCTCACTCGACCCGTGGAAACGGTGTGCTCTTTCAAGATTGGCAGCTCGCGGCACGCGGACCAGCTCTGTGCAAGCTTCACCTGCTATGTATGCACCGACCCTGGCGCCGGCACGCTGCACAAGGCGTCTGGTGGAAAGCTGAGCGTTTATTTCGACGTCTCCACGAACCCGGACGAGCTGCCTCCCAGAGATGGCTCGCTCGTCACGCCTTCAAGTGTTGACGTGAACAGATTCTACGAATCGCTCCGCAACATTGGCCTCGAGTACAGCGGTCTTTTCAGAGGCCTCCGCTTGGCGAGCCGGGCTGATGGCGTTGCGACCACGGTTGCAATGTGGGAAGACGGAGAGATGGTGCCCGAACCGGGGCTGCATCCTGCCGTCTTGGACAGCGCCTTGCAGTCGATATTTGCTGCGTACTGCGCCCCAGCCACTGAAAGGCTATGGACTGCCTATCTTCCGACGGCAGTTAGAAAGATCTCTGTCGACATGCGGACTGCGTTTCGCGATCAACACGGACGGGTAGAGGTCAGCGTCGATGCCCACGTCACGAGCTCTTCCGCATCAGCTCTGGTCGGCGACCTCGCGTTGTACGGGCCTGGAAACAGGCCCGCTGTCCAGCTGGAAGGCTTGACCTTGACCGCACTCCAAGAGGCCGACGCGTCTAACGACCGCATCATCTTCAGCCAACCCGTGTGGGAGGCTGATTTCTTGAGCCGCCCCGCCACCGTCGAACGCCCGAAGGGCCAAGAAGCCGTAGAAGCAGACCTCGTCAGGAAGGCCGAGCGGCTTGCACTGTTCTTCTATCGCAAGATCCTCACCGATGTTGCCGACATTCCGGAGGACCAGCTCAAGTGGCACCACAAGCGGATGATTGAAACGGGCCGCATTATGATCGAGCAAGCACATGTGGGAGTTCGACCACTCATCCAGAAAGATTGGCTCACCGACACCCGCGAAACCATCGACGCCATTCTGCGCGAACACCCAGACCAGATTGACATGAGGCTGTTGCGCGCCGTCGGCGACAATCTGCCCGGCGTCTTCCGTGGCGAGAGGCAAATCCTGGAAGTGCTGTTCGCCGACGACATGCTAACGAAGGTCTACCTCAGCGGCCTGGGCCTGCCACGCCTCAACGCGCAGATGGCGTCATATGCACGCCAGATCACTCATCGGTACCCCAATGCCAAGATTCTTGAGCTGGGCGCCGGCACCGGGGCTACTACAAAAGCACTTCTAGAAAGAATTGATGGCGCCTTCTCATCCTACACCTTCACCGACGTCTCGTCGGGCTTTTTTCCCAAGGCGAAGCAGTTGTTTGCGCAATATGGCTCTCGTATGGTGTTCCAGACGCTGGATATCGGCGTACCTGTGCATGAGCAAGGTTTCAAGGAGCACACCTATGACATCGTGCTTGCATCCAACGTCCTGCACATCACCGACAATCTGGAAGCAATGCTTCAGAGGGTGCGCAAGCTGCTGAAGCCAGGCGGATATCTGCTTGCCGTCGAACCCACTTCGCAGCTGATGCGAGTCCAGCTGATCATGGGTGGGCTGGAAGGCTGGTGGCTCGGTGGCGACGACGGCCGCAGGCTGAGCCCGGCCGCGTCCGCGACAACGTGGGATGAGAAGCTACTGAACTCGGGATTCTCTGGCATCGATGTTATTCACAACGACAACGATGACGAACGGGTCCACTACTACTCTTCGTTTGTGAGCCAAGCTGTCGACACCACGATGACGACTCTTCTCGATCCGCTGGCGAGCCTGCACACCCTCTCAGAAGACGTGCAATTCGCCTTGATTGGCGGCTCGTCCCTGTCGGCTTCTAGACTCGTGCGCTCGCTGCGCGCGACACTTTCATCATATGGGCACAGGGTCCTGCACTTTCCGCACCTTCAGGCCGCCGGCTCGGCCGGACTTTCGTCTCGGACTGCGGTTCTGTGCTTGGCGGAGCTGGACTCACCACTGTTCTTGAATGGTGTAGATGAAGCCGTGCTCGAGGCCCTAAAGAAAGTCTTTGAGAGGTCAAAAGCTGTCCTGTGGCTCACCAGGGAGGACGACGCAACTCCCGGGTACTCGAAGATGATGGTGGGTTTGTCGAGAGGACTGCGTTCCGAGATGCCTTCCCTAAAGCTTCAGATCCTGGACTTGGACGGCAACGTCGCGCTCAACCCCAGTGTGATCGCTGAAAATTTCCTGCGTTTCGTTTTCGCGCAAGAGCTGGGCATCGACGGGCAACCTCTTCTGTGGACAACTGAACCGGAGCTGGCGTTGAGAGGAGATGTATTGCTCATCCCGCGGGTGCGGCCGGATCAAGAGACCAACGATCGGCTCAATTCTTCGCGTCGTCGCATTTTCCATCAAGCCATTCCGGCAGACGAAGAAATCATCCGTGTCTGTCCATCGCAAGTCCTCAAGGCTGTCGCTAAACCAAAGACAGCACGCATTGCGTCGGATCAGATCGAGGTCACTGTGAAAATGTCGACCCTCGCGGCTCTACCGGGGTTGAACTTGCATTTGTGCTTGGGTAAGCTGAGCAGTGGAGAGTCCGTTTTGGCCCTGTCACGAGACAATTCATCGACTACAATAGTTCCGGCGCAACACGCAATCTCCGTCGGAGCGGAGATCCAACCGGGCCAGAATGCACTATCATTAATGGCAGCCATCCTCGCTGCCCTGACATGGATGCATTCCGCCCCCGAGGGCTCGTCCCTCTGGCTTCATGACTGCACGGAATCAATCGGCGACATCTTCGAACATGAGGCTTCCAAACATATGGTTCGTGTGTTTAGGACAACATCTGCGAGCCCGCCACGAGATCCAAAGGCCATCTACATCCATCCAAGAGCGCCTTTGCGCACCATGGGGCTTTTACCGGACCGAGTCGCAGCAGTCATTGTCGACGGCCCGGAGAGCGCGACCGAGCAATTTCTTTCCAAAGCCCAGCTACTAGTCGAGGCGCCCATGTGCACCTTCGGATCCGTCTTCAATTTCCCGGGGAAATTGCCGTGTGCACTTGAAGACGAGTCGGTGCACATGCTGCTCAAGGAAGCCGTCATGTCCTGGACAGAGCTCAACGGCCGGCCACAGATACACGTCCCTGTCCTCGCCACCTCGCCCAACAAGCTCGGTGAATGCATCTCGGACCAACTCATTGTCGTGGACTGGACAGGGGCAGAAAAGATGCAGGTCTGCGTCGAACCTATAGATCCAACCCAGCTGTTTGCGAGCGACAAGACGTACCTACTCGTCGGCTTGACAACGGAGCTCGGCCGCTCCATCTGCGGCTGGATGGTCGCCAACGGCGCTCGAAACCTGGTCCTCACCAGTCGAGCCCCGCAGGTGGACGATGCCTGGCTGGAGGCCATGTCCAGCAAGGGTGCCAGGGTGCTGGTCCTCGAAATGGACGTGGCCGACTGGGAGAGCGTCGCAAATGTGGGCAAGCAGATCTGCAGCGAGATGCCGCCGGTGGCGGGTGTCTGCAACGGCGCCATGGTCCTGTCGGACAAGACGTTCATCCAGACGGATTCACGAGCAGTCGAAGAAGCCCTGCAACCCAAAGTCCACGGCAGCATCCACCTCGACAGACTCTTCTCCGAACAAGACCTGGACTTCTTCATCATGCTGTCTTCTCTCGGAAGCGTCATCGGCACGCCAGGCCAGACAAACTATCACATGGCCAACATGTTCATGGTCGGGCTGGCGGAAAGCCGACGGCGGAAAGGCCTCGCTGCGTCTGTGCTGGACGTAGGCATGGTCGCCGACATTGGGTACGTCACGCGGCAGAACCCGTCGGTGGAGAAGGGCTTGCGGAGAATGTACTTCCTCCCGCTTTCGGAACAAGACGTACACTTCATGTTCGCCGAAGCCATCGTTGCCGGACGACCCGACGCCGCAACGCGCCCGCCGGAGCTCATCACGGGGCTGCGCATCAGCGAGGACGATTCGGAACGTCCGTTCTGGGCCGTCGATCCGAGGCTCTCGTTTTTCGTGCGGGAGGCGAGGGCGGCTGCACAGGCGGCGCAAGACGACGACACAGTCGTCGATCTGGCCGGCCTACTGAACGCCGCGACGGATGGCGATGCTGCCCTGGCCGCGCTGCAGGAAGCTTTCGTCAAGAAGTTGAAAGTACTGCTGCAGTTGCAGACGAGCTCCGTCGATGTGGGGATCCCGCTGGTCGGCTATGGCGTCGACTCGCTGCTGGCAATGGAGATCCGAACGTGGTTTCTGAAGGAGACGGACACGGACATCCCGGTCCTCCACATCATCAACGGAGCCTCAGCAGAGGGCATCTGCCGCGTGGCGCTGGACCAATTGGCTTCCAGAAAGGACAAGCAGAGCACAGCTCCCCAGCAGGAACCAGATCACACAAGCAGCAAGCCAGACAGCTCCACATCGACCGATTCCAACGCCCCAACGCCGCCGAGCAGCAGCAGTCCCTCGCCACAGCCACAACCACAGCAGCAGAAGCGCCGGCCTGCGCCCAAGCCCCGCGTCGTCCGCACGGCGCCACTCTCGCCCGCCCAGTCGCGCATCTGGTTCCTCCAGACCTTCCTCTCCGACCCAACCACCTACAACGAAACCCTCCTCTACTCCATCAGCGGGCCCCTCGACGCGCGCCGCTTCGCCGCGGCCTTCCGCGCCACCGTCGCCCGCCACGCCGCCCTGCGCACCGCCTTCTCGGCGGCCACGGGGGGCCGCGGAGAAGAAGAAGAAGCCGTGCAGAGCGAGCTCGACGCGCCCACGGCCACGCTCCGCACCGTCAACCTCGGCGGCGCCGACGATGCCGACGCCGACGCCGCGGTGCAGCGCGAGTTCGAGGCGCTGACGACGCGCGTCTGGGAGCTCGGCGAGGGCGTGTCGCTGGGCGGTGTGCTGCTGCTGCTGGGGCGGCGGCACGACGACGACCAGGAACACGCCTTCTTCATCCTCGGCGGCCACCACCTCGTGCTCGACGGCGTCAGCTGGGCGCGCCTGGTGCGCGACCTCGACGCGGCATACCGCGGCGCCGCTCTGCCGCCGGCGGCGTCGTACGTCGACTACGCCATCGAGCAGCGGCAGGCGCTGGCGGCGGGCCGGTGGGAGCGCGAGATGGCCTTCTGGCGGGGCGAGCTGGCGCCGCTGCCGGCACCGTTGCCGCTGCTGGGCGTGGCGCAGGCGAGCGCGCGCCGGGCCGTCGACCGGTACGACACGGCGCACGCGGGCGTGGAGCTGGGCGCCGACGCGGTCGCGGCCGTCAGGAGGGCCAGCGGCGCGCTGCGCGTCACGCCGTTCCACTTCCACCTGGGCGTGCTGCAGGTGCTGGTGTCGCGGCTGGCGGGCGTGTCGGAGCTGTGCGTCGGCGTCGTCGACGCGGGCCGGGCGGACCGGCGCTACCTGGAGACGGTGGGCTTCTTCGTCAACGTCGTGCCGGTGCGGCTGCGGACCGGCGCCGACGACGACGACGACACGTTCGACGCGCTGGCCCGGCGCGCCGCCGACAAGGCGCTGCAGGCGCTGGCCCACGCGGAGGTGCCCATGGACGCCGTGCTGGACGAGCTGAAGGTGCCGCGCTCGGCCACGCACAGCCCGCTGTTCCAGGTCGTCATCAACTACCGGCTGGGAGCGCTCGCCCAGGAGACCATCGGCGACTGCAGGATCGAGTACGTCCGGTCCAAGAGCTCCAGCAACCCGTACGACCTGACGCTGGACATCACCGAGTCGGCCGGCGGAACGTGCATGCTGAGCCTCACCGGCCAGGACTATCTGTATCCCACGCACGCGTGCCAGCTGCTGCTCGACGCCTACGTCCACCTGCTGCGCTCGCTGTCCGAAAACCCGCGCCTGCCCGTGGCCCAGTGCAGGCTGTATGGAGCGCGCGGGCTCGATGAGGCCGTCCAGCTCGGCCGCGGCCCAAGGCAAGATGAGAGCGAGTGGCCAGACACCATCTCGCGGCGCGTCGAGCAGGTGGCTGCGAGCATGCCCGACAACACGGCCGTCCAGGAGAGCGACGGCCGCGCCTACACGTACGCGACGCTGGCCCAGAAGGCAGACTCAGTGGCCGAGGCTGTTGCCGACGCGGCATCGCTCGACGGCACCACGGCCTTCGTCTGCCTGCTGTTCGACCCGTCGGCCGCCTTCATCTGGTCCTTGCTGGGCACTCTCAAGACGCCCGCCGTGGCCGTCCCGCTGGACGCGACGATGCCACGCGAAAGACTGCTCAGCATCGTCCAGGACTGCAAGCCCGCCGTCATCCTCTGCCACGCGGCCACCATCTCGCTCGCCGCCGCCCTCGCCCTCCCCTCGACCACCGTCGTCATCGACGTCTCGACGCTCGCCCCCGCCGCGGCGCCCGTCCCCAACACTTCGACGCCGCTCGCCCCCGCGCTGGCCTACTACACCAGCGGCACGACGGGCGCACCCAAGGGCGTCCTCGTCACGCAGTCGGCCTACCGCCACAACATGCTCGCCAGCACCGCCGCCTTCGACATGTCAGCCGCCGACACGGTGCTGCAGCAATCCTCGCACGCCTTCGACATGTCGGCCCTGCAAATCTTCGTCGCCCTGTCCGTCGGCGCCCGCCTGGCAATCGTCCCGCGCCCCGCCCGCGGCGACCCGTCGGCCGTCGCCGAACTGCTGCACGCCCACGGCGGCGTCACGACGGTGCTCGGCACCCCGGCCGAGTGGACGATGCTGTTCCAGCACGCGGGCGCCGCCGTGCGCCGGTGTGCCGGTACGCTGCGGTGCGTCGCCATCGGCGGCGAGGCCTTCGCGGTGCCGCTGATCGCCCAGTTCCGGCGGCTGCTGCCATCGCCGCCGCGGCTGTTCAACATGTACGGCCCGACCGAGACGAGCATGATCTCCAACGTCGGCGAGCTGCGGGGATACCACCACGAGACGACGACGACGACGCCCGCCGAGAGCGCCAACCAGCGCCTCGGCGTCGGGCCCACCCTGAGCTCCTACTCGGTCTACGTGCTGGACGCGGAGCTGCACCCCGTGCCGCCCGGCTTCCCGGGCGAGATCTGCATTGGGGGCGCCGGCGTGGGGCTGGGCTACTTGAACCAGCCCGACCTCTCCGCCGCGGCCTTTGTGCGCGATCCCTTCGCGACCGCCGACGACGTCGAGCGCGGCTGGACGCGCATGTACCGCACCGGCGACCGGGGCATGCTCCGGCCGGACGGCTCGCTGGTCGTGCTGGGCCGTATGGACGGGGGGCAGCAGCAGCAGGTCAAGATCCGGGGGCTGCGCATCGAGCTGGAGGACGTGGCGGCCAACATCGTGAAAGCTTCCGACGGGAAGCTGGCGCACGCGGCCGTCGTCGTCAAGGGCGAGGGAGCCGAGGCGCAGGTGCTGGTCGGGTATGCTGCTTTCTCTGCTGCTGCAGACGTGCCGGCCGGAGACGACGAGGAGAAGAAGCGCTTCTTGGCCGAATTGGTGGCCGCGTTGCCGGTGCCCGAGTACATGCGGCCGGCCGTGATCGTGGCGGTGGAGCGGCTGCCGATGAATGCGCAGGGCAAGGTCGATCGGGCGGCGTTGGCAGCGCTGGAGGCTCCAATGCTGCGCGAGGCCGCTGACGTTGCACTCGACCACCTGTCGCCGCTCGAAGCGGAGCTGTGGTCCATCTGGCAGACTGTTCTGCCCACCGCCGTCGTCCAGGCGAGTCCGATCCACAGCGGTTCGGATTTCTTCCGTCTGGGAGGAAACTCGATGCTGCTAGTTACCCTGCAGAAGGCCATCACGGAGAGGTGGCAGGTCAAAATACCCCTCCTCGACATGTTCCAGGCAAGCACCCTGGGGCAACTGGCGGCCAGGATCGCCAGCGGGCAGAAGAGGGTGAAGGACAGCACCCACAAGGCCTTCTGGGACGATGAGACCCGATTCGACTTGCATGAAAGCACCCCCGATCCTCGACCGCATCAAGCCCAAGTCGTTGACGGGGGCGGCGCCAGCATAATCCTCACCGGCGCGACAGGTCTTCTCGGCTCCGTGCTCCTTCGCCTTCTCCTCGACGACGCCAGCGTCTCAACCGTCCACTGTCTGGCCGTCTCGCCGGATTACGACCGCGGAAAGCTTCCCCCCCAGTCCGAAAAGCTCACCATCTACACCGGGAGCCTAGGAGATCCGAACCTGGGCCTGACACCCGAGCAGCAACACCACCTCAGCACCACCGCCACGGCCATCCTCCACGCCGGCGCCGAAGGCTCCTGCCTCAACACCTACGCCTCCCTCCGCGCACAGAACGTCGAGTCCACCAAGTACCTCGCGGCCCTGGCGCTGCGCTGCTGCCGCCACCACCACATCCCCCTGCACTACGTCTCCTCGGCGCGCGTCGTCCTTCTCAGCGGCCAGACATCCTACCCGCCCGCCTCGGTTTCGTCCTTCTACCCAGCCCCCGACGGCGACGAGGTGCAGGACGGACAGCAGCGCTCCGAAGGCTTCACGGCGACGAAATGGGCATCGGAGGCATTCCTCGAGAAGTGCGCCCGAGCAACCGGCTTGAATGTCGTGGTCCATCGGTCGGGCTACCTCATATCAGAAGACGCGGCCGACCCCGTCAACACGATCCACGCCTTTTCGCAGAAGCTGGGCGTCGTGCCCGCCTTGGACGACAAGTTCGAGGGCTATCTGGACTTCTGTGACGTCGCCAATGTGGCGAGGGAAATCGCGCTGGAGGTTGTGCGGGATGCGGAAAGGGTGGTGGCGGCGCGCGGGGGAGGGGTAAGATTCATACATCACACCGACGATTGCGCGGTGCCCATGGGCGAGTTCCGCGAGTATATGCAGCGGCGATACGGGATGCCTTTTGCCGTCTCGCCGATGAGGGAGTGGGTAGCGAATGCTAAGCAAGTTGGCATGAGTGAGTTTCTTGCTTCATTCCTCCTGGCGGTTGATCAGAAGGGCGAGGGAATCCGATACCCGCGGCTTTTAAAAGAGTAGTGTGGTAGTAGAAGGCGTGTAGATAGATAATGTTTTCTTCCGTTGCTTGTAACGGCGAACTTACTAGTTAGAGCTCTCGCCTTCTAGTTCGGGTTTATTTGAGTACGGAATACTGGTATAAAAAGTGGCTTTTTCTTAGATGGCGGCTATAAATTTAACTTCTCTATCTCGAGAGTTTAACTTCTTTTTATCTAGGTGCTAAATTTCCTCCAGAAGAGATATTTGTTTTTGTCATCTCGCCGCTCACCAATAACCTGCTTGCTCATTCCGGAACCGTAGCGCCCTGAACCTTGGATGCAAACCTTGCCTCTAGTTCCTTGTCGGTGAGGAGAGGAAGACCCACAATCTCATTATCAACCTTTGGATACGCGGACCGATATTTCCCTCCAAGAAGACATGCTTTCAGAATGGGGAAGGTGTGGCCAACGTTACCTGGGTCCTTCTCCAGGTCTTGAAGACTTCTGTCCAGCTCTTGCTGTGCGTCAAGCTTTGTTTCGGTCCACTGCGTTCCTGGTGGGCTGTACTTCTTCGCCCATTGAAAGAGCTTGGCCTGAGTCAAAACAGCCTCATGGATGAAGATGTTGCGGTTCTTTGTAGCCTCACGTGCTTTGAGAGATCCAGATACCGCACGTCCAACGCCGGACACGCTCGTAGAGCTGAAGGGATGCCGTCCTTCGTCATACACCTGAATCGAATGTGCTTTGGGATCGAGGATGAGGGGAGAGTCGAGGACGAAGTCCAGGAATGCTCCCACGGAGAAGATTGTGTACTCGAGCGCACCAGAAGCTGCCTTGTCCTTGAGGTAGTCCTGGATTTCCACCATCGGACGCAAGATGGGCAGCGCTCGAGCATTCGGGTCGGTCGTGAAGGAACCCCAATCAGCCGGAATGTAGCGCTTCACTCCGGCTTTGATGCTGGCATCGATGATCGTTTTTTGCCCGAGTAGTCCAGACATTCCCACCGTGTTGACAACAACATCCTGTCCAGTCAAAGCCTCTACGAGACTTTCCTGGGAGGAGTAGTCGACTTGATGAACCTTCACACCAGAAGGAATGTCATGAACGCTTGAAGCATTACGGCTCAAGACAGTCACCGTAAATTGGTCCTTGGCCAGCTGTTCGAGGACTGCACTGCCAAGTAGGCCTTTCTGTGGCATATTTAACTTGTGTACACGCGGAGCCGATTCATGAGAGGGACTTACGCCAATGAGAGCGACTTTTTGAAAGGATGTCATTTTGGGATGTCAGTTGAGCCGATTTGGGGAATCTGTTCGGATTTAACTTGGGGCTCTGCGATGAGTCCTCAACGGGTTGATATACTTACTGTGTGGTCCTTATGTCTTACACTCGGTGATGGGTTTTATCACCCACCACGACAGGAACCAATTTATATATGTAAAAAAGCCATTACTACAGTCCTATCACATCATCGTAGACTATTCAGACATCACTCAGGCTATTTGTCATGGTGCTTATGTGATGAACCAGTACACTTTGTCCTCGTAGTACTTTCCGGCCAAATTTCTAAGCCATTCGGATCCGAATACATCCGGTTCCGAATTCAAATTTCTATGTACATTCGGATTCGGATTCGAAAACATCCGCGGATTGAGGGCGCTAAGTAACTTTCAAGATGCTTCCCGGGAGAGTAATGAGTAAAGAAAATACATACCTACTGCGCTTGTGTTAATTACAGAGGGCTACATTTATCTCAATTCAAACGAATACGTTCAGTACGATAGTCACCCCGCCCCATCATTTCACCTTTCATCATTCCGTCAACGTAACAGTACCCAACCAGCAGATACTTATTCCTGTCACCGTCAGGTCGAAGAAGAAACGGCATTGGACATCCAAGTAAGATGGCGACAACGTCGCCCGTCATCATCCTGGCCGGACCAAGGCCCATGTGACCCGACTCAGTAAGAAAAAACTTTCGTCCGATGCAAGGCTCTGCAGCGATGTAGAAGGATCTACACCTGTTCTCGCACCTTGCAAGCCTTTGAGAAGCGTCCCGCCCCGAATGTTCCATATCCTTCCACGCTTGTACGTACTCCAGATATCCATGGAAATAGTACTCGAACACATCATCCGTAGGCGTATAAGCAGAGTTGGGGTCATTGAAGGGGATTGCTGCGCATAAAGTCCTCCCAAGTGATCCCTCATGGTACTCAGCTTTCTCCAGTATGTTTTGAACCTCTTTGATCCATCTGGTTAAATGCGATATTCGTTCGCCCAGGTCGGGCGCTGCAGCCATGTGAACGGCCCATGTTGTATGAGGACTGAGTTGAGTATTGTCTCTAGTGAAGAGCAGCTGTGGACCCTCGGTGCTGATGATGTTCACTTTGGTACACACTTTTGCGAGAGTATCCAGCTTCTGATAGGACTCTCTCGAACCAGAGAAGAACACATAGCAGACGCTTTCCCCTGATGCGCAGTAGCCTGCAGCTTCGGAGTGCTTCCACATGTCCTCAGATCGTTTTGTTTCTGTCCAATCCGGTACCCAGGATGGTGTGGAGATGTTGTTGTCGGTATTGACATCTGCTAGAATACTTAGCAGGCGCCGAGGACAATTGAAAGGGCACTGCGAGTGGCAAGAATGGTTTAGATCGCCCAGGAATCTGTATGCAAGCTCCTGGAAGATTTTCGCTTCTCGTCGACGATAATCAACTGGCACTCCGGGGTCAGTGCAGCAAATGCCTAAAAGAGCGAATAGTTTGTCTCGTCTATTGGTGGCCTCCAATGGCTTGGTTATTTGCATCAAAAGCTTTGGTTCATATCTTGAGTGCTTTCCCACCGTTGGATCCAGGTGGAGCGTAATGAATAGCCGAATCCTTTTCACAAATTGCATATAGTAGACGTTCTTGTCGCAGAGGTTCTCCAAAAGTTCCATTAGTAGTTGTGCACGATCGAAAGAGCGAACTTGCTTAAGGAAGTCCATCCATCTGATCTGAGACAAACCACACACCAGGAGGGCATTTCGTGAGACCGCTGCCTCTTGCAATACCCATGTTCTGCTGAACCATGGAGCGGTCAGGATCGCTGCGAGTGCTGACATGGCCGCGATTGTTTGACGCTGGATGAAAAACATCCGAGCTTCTTCTGGCCCGGTCCTGGGGTCTTGTGCAGCGATATGAAAGTCTCGGAGAAGCTTGAAAGCCGTCCAAAATGGCCTTTCATCAGAGGAATCAGCTGGATTTCCTATGAATATCAAGGTTTTCCAGGCGTGTGCGTAGATCTCCTTCATGTACCGAATCTGACGATGTTTTTCGGGAAGGTTTTTCTGATCAATTGAATATTGATCAATCCAGAAGAGGAAGGATCTCTTATCACCTGCATCCCAGCTCTCGCGTATGTACCCGTATACAACATAAAGTGGATGGTCTTGAACCAGCCAATAGTTGTTGTATTTTGGAGCAGCGACATTTGTTTGGGGAGTAGGCCATGTGTATGAGAGGGCAATGTAGTAAGGCAAACGGTCGAGAGATCGACACTGACTTCGAAAGTAGAGTTTCGGTGCCGTTCTATTGTCGTCTTGAAACAGTGTGAACTCAATCAAGCGAATTTGCCGTTCTCCAAGTGCTTGATAATCCATCTCAGGGTTGTGCTGGTCCCAAAGCCTCTCCGAACAAAGCCAAACTTCATTTTGTGAGAAGTCCATAGTCGATTACGGCTTGTTTCTCGGACCAGATAGAAGTCTCCGGAGAGGAAGTCGATTGAAAAATGCGCAGTGGCGCTGGACTCAACTCCCAATATGCTTTATCCGGGAGATTATCCGATCACTTTGGCTGGAAGGTAGTTGCACACCTTAATCGCACAAAAGATCCACAATCTGATCACGAGTCAGCTATAGCAATAAGTAGATCTGCTGACTAAGGCTTGCCTAGATATTTCAACCGTTAGGGCGACTGATATGCTTATTTGGTACGTGATGTTTCCGCGTTTGGTGCGCAATACGCGTGTCGCAGGAGTACGGCCTACAAGGCCGGTGACGAAAATGGTTGATTCTTGTTCAGACGAAAATGTTCCAAGACGTGGGAAAGCATGTGCTTAAGTGCGAATCATTTTCGCTCCGTGCTCAGCCTCACGCATGTCAGCCTCATGCATGTCAGCGTCGTGCATATCCAAGTTTCTGCGCCCGCGGGTCGGGGTTTGCCCCTCAGCCTACCTCTCTTACGCAGGAGGCTAAAGGTTGACCAATCAAAGCGTATGTAGTGCAGTACTATATAATTGATTCCGGCTTCATCACCGTGTGCCATTGTCAATTATAAGTGCTGATACTGAAAGGTAAAAGCCTGGGGTGTTCCCTAATGAATTCTTCGAATTCCTTAGCCAGAGTCTTGCCTTTACATTAAATATATACCTCTCTAGATGGTCTCCTCGAGAAATAATCCAATGCTATTTTGCTCCGGCTACCAAGGTGTGAAACCATTAGAAAGCCACTTACGCGACAACCACCCCTCGCCAGATGCCCAGTGTAGCACGTGGGTAGGGATACTTTTCGTCTTAGGACCACATAGCGATCGGGTTCGTGGCATTTGCCGGCCTCTCCTGCATCACGTCCCAATGTTCGACAATGCAGCTGCCATTCATCCTCAAAATATCCACCACAGCAGTCGGCTGCGCCGCCCCCGCAAAATTCACTCGCAAAAATGCATAACCCCAGCCATCCTCAAAGGCAGTGTTGATAACATCGAAAGTCGCACCAGCATCAATAACTGCTTGGACGGCGTCCATGGAGTTCTGACGCCCGCTGAGAGTGTTGGGATTGTGCTGGATGTAGTCCTTAGCAACGTAGGTTAGGTAAGCCTCGGTGACATTCCCGCCGGGTGCGTAGATCAGGTTGGTGAAATTGGCGAAGGCGGCGCGCTGCTCTTCAATAGTTGCGGTACAAGGTGGGCAATGCGAGTTTAGATTGTATTTCGAAGTCGCGGTTTCTGTAAGTTCTGGTGTTGCGATGCCGGCCGTAAGAGGGAGGAAGCTCGTAAGAGCGTAAAGTATAGTAGAACTTAAGATTAGCATGCTGACAATGGTTCTCTTTTTCTTTTGATCAAACGACTAAAATTGAAATATTCTACTTTCCTGCAATAACAGAACTTATTTCCTTTTGAATACCTTGTCTTAGTCTGGAGCCGGAACTCGGAAAGCTTATCCGCAACTCGACTAAGCTACTTCTCTATTTCGCCCATTAATTTGTCAGCTTTTCTACACGCTTAGACTTCATTTCAATCTGTGCGTCGATGTTTCATTGCTTTAAGCAGCTGGGGCCTGAATAAGTAGAGTTCCTGTCTTCCGAGATAAGCCGAGTGTCCTATTTCTCGGTTAAACTCGGATGCAACACACACAACGGGGCGGTCTTGAACCGAAGGTTCCGTCCGATCAGCCAATTTTTAACTATATAATCGATTAGATTATAAATCGTTATACCGCTGTACGTGCACCAAGGATGTGCGCCGGGCCAGCAGCGCCCGATACTCCGAGGATCATAGGCATTCATCAATTATTGCTTTCGAAACAGCGCAGAACGCCACGTAAACTACATATAAATACTTGACTATGTCCATGAGCTATGGTGATGCTACAGAACTCAAAGTGAGAAGCCATCGAAAAAATGGGACTGGTCAATGAAACGTTGTCTACTAAACGGTACCCTTCTAGTGGCCTATCGGCTCTGGTGATCGGCGGAGGTATCGCAGGCCTTTCGTTTGCCATTGAGGCTTATCGAAAAGGCCACGATGTTCGAATTGTTGACCGAAGGCCAAATTTCGATGATTATGGTAAGAAACGAAAAAGCGCTCAAGGGGGAGGAGGATGTCTGCTGGAATGATGAACCTGTGCTGACCATCTTTCAGGCGACGTTATCGCTCTGCAGCAGTCTGCTCTGAAAACACCCCAACAGTGGTCCAATTTCATGGAGCGACTACAGAATGTCAGCATCTTTTCGCCTCTCGACATGCGCAAGTACGATGGCACGTCGGTCGGCCAGTTCCCCCCTACCAACCCAGACTATCCGAGCCTGGTTACCACTCGTTCAGAGCTCCACAAGCTCCTCTATCAATACGCCCAGGAACTTGGAATTGCTGTCGAGTTCAACGCCACGGTTGCCGATTATTACGAGACGGATGAAGCCGGCGGCGTACTCCTCAGTGACGGCCGGAAGCTTGAAGCTGATGTAGTCGTCGCGGCGGACGGTGTGGGCTCCAAGGCTTGTCTACTTGTCTCCGGCTACAAGGACAGGCCTAGCAGCAGCGGTTCTGCTGTGTATCGTGCTACGTACCCAGTCGCCGTAGCTCTCCAAAATCCAGTCATTGCGGAATGGCTTGCCGGTCACGACACTTACGTAGCCATGTTCATGGGCCCCGACGCGTACGTGGTCATTGGTAGGACTGAGAACACAGTATGCTGGGTCATGACACGCAAGGTAAGTATTTGGGTGCTATCAGCACTACTTCAAAATATATCACTGAATATATCACAGGACGATGGCGAAGCTGAAGAGAACTGGAACAAGACGGCACCTACGCACAAAGCTCTGGATTATGTCAAGGGATGGGCGCCCATCGTGCAGGAAATGATCAAAACAACGCCGAATCAGTCTTGCACCGATTGGAAATTGATGTGGCGTGATCCACAGGACAGTTGGGTATCGCCTTGCGGTCGAGTTGTTCAAATTGGCGATGCTGCACATTCCTTTTTGCCAACTTCTGGTGCTGGTGGGACTATGGCGATGGAGGATGCATTTTCCCTTGCATCTTGTCTACAGCTGGCCGGAAGGAGCAATGTGCCCTTGGCGCTGCGCGTTCACAATAGACTGAGGTATTTTAGTCGTCCCCTTCTCTCCTACCATCCTGTCCCCGCTTGACTGACGCATGCAGATTTCAACGTGCATCGTGTGCATTAAAAACGGGCCTGAAGAATCGTCAGCTCTTCCACAAAACGGACTGGGAAGCTGTGGCTAAAAACCCACAGATAGTCGGCAAATTCGTTGGTGACTGGATAGTGAAGCATGACCCGGAGGCATATGTCTATGAAAACTACGGCAAGTGCGTCAATCACCTGCTCATGGGAGCCCCTTTCGAGAATACCAATGCCGTTCCTGGGTACCGTTACAAGCCATGGACAGTTTCAGAGGTTCTTAAGGCTTATGAGGAAAATGGACAGCTTGCCGATGAAGGTGAATGGTTATAACTGCACAGCATGTAAACATTTCCAGTTGTAGACTCTGAATTTGAACACTTGATTTCGCATTTTCTATTGTGTGCACCTATTCCAGCTTGTACGTATCCACTTAAGTGTTGCTCAGATCGAGCTTGCGGGCTGACTGTTGGCTTACACACACTGACAAATATCTTGGCATTGGGTATCATTTTCCACCGACATCTGAATGCGGGGCTCGCAAACATGGTGTGCTGTACATTGAAAACGGCGATCCAGTAAAATTCCCAGGGTCTATCTGTTGTGCCGGAGCGCTTCCCTTTTCGGCGGCTAGTGCTGACAAAAACGAGGCTTGCTGGTCGCTGCTTGACGTGATCCGTGCTTATCTGGATGGGGGCCAAAATATATCCCCGTCAAAACACCACGACAAGCCGCTCTTGATACACGCTTATTTGGTGCGATATAATGTCGTACAAAAGCACTGGGCTTAGATAAACGCATAAGAATATCATCATCAATTTTATTCAGCGCACAGTCACAAATGCATCCAATTTCGGCGGGTGATCTTTCAACCACACTATTTATCCTTGCCTAGTCCCTGGAAACATTACTCGTACGGCCTTAGCGTCAACATACCACAGTCGCAGCCCTTTCCAGAGTGGTACTCATGCCCGCACTTAAACTAGGCGAAGGTTCGGCATCCTTCGCACTTGCCTGATCTGAACCGCATAAATACCCTATGGCCACGCGTCGATTGAGATCTTGATCGTACTCCACAATCCCTCGACAACATGCCTTCCCCAGCCGAAGCGCCTCTTGCGCTGTCACTACCTCTGGCTTCGGTGGTGCTTGGTGCAGCTACCCACATATCGAGTTTTAGGCTCCAACTGGACGACTATGGATGGCGCCTTCTCGGCCTCTGGAATTTGACGTTGACTCTGTTATTTCTCTGGCTCAGCCGTAGTTACGATTTTCTGGCGGCGACTCGTCTGGTCCTCACATTTGCGGCTACATTTCTCTTCGGCTTCTTCGGCAGCACTACCGTCTACCGTTTCTTCTTTTCGCCTCTCCGCAAATTCCGTGGTCCATGGCAGGGCGTGTTGACTTCGTTATACCGCCTGCACGCAGCGATTACCACCGATGTCCGTCTCTTCCGCTCGATAGACAGCCTTCACAAGCAGTATGGCGATTACGTCAGAATTGGAGCACGGGAGATCTCCATCCTTAACCCCTCGGCAATTCCTCTCCTCTACGGAGCCAAGGCGCAATGTAAAAGAGGAACGTGGTACCACCACTCGCCTGAGGCCGAGGAAGATAGACAGGTGCTACTTATTGCCGATCCTACTATTCACTCCTGGAGGAGAAGGATCCTCGACAGAGGATTCAGCAGCAAAGGCAAGTGGCTCCCTCACCTTGCCATCAGATCACGATTACGTGGAGACATTGCCCAATTCAGTCGGAATGAGAAACTACATCCTTCATGTCAAAATGCAGCTTAGGCTGGGGGAAGAGCTGCAAAAAGTTAACCCAATATTGGAACTCTATCTGACATCTTTTCAGCTCTTGCCGACTACGAGCCCCGCGTCCAGGAGGTGATCAACGACCTCATTCGAGCTCTCGAAGCCCGAACGGGAAGCTCGGTTAACTTAACTGATTGGATCAGCTTCTTCGCATTTGACGCCATGGGCCGGGTTGCCTATAGCCAGGAATTCGGAATGATCAGAGACGGAAAAGGTTCAGTTACGTTTGCGGGCAAGACTACGTCCCACGAGGCTCTGCGCGCCACGATGAAGATGTACGGGATTTTCGGCCCCGTCCCGTGGCTTTTCAAGATGATCAGCCAAATTGGCCTGGTCGGCGAGATGGCAACCTTCTTCCAGTGGTGCCACTCCACCATGCGCACGAAGCAACAGGTGAGAATCCTCCAGAGAAGGCCTGTACTTGAACTCTCCCTAACCCAAACCCAGAGCTTCGACGCCATCAACGACACCCCCACCGACATCTCCAGCTGGATCATCAAGTCCCAAAACGACGCGTCCGACATCAACAAGCGCCCGACGCAGCGCTCGCTCGAAAACGACTCCATCCTCCTCATCCTCGCCGGCAGCGACACTGCCGCCTCCGCCATCACCAACGCCATCTTCTACCTCACCCAGGACCCGGCTCGTCTCGCGAAGCTCCGCGCCCAGCTCGCGGCGCTGCCCGACCGCAGCCTCAAGTCCCTCGGCACGGTGCGTTACCTCGACCACGTCATCAACGAAACCCTGCGCCTCAAGCCGCCGGCGATCGAAGGCCTCGTGCGCGAGACGCCGGCTGGCGGCCTGACGCTGCCCGATGGTGTGTTTGTGCCTGGTGGGACGATGGTGTCGATCCCGCCGTGGACGTTGCACCGGGACAAGCGGTTCTGGGGTGAGGATGCGGATGAGTTTAGGCCGGAGAGGTTTGAGGGGGTGGATTTGACGAGCGAGACGGTGCCGTGGATGCCTTTCACAAGGGGGGCTTATACTTGCCCTGGCAAGCAGTTGGCGTATATTGAGATGAGGGGTGTTATTTCGGCGGTTGTGATGGGTTTCGATCTGACTCTTGCGGAGGGACAGAGCCCGAAGGAGTTTGATGAGGGGTGTCAGGACTCGTTTACGTTGACGAATCCGCCGTTGATGGTGGATTTGAAGAAGAGGGAGGTGTGAGGGAATATCGAGGGTTTGCGGTGCTGTTGGAGGTGGAAATATTGCTGAGATGTGTTACTCATGATTTTACATGCACTATAGCCAATTGTGATAAATAAAGGAACGTTTAAAATGACTGAGCATGGTATCCGCCAGAATTTGCTACTGGGAACGTGATGGGCATGCATATTTTCAAATTAATCGGCAGAACTTAGTCCATCACATCAACCCACTAACATACCGGTAAAACAGGTAGGGAATTTGACGCAAGCCTTATCCAATAGATAGAGCATTCGTATCGGCTCCAGCAATTCGGCCCACCGCATAAGCAAAATGGTTATAGGCAGCGCCAGCTTGGATGTTGCTGCTTGAATCTTCGGAGGATTTGATGATCGGTTTACAAAACGCTGGAGGTCAGCTGGGTCGCTCGTAAGACGAGTTGTAACCATGAATACACGTTGGCCGAGGGCTTATCCCATCAATTGAACGTCGTTCTCGAGTCCGGTAAGTCCGCCTCATGGAATAGTGATAAGCAGGCAAGTCTTGGAGTAGAATCTGTCTGCCTCAAGCGGATAGATTCCAAGCAAGGCCAGGTTCTCATCTTGCCTTGTGTCTCCACGGTATTAATTCACTTACAAAGACAACTGGTATTTAGGGATTTAGATTTTGGAGTATGCAACGATGAGGAGTTGGAACATGAATCTTTAATGCTTGGTAATCTCAGCACTGCTGGCCAATAGCATCGCAGGGTTAAAAAAAATTGTGTTATGACGCGGGAGAGCGGGTCGAACGGAGCCATTGGCCAGCCGAAGTTTAGACTCCCATCGGCCATGAAGCAGTGTGGTCAGCTGCGCTCAATGGGTGCGTCTGAAGAGCCAAGAAAGCTGGGCGCAGGAAGGTGATGTGATAGGCTAAGAGATCGTGGGAAAGCTTATCGTCCTGGAGCAGGCACAACGTTGCGCGCGCATCGTAGATGTAATTCACGGCCGGCATTGCTCATGTCGAGGCCGCTAGCCGAAAAAATACCAATGCCCCTTTAATGCGCTGATAACGGCTCCCTGCACGAAGGGCAAGGCTGAGCATCCCGTGCGCCGCGTAGTTCTCGTATAGAGCCATGCACTCTGCTTACAATACGTCCGCTACCGCATAGGTTGCACGAATTTCGCTTCATGATACTATTCACGGTAAAGACAGCCCTAGATGTTTCAACGCATCGGCACTTAGGTCTAGGTCATGGGAACCAATAGCTGAACAATCCATTTTTGGTCGCATATCTTTGGGGCTGACCCCGTTCTGCCTCTGCCTAAAACACATGCAGCCTTCTCACTCACTCCAAACTCTCTTTCCGCCACATTTTCCAACCATCCTCTCAAACGACCAGATTCGCATGTTTCCTCCAGCAATTCCCCACCCAAAAAAAAAAAAGCGCTGTCAACACTCGACAAACTCATGAATCATGGGCTCTGCGCAGTCAGGGGAAGAAGGGCGACCCAGCAAGCGGCTAAAGAATGCCCAAGGAGAACCGGCTCCCCCGCCCTCATCCTCTCCAAAAGCTTGTCTATCCCCAGCCCTAGCTGAATCAGCTCTAGAAGTTCCTGGAAACAACGAAGCGACCTCACGCCGAGAAACGGTCTTTCCGCCAGCTGAAAAGCCAGCATACACTGTAAAAAGCCCGCCGCCCATCCATTCTGCTTCCGCAGACATCCCTCAAGAGTTCTCGAATTTCTCCAACAAGACTTTCAGACTCAGGGGTATCCATAAGGAATGGGATCGTAGTCGTGTGAAGGAGCAGGTGAAAGTCGAATTTCGTCTGCCAGATGCAGCTCAGGTCCATATTCGTTCCATCTCGCCTGATCCATCTGATTCGGAACGTCAAATTGCCACACTCGACCTCACAGAGATGCCCAATGGAATAGCTCACGCAAGCCACCCTTCGGAGTGGATGCCATATTCTAGAGGGGAAGACTTGGTCCTTGACACAAACTTCTTTGGATTAACGCCACTGCACGAAACAGACGACGCCAAATGCACTTTGACGTGAGTTTATTGCAAAGTCTGCTTGCCTCTGCTGGGCGACTGCTAATCATTCACGGTTTAGCGTGATTGCCGTGCCTGGATTGAACGGTCATGCTTTTGGCACTTTCAAAGCTAGAAGCAGAGGTCGTACGTACATGTGGTTGCGAGATAGCCTTTCCAAGGACCTTCCTCATGCACGCATCTTCATCTTCGGCTATGGTACAGAATTGCAAGAGAGCAAATCATTCGAGAACATTGGAGATCTCGCTCTGAGGCTCCAGCATGCTATCAAAGTTGTCTCAAAAAATGAGGTAAGAATCTTGTGAATGTTTACAAAGTGACCCCGAGAACTAAGAAGACTCCAGAATTCAAACGCCAGACGGAATATAGTGTTGATTGGTCATTCTTTAGGCGGAATAGTAATCAAAGAGGTGCGTGGATCTGCTTTTCTTTTTTCTTCACACTTCCCTAGCTAACGAAAGTTTCCTTAGACTCTCAATAAGATGTTCGCCACGCAAAACACAGACGGAACCAACTTGGAATCAATTCGTGGACTGCTTTTTTTTGGTGTCCCCAACCAGGGAATGACTATCGAGTCATTGATCCCGATGGTCAACAATCAACCAAACCGACAACTAGTCGAAACCCTCAACGAAAACTCAGATGTTCTCCGACACGTAACGAACAATTTCACTGCCTCATTGAAATTCTCAAATGCAAAAGTCATCTGTTTCTATGAGACAGAAAAATCCCCCACGGCAATTCAGGTATGTTCATTTTCACAATCAAAACACGTATGGGGGTCTGACGTCTGGTAGACCAATGGTATTTGGACAATGTCTGGACCGCCACAAATCTTAGTGGGTCGCCATTCTGCGACGGAGAGATGGCAGGATAAACAGGATACAAGGTATCCTGTCAAAGCGACGCATTCCGGAATGGTGAAATTTGAGAACAAATTCGAAGAGACATATGGTACTGTGTTGGATCACTTGAGGAGCTTTCCGGAGAAAGCTAAGGGTTAGTGTATTTGGTCGTCGATCACCAAGTCTACTTAGCTGAATATATTCTTTAGTTTGCATTCGCAAATTATCCGATTCGGAAAACGGTTAGTCATAGTGGCACACCATAAAAAACATGCGGCTGATTATGAATGTAGACTGCCTGAAATCCCTATCCTTCCCCACACAGGACACTCGACAGGGAAACGTTTACACCGCCCACGGCACCTGTGACTGGCTTGTTCGGCATCCGACCTATTTGCAGTGGTTCAGCGCCCACCGACAGCTGCTTTGGATCAATGGAAAGCCCGGCGCTGGAAAGTCAACCATGATGAAATATCTCTCCAATACCTTGATGGACGACAAAAGCTCCGATGATTACATCCTTGCATCGTTCTTTGTCCACGGACAGGGCGATGAGATGGAACGGTCCAAACTCGGAATTCTACGCTCCTTGTTACATCAAATTCTCCCCCAACAACCCAAACATCTGTCTATCCTCACAAAGAAATTTGTGGAGCGGGAAGAGACACGTAAAGGATGGGCATGGAGTCATGAAGAGCTCATGGAAGTTCTAAGGAGTATCGCTACGCAAAGCCACCATGCGAGTCGCCCCGTCATCATTTTGGTTGATGCTCTGGATGAATTAGGGGAGAGCCTTGCAAAAGATGTGGTGGACTTCCTCGGAACACTGATCAGCCACTCGGCGGATGCAAAGGTTTCTACGACATCGACCGGTCGAACCTATGTCGGCATGCGAATTTGCTTTTCCAGTCGACATTTCCCCGACATCACTCCGCCCGATTGCCTTAAGATTTGTGTTGAAAAAAATAACTCTGACGACATTGCCAAGGTCGTCCATGAGAAGCTTTCAGTTTCGCGCTTATCGAGTATCAAAGAGCCGGAAGACCCGAATTTGAAAGAGCTAGAAGGACTTATCATTGAGAAGGCTGATGGCGTTTTTCAATGGGTCATGCTCGTCATCGAACAGATCTTGAAGCCTTTAGCAGCCAGCAAAAAGGCAAGTGCGTTGCGGATGACGGTGGAAACGCTACCGTCAGAACTGGCACCATTATATTCCCAAATTCTGGGGAATCCAAGTCTTGAAACATTTCAACTCCTCCAATGGATATGCTTTTGCCGGAGACCGCTTGAGCTCTTTGAGCTTCGACAAGCTCTTGCACTCAGCAGTGGCCAAACTTACACATCGCTGGAAGAATATGAAAAACATTTCGACTATCAACTCAACGAGGACAAAGTTCATGAAATGGTGAAACATCTTTCATGTGGTCTTGTCGAAGTGAAGCAAAACCCTCCACTTCCGCATCACAATAAGATTAAAGTCGGCTTTATCCATCAATCTGTTCATGACTATCTTATGAAAGATGGGCTTCTCCGGGTAGCTAGAGGATGTGGCATACCTAGCTTTCTCAATCCCGCGAAACAGGACTCAGTCCACTTGAAAGTCGTTTCGAATGCTCAAATGGCTGCGGTATGCATCAAGTTTCTTCGATCAAAAGAAGTCCAGGAGAACTTGAAGAAGCTCAAACAGGTGGGGTTCTCCGCAACACATCTGGTTTTAGGGAACTACGCAACAAAGAACTGGCTACCTCATATGACATGTTCTCTCATAGACAATGGTCTCCCAGACTTTCTTCTGGAACTACTTTTGAGTTCAGTCGGGATTATAGTTCCTCGTCTGGACAGGTTGGCGATTGATCTACGGTCCAGTCCTTTTCGGGAATGCTCTTGCAAATACTCCAAGAAATCCGACGATCTTTTCAACCGACGTCGCATTTACAGTGGCTTCAAAACCATGCTACATTGGCTTGTTGCCGCAAGATCACATGCAATCCTAAGCATTCTCACAAATTGTGGCCAATCCTTGGACACCCGAGACGAAAAAGGTCGTACACCTCTCATGGAAGCTATTTTGGCCGGAGACATCAAAACCACTACCCTGCTTTTGGAATCAGGTCTGGTTGATGTCAATTGCAAGGATGAACAGAATCAGACGCCGCTGCATTATGCGGCGTCGGACTCGCTTTTACTGGAGATCTTCTCTTCTCTTCTGAAAAAGAACACAATTGCATGCGACGAGATAGATCAAGACGGAAGCACACCACTCCTGCGGTGTCTAGAGTTGAGGAATTCTCATTCTTTGTTCTGTTCACAACACTTCGTTCTGAATAGAACCCTTTGGCAAGCAGTCCAATTGCTCCTTGACGGAAAAAAAGTCAATCCAAACCAGACAGATACAAAAGGAGATTCAATATTAGCCCATGCTGCGCGAGACGGGCATTCGGCAATTGTGGAACTTCTCATCAATATACCGGGTGTCGAAATCAACTCTCGCAACAAGAGTGGAGAACCCCCAATTTTCCATGCAGTAAAAGCGTCACAAAGGGAAACGTTCACTCTGCTCTTGAAGAATGAGCATCTATCCTTAGATCTGGAAGATAATTCCGGACGCAATGCGTTGTCATATGCGGCAGAGTGGATGGGGCCACAGGATGTTGCTAAACTTGTTCAGAAACCGAACGCTGAACTTGACAAGCAGGACAACAGCCTCAGAACTCCATTGTCATATAGTGCTCGCAGATCAGGCGATGTTGCTCAGATCTTGTTGAACACAAATGCCGTTGATCCGTTTATCAGAGACAAAAAAGGCCGTAGTCCTGTATCCTACGCAGCCGAGTGCAGCCACAGCGATGCTTTCGAACGTTTATGGAAGTTCGACAATGAGAGCAATCGATGGAATGAACCAGACAGCAGTGATCGCACACCGTTGTCGTATGCTGCTCAGCACAACCCAACAGCTGTCAAACTATTGCTTGACGGCCCCCAAATAGCTCGAAACCAAGCTGATCGTAATGGGCGCACACCATTATGGTACGCAGTCACAAATGGTAACCTCGAATCTTTGCGATACTTTCTCTCCGACCGCGGGGTTGATACGAAAGCTATCGACCATCCAATTCTCCACAAAGCCATTGCGTGCAACGATGTTCTGACAGCAAGCCTCCTTATCCAGTCAGGTTGGGATGTCAACATGAAGGACTTCTTACATCGCACGCCTCTATTCTATGTTCGCGATATTGAGACAGCAGACCTACTATTGAAGACCGAAGGAATAGACCTGGAGGTGAGAGACGAGGATGGAAGGACAGCTTTGTTCTGTATTGCGAAGAATGAATGCCCTGAAGTCATTCGGCTTCTGATTGAAGAATACGGGTTCGATGATAAGGTCAAAGATCGATCAGGATTATTTCCATGGCATTGTGCAAGGGACCTTGAAACAAAAAAGCTACTATTCGGACCTTTCAAGCGGTTTGCGCGGGAGCATCGAGAAAGGCGGGCCGCGAGATCGATTCTGGCCGCAAATCCAAAACAGCGATAGAGAAACCTTCGGACAAGTAGCTACCGACACGATTCAAGATGACGTTATTGTACTGTACAGGGAATGATAGAACATTAGTACAGACGTTAAGGGTACTGAGCTTCTATTTCTTCAGTGAATTAACAGCCTTGTCCGGGGATTTAAGTGGCAGCTTCCTAGGGTGGCGACCCATGCGCCGTGCGTGCTTATGAAAACGGATCATTTTGACCATGACTGAGGAAAGTGTGATGATTGAAATGAGCTACTCCCGTCTAATGTCTTCATGAGAGATTTGTTGCCAAATGCAGATCTTAAAACTATGGTAGATCATGTATATTCATTTGGAATCTACAGTGTAAGACATCACCCAATTCATTTCTTTTATAAAATCTGAGCTAAAAAAGATTCGAAAATAGGAATGTCCCCCGTGTCTTAAAACTTGAATCGTGAAAATCACCTTAAATATTAAAGTGACAGCTTTCACTATCGCAATGTAAACTCCGAACTTCTCAATTTTCCCTCATTACGGGCTTGGATTGCTTCGCCATCCATGTAGCCCTCAACATAACAGTCTCCGACAACTTGAAAAGTTTCCTTGTCATACCCTCGCAGAAGAATTGGTATACTGCATCCGTAGATCACGCAGATACAATCTCCCTTCCGGGCCTCTTCAGGAACCAAAAGTAGCCTTGAATCATCGGATACGGCCAGACGACGGTAGTAGAGCCACGGGAAAGTGCGGATTCGTCTCCAAATAGTCCACATGGCCTGTCTCATGTAGCTGTGCTCTGGGTTGCAGGATTCCAAACTGTGTCCCAACCAGAGGATGGAGAGCAGCCGATGCCAGCCTTCGTTTGGGCCCAAATTCACAGACGTCATGTCGCACCAGTTCTGAAGAGTTTTGAGTCCGGATTTTGACCCTTCGAAGCCTGAGATCCTAAGACAGCGGCCAATGTGGTTGATGGCGCTCAGGTGTATACCCTTGCACCTTAGTAATTTGCAGTCGGAATGCATTACGATTTCGGCACTCCTTCCCATGCTTGCTGAGATCCCAGTCCGTAGCTTGGGGGAAATCGGTGCAGACGTGGCATCTTGCGACCAGTCAGGCAGCCAACTTGGAATATCGGAGTTCCCATGAGGTTGCATTCGACAGCTGCAGAGGATGTCTAGACAATGATCGCTTCTCGGTTTTCCTGTGCGGTCAAACACGCAGTACTGGAAGGCTTGCAGGCACACCTCCACCAGACCAAAGGCGTAGTTTGCCGTGAGCCTTCCACTGTCCGCTTCAGAACCAATCCCGAACAGTCCGAAAAGGCCGTAGACCTTGTCTCTCGGATCAGTCGCCGTTGCATTTCGACAAGCGACTAGCTGCTCGAGGAACAAGTCGGGACCTTTGACACTGGAGAACAGCCAGCGCGAGGTGTGAATCCATCTGAAATGCCTGAAGTCTGCCACATCTCCATAGCACAATTTTGAGCCATGCTTGCCCTGCATTTGGATGTAGTCTATAGCTGCGCATGTCTTAGCGGCATCCTCCCACTTGATGGTGTGGCGGCCGTATTGTATGACTATTGTGGCAGCGCAAATTAGTTCTTGGCGTATCCATACCCGTTTCCAGTATGGCGTGTCTGAAAAGAGATATCGAGTGGCATATACCGCACTTGTGAGGTCATTCGTGGACAGGAAGTCGACAAACTTTTCGGATTGTTGTGCGTCCCACGGGTTTCCTTTACCAAGAAATGTCGTGACAGCATGAATCAGCATCGGGGCCATGTCCTCAGCGTAAGCCATATTTTCTAGCCAGCATATGACGCGAGAGGCCCCGGCGTATATTGGTACCATCTTCTGAACCTCCCGGAAGGTCTCCACCTGATTTCCCTGGTTAATGCAGAGCGCATCGACCCAAAGGCAGCGAGGTGAGTGTCCTGGCGGTGGTTGTAGTGCACGTAGTGCATTCCAAAGATTTCTTCCCACTCGCATCCATATCCCGTCGACTGCTATGAGACTCGGCTTTTCTGGAGAGCCCCAGGCGTATGATAAAGCTTCATACATCGGCTTCTCCGAATATTTGACATGGTCCATCCTGCATTGTACCTCATTATACTGTCCAGGTGGGTAGAGGTAAAGGAGGCGGAGGGTATCATTTTCCATAGGTTGGTAAGCGTAACAATCGCTGAATGGACGGAGTGGAACAGAGGAAGCGGCGCTCCATTGCGAAGCAGATACTGAAGAAGGCGCTATAGACATTTATTTTCTGTAGTCCTGGTTTGGTCGGCTGTCGGCTCGCCGAAATCTCGAGGTCGTCCTTAGTCAAAGGCTTGTGGTCGAGGTCTCGGCCCAAGTAATCAGTTTACCAAATTCCATCAAATTTGCGTATGTACACCTACATTTATCGGATTGATTGCTTGGTATGTCAATAATTTGAAAAAGCTCGGGTGCCACGATCACTCCAGTGGGAAAACCACAAGTGCCGCTCGGTTACGGGGAGGCTGGAGCCCTTTAATAGGCAAAGGCCCGACCCCCAATATTCCAATGACCCACCGGGATCAATGAGGCTGAGCTGCATCTATCCATGTTCGGTAGCCCTAGAGGCGCCCTAAAGCGCAGCTGAACCAATGACACTTCGCGTATCTCCTGCGCGGGCGCGATCCTCCGGGGTGTCCTCCGGCACTGTGGGCACGTCCACTGACACGTCCTCCTACACGTGACTGAACCATTGTCGTACTTTATCTTTGGCTGAGAAGCTTATCACTGTAAATAACGCTTTACTAATATTCTCTTCAGGCAGGCGATAGGCCTAAAGGACATAACGGAGGGCGTGCCGGAGGATTGCGCCCACGTACCGATAGGAGATATTGGCGCTGCTCACGTCAGCCAAATGGCACGCAGCCCTACGCGAGGCTACCAAATCAACAAAAGAGCCCAATCATTTGGCGCACGAGCTAGAACTTGAGCGGCAGCGTTCTGGCCACCAGCACCAATAATTCTCTCATTTATTTTCAACGATGATGCTGGCTGATAGCTCCACGAACTTTGGATAAATCAAGCAGGAATCCCCAAGTCATCGCCCTGCGAAGCTCTCATCTATTTTCTGGTTTTCTTTCTCTTTTCTTCGGTGATTCTCGGTAGCTTTGTATCTACTAGTACATCCGTCACCCGCACGCTTCCTGATACGTCGAAGTTGACCTGCACACAAGATTCCACTCCATTGATCCTGTCTCGACAGGCTTAGCTTTGATGTAACTCTGATAGTATTACAAATAAAATAAAAGAAGGACATACCCAATCTCAATTCAGAAGACGCGCTACCTTCCTACAGACGTCGGGCGGAAACAATCCTCCTTCCGCGAGCAGATCATTGAAGCGTCTCGATGCTGTGAGCACTTTGAAGTTGTTCGTCGCATAGTCTGATACAATTTCATGCAGCGGTGACGGATGAGTATTTCCATCTTCATGATTATACACCACCCGCACGACGTGACAGATATCTCCAGTGCGTTCAGGAAAACACTCAAAGATGTTCAAAGCCTCTGAAAGCTTCTGTCTGGCCAGCTCTTTTAGCCCTAAAACGAGGTAGAACTCGGCGAAGTGGTATACGGAGACGTGGCAGGTAAATGTCTGAGCGTAGCTCATGGTCGGCAATTGGTTCAGGCCGGGTGCTGAATCAACCGGAAAGGGCAGCGGTGGCGGCGGCGCTGTGACCTGGACCTTCGTTTTCTTCTTTTTCTTCTTGCCTCTCTGGGACCAATGCGCTCCCCAACTAAATCCATCCTGAACTATAGGTTCCTCAACAGGTATTGGCTCAGGGACGTCCTCAGGGATGGGCTCCGGCTCATGATCAGTCAGTGGTGAAGTAGGTTCCTCGGGGAGAATGTCGTCGTCCTCAGGTGTTAACGGCACTTCGACCGGAGCAGCAGCACTGTAGTTGCCTGAGTGGATGAACTCCGCAAATCGACAGAATGTGTCGGGATCGACATCCTTCAAGAACGCTTTGCCTTCTCGAGACTCCTTCATTCCATTCGCCATCATCCGGTCGAGGGGCTCGGAATAGCGAGAAACAAGGTTTCTGTACAAGCTGAACTGAATCTCGTCGGGGCCAATGTAGAAGTCGAATGTCCCGGCGCGGAAAGTTCTGGCACAAGATGTCAGATATAGTTTGATAAAACGATCACAGTTTGTATACTCTGAGTTGATTGCGGACATGTTGGAGGTGGATACGTTTTCACGGTCGGCGGTGCGGGGTGCCTGGAAGCATGGCAGAACAAGAGTTGCATGGAAGGGTTTGCTGCTTCATATGTTGAAATGATTGAAGTCCATCGGTCGATTGACTGCAGAATACTGCAAGAATCCGTAGATTAGGCAACGACCGGCCAATAGCCGCGCGCCACGAGGTTTCAGCTTGCACTCCTTACATTGAACCTTAGTGCGAGTGTCCGCATAATCGCCTAATTCCAACCATACAGCGACTTAAGCGCGCCGTGCAAGCGCCAGCCAGGCGATTCAAATCCACGTCGCGTCGCGTATTCTGTCGTGATGTGGTCGTGCGATAGCGAAAGAGCAATCCTTGTTTTATTTACTTGATGGAGTTAGGCGTGATTTAAACTCGGTGCGGGGCTAGTTTTCATGCTCAGTAGTTACAAAATATCTTTCATTCATTTCAGTCTCTGAACGAGCGTTACATCCAGTAACTCCAAGAACAAAAAAAAAAAAGAAAACACCCAACTCCCATGCATAACCCCGCAATACCCCACGCCCCTTTCACCTATCCTCATCCTTACTTTCGCTAAGCTTCGGCAGTTTCGCATCTGCAAGACACACCATCAGCCGCATTCCTCCAACCGACCAACCAACCAACCAGCCAATCCCCACCCCCTCACGTGAGATACGTACCGGTACTCAAAATCCTCTTCAACCTGCTCCCAATCGACTTCGACCGCCCCTTCCCATCGACGTCCTTCTCCTGCTCCTCCAACTCCTTGCCGTCAGACGACTCGCTCGACACCGAACCGTGGCTGCCGCCTTCGCGCGGGGTGGCTGTGTTCTGCTGGGCGGGGTGCGGGGGCGGGGGCTCGACATCGACGTCAACGGGGTCGTCGCGATCGGAGTCCCAGTTGCTGTCGAACTCGGACGCCAGCGACTCTTTGAGTTCTTTGGAGAGCTTGATCGAGTAGCCGGCCATGGTGGCGGGACCGATTTAGTGTTTGGCTGGTTTGCAGCTTATTTTGTAGTCGTGTGTGTTGGCGAAGCGCATAAAGTTGGCAGCAGCGCGGGGTGGGTGTGGTCGAAAGAATCACTTGCGGCGCACAGCTGAGGAGGGGCAGGGCAGGGCCTTATTTGTTGCACGCAGCGCAATAATGCGACGATGGAGTAATGATCAGGCCACTAATCCGCCCTCTTCTTTAATGCTTCCAGCCCGAACAACGCGCGACGCAACGGTGCAGCGCAGCGCACTGCCTCCCTTGGCTTACGGCTGCCGCGCCGGCGCGACACCGACGCTCATTGGCCGGCCAAGGGGCGAGCCGCGGCGCTGATGTCTTGTCCTCGTCCCGCCCCGCTGCCTGTGCCGTGCGGCCAGACTTCCGCCATGCGAGGTGGTGGGATGGGAGGTTTGTGGGACGGTGGCGGTAGGACGACCGTCGTTCTGCCAGCTGTTCTCCACCCCTCAGCTGTAATCGGGTATGTATGTTCATGCTCCGTTCTTGTGAAAAATGATGACCTGCAGACTCTTCTTCCGGCCGTCTCTTGATAATCGATGCGATAATGCTGATGGAGAATTATGTGCATACGAGCGCTGGCTGTACGTTTTGATTGGAGCTGAAGGAACGTTAATCATCGTCGACGCCTCCATTGCGTGTGCATTTGCTCCGCCACCATGCTACCCAGATAATCGTGATGAGAAAAAAAGACCAATTGCGATACATTAAACACCATCAACCTATTATACTAGCCCGGTCCTATCTCCGCGCATCGCTGTTGTTGTTTCCCATCTCACGCTGCACTGCCCCTGCGGCTGTTTTGGCTGTCTGCGGGGGTGCGGGGAAAACGGCGCACGCCTCGCTCTTTTGCAGCCAAGCTCTTGTGTCGCGGGCCAAGCTTCGCAAGCCCCGGTATTATGATGTAGTTGGGCGATTGGCAAGAGAGCGCCACTTGTGTGCCAACGATCGGCGCATCTAAGGCGGCAAATTCGACGACACAGCTGCCGGAAATCCACAAGCTGCGACGATATTCGTTCTACTTCCACCTGAAGTGTTGTTCTCGTCTCCGTTTTCTGCCCCTGTGAGCTAAGACCTGTCCGTCGATCGGCGTTGAAGGTTCAGCATGTCATGACGCCACTGGCCACCAACTCGTGGCATACAGCTGAGCGAAAGGAGCCTGCCGTGCTTGTCGGAGCCTCCGATGTTGTCAATGTCGCAGATTCCGTCACGATCTTGCTTGAGTATGTTGGATGGATCCATCATCACCGCTATATATCCGTGTCAGCAGATGGACGCATCGATGACAGGATAAACTTTACCAGTGAGCACAGGATCCTGCACCACAGGCCGAACGACCCGGCTCTGCAGGTAGTATACCACGAGCCCCGTCAACGTCAGCACCCCATTCAAAACCAGCCATAGCCAGACCCTCCAGGCTGTGACCTCTGCTCTGACGGCCTGGATCCGTTCGTAGGCCACGGTGGTCAGCGTGTCCGGGCCATTATTCGTAAAGTACGCCGTCGCGCTCCAGGCGCCTTGGTACGCGACGTTGAGGATGTTCTGGACGTAGTGCGCGGCTCCGTTCTCAAAGTTCCACCCCGTCGTGTTCATCATGTTGACTTGCATGACGGTCTCGGGGGTCAGTGCGAGAGCGAATTCGACGAGGGGATCGGGGGCCAGGAGGTCGGACTGCTGGTCGTTCTGGCATTCGGCGAGCGATTCGGCGACGAGCTGTGCGGAATGCTTGCACGAGACGACGCCAGCGTTGAATGTGATTTTTGCAACGGCAATGCAGTACGTCCTGTTGTCTTCGAATGGCTTCATTTGGAAGTATTCGCGGACTGGTGGATCAGAGGGCCTGCCGTTTACGTCAATCGAGCAGCTGGGAAGGCCATCCTTGTCTGGGTCGTGTTTGAAAACGAAAATGGCAGCGAAGGTTTGCGCTTGAACCGTTCGAGGTTGTGGGAGCGCATGCATAGGCATGCTGGAAAAGTTGTTTCGGTGTGTTAGAGTTACTGCTCCGGGGAAGCTATACAAAGGACTTTCATGTCTGCTATAGTTGAACCAGCCTGATTTAACCTCCTGTACCGCACTCCTGACGTCCTGGGGTACTGATTCCAGAGTATCAAGCCAATCGAATTCGGAGATGCGCAGCTGAGGCATCGTGATGTTCTCGAGAAGACTGCCGACCGGGATACCTCTGAGCTCGGGAACGAATCTGCGAGGAGTCTGCAACAGCTTTTTTCCTCTCGAGTCGTCGGCGTTCATGTTGACGATCGTTGCTCCCACTCCCCGCAAAACTTGGTTGATTGGTGAAAATCGCCCACGTGTGAAGACGAGGAGGCGTGTCCAGTTGCTCTGTTCCTCTGCCGGCACGAAAGGCGTCGTCACCCCAACAGGTTTGCCCTGTTGTGACTGCAGGCCGTCCGTAGGAACCCATGTAATTGCGCCGGACAGAACAGGTGCGGCTAACTGCGCGGGCCATGCCAAGATCAGAGCGAAGGATATGTATGCGATAAATCTACTCCGAGGAGCAACTGGTCCAATCTTGTAAGAAACTTGAGTCGATAGCTGAGAGAACGTCATGCCTTTGCGTTCAAGAGCGATAAAAGCGCAGCGCCAGGCTAGAATCCCCTGCAAAGCTGAACAAATGATGCTGGTAATCTTGAGACTAAGTGAGAGAATAGTCGACACGTCTGATTGTGTGAGCAGATAGCCAGTTGTCTCACGCACCGGGAACGCGCGCTGATTGAGCGGCGGCCCCAGTACAACTGTACAGGTGGCAATAGACCAAAGGAGATGAATGGGAAAATACCACCATGCTTTCATGATCGACCAGCGTCTTGAAGGGGTTTTCAGTGACTTGCATTGATGCTCTTGTGAGTGTATAGTCTCGTCAGCGCTGGTGAGTAGGTACTCGTCTTCTGGCATGGTTGTAATTATCAATAACGACGTGCTGTGCCGAATAATCGTGGGATCAGGCTTTGACGCGGCGAGGGCTGGGAGGATTTGGCAATAAATGGGAATTTAAATATCTAAGACAGGAGCTGAACTCACTGAACCCCCCGCATGATGATCTTATGCGCCAGCAAAGATCTCACTACAGTCCCTAACCACCATCGTTCACGCATTCTGACCCTAATGTTAAAATATCCATAGAAGGACAAATTATTGTATTTTGCTCATAATGTCTATCATCGAATTTGTATTATTTGGGCGTTGATAAAGCAGCAATATTCAAGATGCGCCACATATCATTTGCTTTTCGTCTTGGCGGATCAGTTGATTCAGCGTGGCGCCCAGTGCCTCACAGCCGCGCCAGTAAACAAGGCTAAACAAGGGACGACAGGGGCTTGTGTGTCGATTGGAGGGGGTTTGCAGGAATGCGAGCAGAAGGTGTCCGTCATACTCTGTATGTGAAGGGAAAATGTTATTCATTGTGCGATGCAGTCGGTTACACAATGCACTATTTCGGATGGAGCCAGGGCTTGCATTGATAGGTGGAGGTAGGGCATACAGCCATGTAAGGCTCGAGCGCGGTATCTGCGAGTCACGCGGCCGTGCTCTGCCCACCCAACTTTCTTAACCCTTCGGCGACCAGCCTTCTATTTATTACCTTGCAGACAGACATTGTATGCCTAAAGCAAAGCAATTTCCCCCCATTTCTGCCTTCAGATCAGCGATACGAGAACGCTAATAATGTTTGAATTCGCGAACGAGAGAACGCTGACCATCGTCGTCGCATCCATTGCGTCTGCATTTGCTCCGCCACCACTTACCAGACTTTCATGAGCCACTCAACACCATCGTTGACGGCGCCCGACCATCGCCGGTGTTAACTCCGCACGTTGCTGTTGATATTTTTCCCCTGCAGACGTTTGGCTGTTCTGCGGGGGAGCGATGCGGGGAAGGAACGGCGCGTGGAGCGTGCGTGCGCCTCGCTCTTTGCCGCCAAGCCTTGTGTTGCAGGCCAAGCTTCGCAAGCCCCGGCATTATGATGTAGTTGGTAGGAAAAGCTCCTTAGCGGTGGTGAGTCGATCGCCAATCGGCATGTTTTGCTGAGGGGGAAAAGCTGACGACATCAGAGCCGCCAGGGCCTTGTGTGGCGCAAAAACGTGCGCTCGGCGCTGACGACGACTTCAATAGTCATTATTGGTATTACCGTGGAGATGGACCTTTTGCAGTCAAAGATCTACAGGAGTGCAAGATAAGCATCAGCATTCTCAAAGTTGTCGGGCCTGCTCGAGTCATTGCATCTCATAAAATACTCCACATCTCGTTGTTGGAAAGACGAAAAGAGATCTGAGATATTGCCAAGAGAGAACTTGGCAGAAGGAGGTCCGCGTCAAGTCCGAAAACCGGAGGAAGCTCCTGATCACTTGGCATCATTCCTTCACAGGCAAATATGAGACGAGTGTTAGATAACTTATGCACAATCTCTGCGCCGTCTAGGTATTCATCAACAGCTAAAAAGGATATTTACATCTCCAGCCACCCTTCCCACCCAGCCACTCAAGATATTTTTTTCAATCATATAAACATGATAGATAAACCAGAACATCAACAAACTTCCAAACCACACAGCCGTCATCCGGGCATCTAAGCACGGTAAGTGTTCCACATGTTGGTCATGCGGGTGATCTGATCCTCGGTGAACTCCTCGTAGCAAGCGCTGTGCACAATGTCAGTCCTGGACCATTAGAGACAGAAGGAAGGCAACTCACTCATCAGAGTAATCCATGTAGTTGTGAATGGGGTCAAGACCAGCCTGGCTGGGGCACGAATCGCGGCCGGTGGGGCAGCCGGACGAGGAGCTGGCCTGGGCGGGCGTGTCGGCGATCTGGTCGCCGGAGCCGGTGCAGCCACCCTGGAAGGTGTGGTACAGACCGAACCAGTGGCCGACCTCGTGGGTGGTCGTCTTGCCAAGGTTGTAGTTGGTGGCGCTACCGCCGGGGACCGACGCCGACAGGATGGAGCAGCCGTCGTAGTAGAAGTCGTTGGAGCCGGAGCTGACGTTGTCGGGGAAGTAGCAGTAGCTGGGAGAGGGAGATCAATATTGGAGAAGTGGGCCAAGAAACAAATGGGATGATTGCTTACCCGAGGTTGCCGCCGATCTCCCTCTGGAAGTAGACGTTCAGGGTACCATAGTCACCCTTGCGGAGCGACTTCTTCATGGTGAGCTCAGCACCATCGTCGGCCCAGTTGGAGTTGATGGTGCGGGTGGTGCCGGCGAGGGTGAAGGAGATGCCAGAGGGGGCGAAGTTGTCGTTGAGGACGGCGAGCTGCTCCTCAAGTTGGGCGTCCTGGGGATAATTTGTTAATTACAGGCTCTTTCATGTGATTTGGTTGAAGAGCACTCACGCTCACGTATCCGTCCTCCTCGGACTGGGAGGCGGCAACGACGTGGAACCAGGTGGGGACCGAGATGGCAGCCTGGGCAAACTTGATGCCAGACTCCTTGACGGCCTTCTCCTGGGTGGCCATCTCGCCAGCCTTGAAGAGCAGCTCCTCAGAAGGCTCAGGAGCACCGCAGCCGAAGGTGTCACGCTTGTGGAGGGCGTGGCCAAGGGCAGTGGAGGCCATCAGGCCGGCGGCGAGGAAGGAAGTCTTGACAAACATGGCTGCTGGGGAGAGCGAGAGAGCTGCTGAAGGCGTCTGGAGGAGATGCTGGCTGATGGTGAGCTGGTGGTGGACGAGAGGTACAGTGGACTGGGCGGTGGTGGTTTTATATCCCGTCCGTTGTAGTAGCACAGCAGCAGAGCTCGAGTAATGACCTCTGGCCCATGACAGGCAACCCAGGCGTCCGGAGAGCCTTGCTTTACTGCCTGCCGGATCTGCATAAGTTCACTTTTCTGGAAGAGCTGAGGGGGCCGCGCGATTGTGCCTCCGCTCGGATGGAAGCGAAAAAAGCCGCTTGTCGCAGGTCGATAAGTCTAGTCCCTCCCACTTAATCTCTTCTGGCACGAAAAGCTGCCGCGGGCTGCCGGTAGGAATTGGGCTAGCGCCGCTGCACCACGGTCGTTCTGGATTTGTTGTACCTCCTTATAGGATTCGGGCCGAGGGGCTGGAATAGGTAGCGGGCGATATAAAGAAATCACCACGAGGCGCGTGTAACCAGTCATCGGGCTGAGCTGTGCGTAAAGACGGGCGGGCCAGGCATCCCATCAGCAGACAAACCAATCAGCCACGCGACGGGCACGCCGGTACCTGGAGGAATGGCATGCTGGGCAGTGCGACCCGATGTTTTTTCGGGCAAGTTGAGCGGCGCGTGCTATGGCCAGGTGAGCGGGTGTTTCGCAACATGATTTGGCCAGGACCAGATGATGTTTGCGCTGATCGCACTTGGCAGGAGTGACGCCATGTCGTAGACGGCATGTACATGAGATGAAGCAGGCGGTTTGGCTTGGCAGCGCGGCGGAGGCGGACGCTGAGTGGTGCGGCGAAGCGCGTTAATCAGTTCAAGACAGCGAGCCAAGAGAGAGCGATAACTGATCAGGGGATTCCGCTGGATGCCAAGCATCGTGGCCGGCTTATCAGGCAGAGGCGCCGCCAAGCCTGCGAGGCGGCCACGGCGATTGCTGAATCAGGCTGGTGACAAGCATGCCAAGGGAGGAATGCTTAAAGGCTAAAGCACAAAGCTGTTAAACAACAATGTCTGCCCCCGATGGCCTTCCGCTTCTGAGCAGAAGACAATATAGACATGAGAAAGGGCGACGTGGACACCATCCTGCCTAGTACTAGGTCGAACTCGGCCCAGGCGACGACGATAATATTCGGAGAAGTAGTCGCCGACCTCCGGGGAAGCGAAGTGGAGCTGGCCGAAGCACGATAACGGCGGCGGAATTCAGAAGGGCGGGGAGTCCCGGCGATGGCAGTAGAAAGCAAAGACACAGGTTCACCGCATCGCTGCTGCGTCTCCGAAACGCGGAGAGGCAGAAATTGCGGCGGCGTTTTTGGTGAATGGTCGTCTCCGTGGCGATGCAAAAGAAAAATTAAGTCAACGAGCAGCGGTGGGATATAAGTACGAGAGCACCATCATGGTGTCGAAAGCACACACGAGAATGGCGCAGTATCACTCCGCATCGACTAGCTCTCAATGGCGTTCGTTATCACAGTATCGCGATAGGTGGCGGAGATGGCGCTTGATCGGCAAATTGCGAGGTGCCGAAGTGACCTGCATATATCCGCCGCTGGCCCGCAGCACGGTCGGCGCGCGATTTGGATCGGGTTCCTGAGCATCCTTCGCCGTTGAGGAACACCCTGGAACAGTGCGACCGACCAACCGTTACCGACACCGCGAAGCGCCTACCCGGCGGGATCGGCTCGCTTCCGAAACATCGACCAACGAGCGACCACACAAACACCAACGGCGACTTAGTCGACCCCAGAGCCATGGAAATTTGAAAGAGCAGTGGACTTGAGCGGAAACGCTAGCGCGCAATGGCACGTGGGAGGATTCGGCGGGCTCCGATCCGTCGGACTTGGTGTCGGCGGGTTTGACGGCTCTGGTCGCGGCAATTGGTGTATTTGCAGCGCGGAGGTGAGGGCGACTTGGGAAAAAGTACGGTTGAGGTATGTAATAGCATACGAGCCCCCCACATGGCGCTCGGCTCTCGTGAGCGGCGTGTTCCTCATCGTGCCCGAGCTTTCAGGCATCGGACCACGGCCTTGCGGCTGTCCATGTCGGTGAGGGCGGCGGCCAGCTGTCGCGGCGCTGTGAGAGCGGCGGCATTGACGCGGTGCGGCGCGGACGAGTGAGCGACTGCATTGTGGATTTCGCGTGGTGCAGTGCGCGACGAAGGCGAGGATGAAACAGAGTTTTGGGATTAGCGCCGTCACGTGCTCGGCTGCGAGTCGCGGCGCGGACAAGCTCTTGCCTCCCGGGCCACCCGCGCACCCAAGCCCGCGCTTCTCTTTTGCCGTGTCCAACGTCGCACTCACCGAAACCGCTAACCTGTGGCAATTTCCAGTCCTCTTACGCCCGGGAAACCAGGATGCCGCGCGCGCACATCTCCGGACCTCGCCCTCCGCGGCAGGATCGCAGCCTCTCGTATTGTTTTCGCGCATTGCAGCCGTCCAACGTCACAGGCGCGCTGTCCAGCACACGCTGCTGATGACGGGCTGTCACCTTCCTAAACGGGCTGGCGATCCTGCAATCCTGCGGCTCCGACACCCTGCTATCCTCACGTGCACGCGAACTGTTAAGCCCAGCCGACCAAGCAGCGTCAAGCACTTCCAAGCCCCGAGCGCCACCGCCTTGGACGCCTCGGCCACATCCAGAAGCTAATGCCACCGGCTGTCGGTCCCCTCACGGCCCGCGGGCTCCCTCGTCGCCTCGGCCTGCTCTGTTCAGTAAATGCGAAGGGCGATTCACGGCTGGCCAAATGAACGCCGTCAGCGAACTCTCGCGTAGCTGATAAGACACCTCCACACGGCCGGCGCCGATCGCTCGGGTGATGATTGGCAGACCGTCTCATATCAGGGTACCATCCACTCGGTCTGCCCGGCCTTTTAAACCACTCGCCCCAGATCACACCGTCGCGCCTTCCATTCCCTTACCCTCTTCCAAACCCGCCAAGACACCCGACAACCATGGCGACCGGCGACCACGGCGTCGTTGAGGCTTCTCAGTGAGCAACCCGCGTAGATTTTGCGCCCGCTTTTTCTGACGAGACAAGACTGCACGAGACCCTCGTCCCCGGCGAGAAGAAGGACGTCGACATCGCTGGCGGCCCGCTGCGCCCCAGCATCAGCGCCACTGGCCGCGCCGACAGCTACCATGCTGATGAGAAGGCCCCCATCGAGACCGAGGACGGCGAAGAGCCCACCGACTACGAGAAATCCGTCCTTCGCCACGTCGGCGAGAAGTTGCCTCTTTCCGCCTTCCTGGTCGCCTTTGTCGAGTTGTGCGAGCGCTTTACCTACTATGGTACCCACCCCAGCCGCCCCGCCAACACGCTTCCCCGCTGATGTTTTACAGGCATGTCCGGCTTGTTTCAGAACTACATCCAGCGCCCGCTTGACGGCAGTAAGTGTCCACAGCCACTACTTCTGTCGAGCTACCATACTAACCCAACCAAGGCCAGGGTCGCGGTGCTTTGGGCATGGGTCACCAGGGTGCTACTGGTCTCACGACCTTCTTTCAGTTCTGGTGCTACGGTACGATTCGCTGCGCCCACCTTCCGCTTTTGGCTCAGTGCTGACTCGCTCTTCAGTCACTCCCATCTTCGGTGCCATCGTCGCCGACCAGTACCTGGGCAAATACGTTGCCATCGTCATCTTCTGCATTGTCTACATTATTGGTCTTTTGATTCTCTTCCTGACCTCGCTGCCTGTGTCCCTGGCACATGGCGCCGGTCTTGGTGGCTTCATTGTCTCCGTCATCGGTGTGTATCCCGACACTTCGATCCCGTCCAACACAGCCTAACTTCTCCAGTCATTGGTATTGGTACCGGTGGTATCAAGTCCAACGTCGCTCCTTTGATCGCCGATCAGTACAAGCGCCGCCAGATGGCCGTTTCCACCCTTTCCACCGGAGAGCGCGTCATCCTCGATCCCGCCGTCACCATCCAGCGCATCTACATGATCTTCTACCTCTGCATCAACCTCGGCAGTCTGTCGCTCCTGGCTACTCCGTACATGGAACTCTACGTCGGCTTCTGGTCTGCCTACCTGCTCTGCTTCTGCATGTTCTGCGCTGGTCTGGTCGTCCTCATCTTCGGCAAGAAGCTCTACGTCGTCCGTCCTCCGGAGGGTGGTGTCATCACCGATGCCTTCAGGTGCATCTGGATCATGATCAAGAACCGCAGCCTGGACGCACCCAAGCCCACGTGGCAGGAGCAGCACGGCAACTCCCAGGTCATGAAGTGGGATGACAAGTTTGTGGACGAGGTCAAGCGCGCTCTGGTTGCCTGCCAGGTCTTCTGCATCTACCCCATCTACTGGGTCGTCTACGGTCAATTCTCTGGCAACTTCGTTACTCAAGGTACTTCCATCTACTCTCCCTTTTAAAACGGCGTCATGCTGACAATTCATCCAACAGCCGGCCAGATGGAGGGACACGGTATTCCCAACGATCTCATGCAGAACTTCGATCCCATCGCCATCATCGTCTTCGTCCCCATCCTGGACCGCTTCGTCTACCCGTTGATGCGCAAGCTCAAGATCAACTTCCCGCCCATCAACCGTATCACTCTCGGCTTCTGGGTCGCTTCCTTGGCCATGGCCTACGCAGCCATTGTCCAGCACCTCATCTACAGCGCTGGCCCTTGCTACGAAGCTCCTCTCTGCGATGCATCGATTGACGCATCCGGCTCCGCTCAGGGCAACAAGATCCACAGTAAGTGTCAAGAAAAACCACCACCGCTCACACAGATAACTAACAAAACTCGCAGTTGCCGTGCAAACCCCCGCCTACATGCTCATCGGTATCTCTGAGATTTTCGCCAGCGTCACGGGTCTCGAGTACGCGTACACCAAGGCGCCGCCGAGCATGAAGAGTTTCGTCCAGAGCATGTACCTGCTGACCAACGCCTTCGGCTCCGCCATCGGCGAGGCCCTCGTTTCCGTCGCCGTCGACCCCAAGATCCTGTGGATGTTCGTCGGTCTGTCCGTCGCGTCTTTCCTGGCCGGATGCCTCGTCTGGATCTTGTTCCATCACTTGAACAAGACTGAGGAGGAGATGAACGCGCTGGGTTAAGAGAGTTGAGGAGGTTTACTTTTCTTTATTTATATTATGGTCGGATAATGGATGGCATGAAGGAAAAAAATAAAAATGGGATGAGGTTCATGTGTAATGTTTGGGATGAAGATAGATCTCGTCGGGAAGTAGATATTCTTGGTCCGGTAGAGCTGGCCTGAATAGATGAGATTGACTGAACGGTTTCTGGTTCCGTGCGCGGGGTTGTAATTGGGTTCTGCCGTCAGCAATCCTACGCTGACTCTGGAACTGTGCTGCTGGGCGTCCATGATGGAGGGTGGGCGATTGGCAACCGCCAGTGGTTCCGGCCACCATGCCCGACGGATTGGCGGCGGAGATCCGAAGAACATCTTCCGTGACATTTACGTCGATGGCAACGTCGCAAACATACCACTAATCACACTCTCTGACTCACAGATAAACATAAACCGAGAAACAGATTGCGTGCGCGTCTTGAGTCATCTCGAGAAAATATATAAATTCACGAAACGAGATGTCTACCCACCGTCGTACCACCACCGACCGGGTCCCCCCGATCTCTCTCTCGCTTCGCATCTCCGCCCCGCCCACCCGGCTCGCTACCAGATGTAGCAGATCTCCGCGAGCCCCGCAAGGGTCTTTCGGCTGGCCAATGGTGGCGGAGGCTTTGTGTTTGGGAGATCTTATAGGTGGTGGTCTGAGTGGAGGGTTAGTAATGTGGGGGTTAGTAAGCGGTTAAGCAGATTTGGCGGGGATGCGTTGCTGACGCTTTGGGGGTGTGGATGGAAGTCTGGTAGGTGGATGGAGCGATGGATGCATGTAGAATGCTCGGTCAGGCGTATGCGGATTTTGGTCGCGTGTCTTGTTGCCTTTTGCTGTGTGGTGTTGTGAGCTTCGAAGCCGACCGGGCCGGCCGACCGGATTGCGCATCCGGTTGGAATGAGAAAAGGACATCCATCAAGGTTCGAATTCAGAGAACTTAAATGAGAGAAGCCTGAGAAGTTATTAAGTAATTTCTGACATACTCTGCGGTCTCTGGCCGCTGCAACTCCAATCCTGGTGGTACTCCACGCCCTACGACACCGGGATCGCGTTCCGCGCCCGCGGCATCGCATCCCGCTGCAAAGCCCCCACTCCTTAAATATTCGGAATCACTTTCCACATACGCCGTCTGCTTGTGACTACACTGGTATCTCTAGCTACTACAGTAAAAGTCTTTTTTTTTTTTGTTAACCAATATACCAACACAATCCGTCTCGGCGCTTTCGACTTCCAGATCCGGCCACGCGCGCCCCCAGAGCAACCCCGCATCAGCCTCCGATTACCGCGATAAGATATAATAGGTTCAACCGCAATGTCTTTCCTCCGAACCACATCCTCAGCCTTCTCCCGCGCCCTCGACAACCGCGCCGCATCGGGAATTCCGACCTGCCGCCGCTCCGGCCACAACATTCTCAGCCACACGGAATCCATCTCCGGCTCCACGATACGTGCATCCTCGTCATCCTCCACCACGAACAACAAGAACGAGAAGGAGAAGAACAACGCCACCATGTCCGACAAAATAGAAACTGTCTTCACGCCCGAGAGCGTGGCGCGTGCGTATCCCCCTCACCCCCTCCGCACCGCTCAACGGGCCTGGAACCGAAGCTGATCGTTTGTGGTGCATTTAGCAATCGGCCCTTACTCGCAAGCCGTCAAAGCGAACGGGCTAGTTTTTGTGTCGGGCATGATGCCAGCGACAAAAGACGGTAAGCAGGTCGAAGGAAGTGTGGCGGAGAAGACGCATCAGATGTGCCGCAATGCGCAAGCCGTGCTGGAGGCGGCGGGGTGTGGGTTGGGGAAGGCGGTTAAGATTACGGTGAGTAGGAACGCCTCAATCTTCTTTGTGTTGCGTGGCGGAGGGGCGGGAGAGCGGGGGAAAGGAGGACGGGGTGGAGGGCGGGGTGGGATGTGTGGGGGGCCATCGGAAGCTTGGGGGCTTGTGGAATGTTTTGCTGACGATTGGTGTTTCGCAGGTTTACTTTGCGAACTTGGACGACTTTCAGGAGATGAATGAGGTGTATGCGGAGTATTTTCCCCACAAACCGGCGAGAAGCGCGATTGAGGCGAAGAGGCTTCCAGCGGGGACGTCGATGGAGATGGATATTATTGCAATTCAGTAGTATGACCATTACCCTGATCTTCGTCTAGAGGTGGTAGCTTACTAGGTGAGAATTTCAAAAGTGTCTGACAATCAAGAACAAGATAATCAATTGTATGATAAAACGACAGTGCAAAGAACGTTCGTTACGCAAATTCAGACTCCCATAGCCCCATATCCACCTTCAATCCTAATAAGAAAATTCCCGACGTTGAAGAATCGTTTGCACCAGATCCGACGTTATTTTTGGCTTCTAATTAAGCCCCTGCAACGACCTCAGATGGGTGAGCCCCTGGTATTATTCGCTACTTGAAGAAGTACTTTGATAAGCTTAAATGGCGTCACCTTCCTTCAGTTGATGTAGACTTACCATCTGGAATCCGACCATAACGGATCAATCTGTAGAGCGCACACAAATCTAGTAGGAATGATGGGGCATTCTCGATAAGAGATATGATGGAGCAAATCGCTTTGGTGTCGAGAGCCATTGGTAAATTTCGAAGAAAATGCGGGATGAGAGTGGGTGAATAGTCCCTAGCAGCGCAAGCGTTGTTGATTGATAGTGACGATTCTTGAATTGGTGTTGCTACTGTTTAAATAGAATCGACGCGGTTCGGATTTTGTATGAGTGGTGCATGTAGGCAGCCAAGCACTGAGAACTTGATTCAGTAAGATCGTCGCCAAGATCGATGGGTCTGCATGAACCCACCGGCTCTACTCTGACTCAGCGTAGATGTGAGGATTTGATTGGTCAAATCGTTGCTGAAGGAGCAAATTTGTATGAGAATTGCTGGGTGTGGGATAATCCAGTACTTGGTTGACCCAGCGTACACGTGCGTGCCCAGAGACTTGGCCGCAGCGTAAGCGGCGCTGCCCTCACTCGGTCTAGCTTTTGGTCACGTTGGACGCAACGATAGTTCCTGGACTTTTTCGGATGATGCAGTTCAGCTGCGCAGCGCCGTGTTGTCTTCGAGTTGTGTCGTAAACGTGTTTTTGTTTCAGTGTTTTGGTATTTCCAATTTTCACGATCATCAGTTCTTTGGCATGACTCCCCTACATACTATCTCGAGCCCAGCTTCACTGAGGTGGTGAAATCCAGCTCGGTTGTGATTGGAAAGATTGTTAGTGCCACTGGGTTAATGCTCCCTCGCCATGCGATGCATTTCCCCGGTGGGTTTGGTACTGCTCTTGGGAAGGGCTGGGAGAAAGATGGCTGCGGCGGCCATGGACCATGGTTTGTATTTGGCGATATTTCTCGGTAGCGTGGCTCTTATCATTTGATGAATTCCAATGGATGGGACGTGGATGGGACGTAGAGTCTAAAGACATGCGTGAAAGAGAATCTAAGCCTCGGAAATAGCAATCCATACTGCCATCGATCCCAATTTCCCAACTCCCCTTCTTGCCGCATTGTCTAAATTTCTGATAAATACGAAAGGATGTCGATTGAGGAAAGCGACGAGCGGTGGTCATATACCACTGCCCAGGACTCTAAGCTAAGCCTAATCGGGCAAGAACAATGCCGTAGGTGGCAACAAAGGGAGCAAACCAAGGCAAGCGAACAAACAACAGGCAAGCCGTTGGCCTCAAAGGGAAGCATGCCCTGAGGGCTGCTTGTCAGCTTCCTTTTATATGTCCCGAAACTCCAGCACCGTCCGCTGTTCTTGCTCGATGATTTTAATGAGTACGACTTATATGGGTGAGCCGTTGCTATTCGTAGCTATTTCAAAGAGCCCAATGATTAGAGTGATTGAAATACTTGTGGTCCAAAAAGCAGACTTACTATCCGCAACTTGTCCATGGATTAATAATCTCCAGATAGCCCACAGTGCGAGTAAAGATGCCGGTAGATCCATGGCGAGAGAAATGATGGCCACGATTGTTTGAATGTCGAGTGGCATTCGTAATCTATGGGGAAATGTGGGATGAGAGTGAAGAGATCGATCGAAGCTGATGAGGGGTTGTATGGCGAAAGTCGTAATCTTTTCATGGGTTCTGCTACGTTTAAATAGAATCGAAGTCACGCACATCCCGTACCAACGACGTATTCCAGAAGCGGAACAGTGGTGAGGCTCACTAGGGGAGTGTAGGATTCTGTACAGGCTGCAGGCAGCGGCAGTGAGGCTCATCAAAGCGCTGGCTTGTGCAGTGGCGCAATGAGGAAGAGGCCGGAACGCCGATCAGAACAAGTACAGATTTTCTGGTAGCCAATAAATACAGCAATGCGCATCTGGATGAGAGACGCCAAGCAATTTCGGATCAGCAAGATGATCTCCTGAGTTTCGGGTCGCCGGTTGGTATGGGGAACACCGCAGGCAGGGGCCAGGCCGCGAGAATTTCGTACACCCTACCTGGTTTCAGTGGTTGGCGAGACTGCGCAGGGGTATGAGAAAGCAAGAATCGCGACTTACGCTCGTAAATCATGCATCCAGCCATGCGTTAGGATTTTGTACAAGCAAGTTGAGGCAGACGCTGTCTCACATTGGCTGAAACACCTTGTTTTGGGGAGACAGTGAGCACAGCCCAGCTGGTACGTCATGAATTACGGGACGTGCACTCCGCGCCCTCCATCAATCTATCACCCTTAAGTAACCATCAGTTGGTGGCTCGGGATAAGCATGGAGATATTTATTCAATTGCGTCTAGGTGGATAATCCTTGGCGAATTTGAGTGATTGTGGTGGTTGAAGGACTCGAGACTGCTGAGTCTAAAAACAACCCGCGCACGTCCCCTTGGATTTTGTAAGAGATCCCGACGCCTGCAGGCGCCCCCGTCATGCACGCGGATTCCGTATTGTCCAATCAGTGCAATAACTATGCAAGCGACACTCAGTGAATTCCAAGCTGAAATATGTCCCTGAACTGTAATAGATAGGACGACAAACTCCATGCAGATTTTTTTCCGAGTGATACTCCTGGCAGCTGCATTCATCAACACTGGATCTCAGTTATCGGCCTCCGTAGTCTTCGGTGACTTGTGCATTCTGTACGGACAAGTGGCTGGGGAAACTGAGCGCCAATAATATCGATTCAAAGAGGCGCAGATTTTGTATGCAGGGTAGATGGAAGTCAGTGCCGAAAAAGGAGAGCGACTGCTGATCAGAAAGAGGATCAACCGCAGCTCCGGGCAGTTTCAGCTGCACGCTGATGCGGACCAACAGGAGGCCGCCAGCCCCGCGCGGATTCTGTACTGGCGCTAAGGGCTTGGCAACGATTCAGCCTCGCCCAGAGCCACGCATATCGTGCACGCGGATTTCGTATTGGCCAATGAGGGCCTTTATCTGATTTGCAGGTGGCCCCACGCTGCTCTCCCATTCAGCCTTGTTTCCTCAACCGTGAAGCATATAAAGGTGGTGGGTTCCATCGCATCCACCGAATTCTTCTACACAAGCCATCCTCCATCAGCAGAGGGCTTGTGCCGCTTTCTCTGCTCGATCTAGCAGACTATCTGTGTTCTCGTTTCTCATCTATCCCGTACCCCTCGACAAATCATGGCGTCGACCTATTTGGACTGGGAACGACACAAAGAAACCATGCGAGTTCTCTACGTAGAGAAGAACAAAACGCTGAAAGATTTGATGGAGATTATGAGCGCACCCCCGTACCACTTTTCTGCTACGTAGGTTATAGCAAACTTTTTCATCTGGTCCTAAACAGCTTTTTCCCTTAACACGACTTATAGGAAGAAGCAGTATGAGCGGCAATTCCAGAAAAAGTGGCGATTTCGGAAAAATCTTACTAAACAAGAGCGAAGGATTGTGCACTTTAAGGTTTCCAAGCGGCAAAGCGGTGGGAAACAAACCAAGATACTCATCGATGGTCGTCCGCAGCAAATAGAGAAATGGGAGCATGAGGTATCGCGATATGGGTTCAATAAGTCAGCTGGTATGTGGTCCCCTTTAGCATTAGTACAGCACTAACATTTTTTCGCGACAAGGTTTCGAACAGGAGCCGGACACACCTGACGGAGTATGTATACGATCTCCGACACCGGGAAGCCCGAACATTTCACATGAGAGCCTGGGGGAAAGTGCATCAACCAACGACGTCCTTTCGCAAGATGGACCACCGACACCGGGGGATTCGCATGCCCGACGCGATTCGTACGTGGGCCAGACCTTCTTTTTGAGTTCGGCTGCGATGGTTAGCTTGGCAGAATCTGACCGGGACAGGATCTGGATGCAGTGTCAGATGGATGGATTGCCTTACTTTGAGCTCTCCAAGCTATTCGATGCGGGCTTTCAAGGTGAGGCACTGCAGATTAGAAAACGTGATGACTGTGCTAATACTTTATGAAAAGCTCTGCATGAGCGGCTGGCTTTGTCAGGACCTGCAGCCCTCGCTTCGTTCGTTGCTCTTTCTGACAAACCAGAGTGGCTTAATAGAGACTCAAACCACGAAGTGGATGCCTCTAAGCGAGCCTCTCTCCTGCAGGCAATCATGCCGCCCAAAGACGACAGCGCCGGAACCCTCACCAATGTTGACCACACCAAAGACCCACTTCTTCATTTTCTAACGAATGCCGCCTATCTTCATTACAACGGCCTTGGATCCCCTGAATTAGGCGCATTCCTGGTCAAATTCTTCGGCGCCCCTCAAAACCACCGAGTATCGGACATGTTCATGTCTTCTCCAAGCATTGCCATCAAAGCATTCACTGAGGAATTGTTTCTCTCCCTACTGAAGACAGGCGACGATCAAGCAGCTGCAGGCCTTCTCGAGCGTGATAGAGTCACACCTCATGCACTACACCTCACAGTAGCGGCATGTGCTGGGTGCATACGAACTGTCGAGCTGTTGCTCAAGACGGGCATAGACCCGAATTCCCGGCCGGCTCCCCGGGGGCCTCCGCGTTACAGGGACGTCAACGCGACTGCTTTGGAACTTGCTATCGAGTCGAACCACATTTCAGTTGCAAAGATGCTGGTTGACTACGGAGCAAATCCCAACAGCCTCCGAAGGGAAGATCTCAGGCAATGTGCATTTTTCGATGTGATAAGGAGGGGAAATACGGATCTTTTGAGGTATTTTCTTCAATCTCGTACACATCAAATATTCGACGATGGTGCCGGACCCGACTATCACGCACTTCGACTTGTTGCGGCCGCGGAAAAAGGCAATGTTGACATGGTGGATGTGCTCTTGCCCTACACTGATGTCAACCAATACTCAACAGAGGGCTGTTCAGCACTGGTAGCTGCTGCTTTGAGAGGAAAGCTCAATGCCGTCGAATTTCTTCTCGACGCAGGTGCCTCACCAAACCGACTCGAAACGGCTGCAAAGACCAACTTGGGACCCAGCCCTCTTCAAGCTGCGATTAATGCATTTCCCGAAGACGACGATCACGACTATGACAACATTGACCAAGATGATCTTTTCCCGATAATACGTCTCCTGATCGAGTATGGTGCCGACGTAAACGAACCCCCGAATAACAAAGAAAACTGGGAACTCTTATGGTGTAGTCCAGTACGAAGTAGAACAGCACTCCAAGCTGCGGCTGAGATTGGACACGAAGAGCTCTTTTTCTACCTGTTACAGCAAGGGGCAGATGCATACGCACCGGCAGCAGAGCACCACGGATTAACAGCTTTACAAGCGGCCCTGAGAAATGGGAATCAGGCTTTGTGGGAATACTTTTCCCGCAACCTCGGGAATCTGGACATTCCGCCCACTGCCCATGCTGGGACAACAGCACTCATTGAAGCTGCACGTTCCAACAATGTTCCGGCAGTGCGTAGACTCCTGGAGAGTGGATGTGATGTCAACGATACCGGATCGACCCATGTCGGCTGGACTGCTCTCTCGGTTGCAATTCTTACCCAAAACATGGCTCTGGTGCAGCTTTTGCTGGACTCCGGGGCTGATGTCAACCATCCTCAGGCCCTTCGCGACGATGGAACTGCACTTCAGGCTGCATTGAGCATCTCGAACTTGGAATTGGTGAAAAATCTGATTGCGTTGGGTGCTGATGTATTTGACGAAAAAGCTTTTTTGATTGCAGTTGCCGTTTGCCCGATGGAAATCATCACCACAATGCTTGCCGAGATTGAGGCCAGAGAACTACGGGACCCCACTCGGAGAATCAAAGGACAGCTAGCGCTCCAGGTCGCCATCAAAGAGAAAGATGTGTCAGTCGTCTTGAAGCTGCTTCAGTCTGGTATCAATCCCAATCGGCCCTCTGTTCTTGGTAAAGTGGACGCATGCGCAAAATGCGAAAACCTCAGCATATTTGGGGCTTGCCCGTTAGGCCTGCATGATTGTCTCTGGAGAGATTATTTCTCTTTTGATATCCGCACCGACGAAAGAGCACTCGCAACAGCGATCAGGAATCAAAGGGAAGAGATGGTGGAGCTTCTGCTCGAAAACGGTGCTGACGTGGAGTTTCGAATGGACAGTGAAGATGGCAGCAAACTCACTCCGCTTGCAAGTGCCTCTGGTTCGGGCTTATCTGCTATCGTGCAGATTTTGCTGGCCCATGGGGCAGACGTCAATGCTCCTGCGAAGGGGCGTTTCGGAAGGACGCCTTTGCAAGCTGCTACGGCCAACGGACATTTTGACATCATCCAGATTCTGCTCGACAGAGGAGCTGATTGCAATGGACGTCCTGCAACAAATGGAGGCGCCACCGCTCTGCAATTAGCATCGATCAAAGGGTATTTCGAAACGGCACGGATGTTCCTGAACCGTGGGGCAGATCCAAACGCATCAGCTGCGCGACGTGAGGGAAGAACTGCACTGGAAGGTGCTGCTGAACATGGCCGTCTTGACGTGCTGCAGTTACTTCTCAATTCCGGTGCCCATTTGGGTGAACCGGATTCCGTCTCCCACAGAAGGGTATGTTCTTTGGCAGAGAAAGGTTGTCATTTCGCTGCAATAGATCTTCTGAGGGCACATGAGGTCACCAAATGGAAGCCAGGACAATTCAACGGAGACGTAGCTCAAGATGTCCCCTCTACGGCGGAGACATGGCAAGTTTACCAGGAGAGTTCATCTACGTATGAAGAGTCTCACGGACACTGCTCCGACAGCCACTTTCAATATTCTGTTTGAGAGTACATGCAAGATGAGGATGAGGGAACGGGCTGGTATATGGATGAGTAAGATAGCTCTGACCACGACCTTCAATGAGACGAGAGGAATTCGAAAAGTGGAAAATAGATTTTCTATGCCAATTAGCTAATAGAGGACAATTTTGACCTTCAAGTCTCTTTTCAGGGTTAGAGAAAAATCATCGACGCTACGGGTAGAGAATGAAGAGCAAGACGGAGATCCTGCAAAGGTTTGTCTTGAAGCAGTGGGCTCAAGTTCAACAATAAGGAATGCCAGTGGTGGATCGGCAATCGTAGACGCCACTCTTCCGACTTACGGAATGTGGAAAGTGTATCCGTTGTGCTGTTCCACAAGTGGCCGTTAAGCTCATCCGATAAGAGCCTGCTTACTATCTGTCGGTAAGTATCCGGGGCCCGGGGAACACGACAGCATCTGTGCTTCTTCGGCCGCACGACGGTTACCTAGTAGCTGACACGAGCCGCACATTTTGGAGGGAAAATGAATTGGCCGATCAACTGTGGGTATTTCAGGGCACTCTTTTATTGTTTCTTTTCTCGAGCTCGAAGCCTGCAAACTGCCCAAAACAGCGAAACGGAGTACGCAAGGCTGTCTCATGCCCTACAACTCCGCTAAATTGATGGGGTGCAGGCATCGACATGTTCCCCGAAGAGCGAAAGCGAGGTGCATGTCTCGGCCCCCACCTGCATATTACTTGCGAGCTCGGGAATAAGCTCACTATCCGAAGTAAGACAGAGCAAACCAAAACCTGGGTCCAGCCCTAGGACACCGCCGCCCCCAAGGTGATAAAGGACTCTTGTCAACGCCATGCTTATCCATTTTTCTTCGCCCCACTCCGAAAATGGAGGCTACTCAGCCGCTCACGGGCGCTGCCAAACAGCATGCAATTGATACGGCAAGCTTGATCCATATACAGCAATGGCTCGTGAGTGTCCCCCTTGAACTTGTGAAGAGAGGCTTACGGAGTAGGTGGCTATCTGGGTTATCTGTAGCATCGCGCTTGTTACCGTCGGGGCCCGTATTGTAATCCGCTTTATTACCCGACGTAAGCTCTTCCTCGACGACTACTTTCTACTCTTTGCTATGCCGTGTATTGTAGTAGCCACGAGCATGCTGCAATGGGGCGCGCATGCCTTCTTCGCGAACAAAGCCATAGCAAACGGCATTATCATTCCGGACGCCGCGGATATAGAGGAACAGACGCAGGTTATGCTGATCACGGCCGTCTTCGTCGACACCAGCTGGACAGCCATTTTCTGCGTCAAGTTCTCGTTCCTCGCCCTCTTTAAGATGCTAATTCGCAACGTCTCGACGCGCCTATTACGGTATTTCTGGTGCGTCGTCGTCGCCACCGCGCTCACGTGGGCGTTTCTGGTGTCGGAGACGTTTATCTTGTGCAGCCGCTTCGGGTGGGACAGCCGTAAGTGAAAGCCCAAGCCTCCAACCCCTTCCCCTTCTCCCGTCCGCGTACCAGCGCTAACGCAAACGTACCGTAGTGAAATGCTCCGGCCCGAGCACTCGGCTCTACACCCCGCTCACCGCCCTCGTCACCGTCCTCGACATCATCACCGACGTCCTGGGTACGCATTCCCTCTCCCCTACCATCACACTCCTCCACCATTAATTCCCTCACCACCACACTTCCTCACCAACGTACCCCCTTACTAACCCAAACACACACAGTCGTGACCTTCCCCATCATCATCCTCCGCCACACCCAAATGGACTGTAAGCAAAAGCTCGGCCTATGCGCCTTCCTCTGCCTCTCCGTCATCATGATCCTGTTCGCCGCCATCCGCGTGCTCGGCGCCATACGCCCTGGCGAGGCCCATCTCGACCTGCCGTGGGAGATGTTCTGGCAATTAATGGAAGCATGTGCAGCCGTCATGGCGGCGTCGGCGACGGTCTTTCGGACTGTTTTCTTGCGGCATCGCAGGGCATCGTCGCCGCGCGCGGCGGGTGATGGTGCTGGTGGTGGTGATGACGCGTCGCCGCCGTCGCCAGAAGGCGAGAGGTTCGAAGTGTTGCGGACGCTGCGGACGCGCACGCCGTCGGGGGTCGGGGAGGAGGAGAAGGATAAGGAAGGCGGGATGGAGGTGAGGGAGTGTGGGAGTAGGGGGAGTGAGGATGAGGGGGGCCTGCTGAGGTGATTATGGGGGGATCGATGCGCGGCGCACGGATGGGGAAAGGGACAGTGTGGGGGAGAATATCGTCTTGTGTGACGAAGTGACGAACGTGGCGCAGAGTTTGGCGCCGAGCTCTGAGAACCCTTCTGATCAACTGATCCCTGATGTTGCAGAGGCTTGACAGTGATTGATGCTGAGTCAGCTGACGGTAGCCTCAAGGGCTGGCTGAGGCGAGGTGCGTAGAATTAGTGTAGCAAGGCGATCTGCTTGACAAAATCTGCGTTATTCAGTTGCACCACACTGCTCAGCCTCCCTATTACGATGGCTATATTCCGCTGGCTTGTCTTGTGACAACTCCTCGTAGAAGTTGAAAATCTAGGCCTGCCGGTCTGGATGAGGCTATGTCCTTGAACCCGTATGCATGCTCTGAGTGGAATGTGATAACGACGGCCGAGGACGGTGGCGATACGGAACATACCAAGCTGCGGTTGATGTCGTGCAAATTGCACAAGAGGCAATTGGGGACCTGGTCAATGAGCTATCTGATGATAGTATCCGGAAAGAGTTGAATGATAAGGGCGTGAGGATTGTAATGTCGGATGGGGATTCGTTAGCATTGAAGAGATGGGACTGCTATGATGATTGGTCACTGAGCAGGAAATCACGGCGTTGATTCACATACTACAACTCATTTCCGGATATTAGCAACCCTCTTCTCAATTCAGAAGCGCTGTCTGACTATACCGCAAGTAGTACATAACTTCCATATCTAAGCTTGCGAAGAATCCTCTCACAGCTGCTTCGGTAACAGCTGGCTCTACTGTCTCGCCGTGGCTTTTTGATACATAATCCACCACTGCTGTCTTTAGACGTCTGCCCGCGACACTGCCTCGGCTCATGCGCGCTCGAACAGCGCGGCGCTGTGAGGTATCTATATGGCCGCCCAGAAGCTTGATAGGATTACGTTGTGGTTGAACCTATTTCCGCATGCAGTTAGCGCGGGCGGGACGGGGCGGGGCGGCATATCAGGGATCAGGTAGGTAGTGCTTATGTCTATTACGCCCAGATAACGCCTAAGTCTTCAGCCACAAGCGCGAGCTTGTCGTAGTCGTCCACAGCCATCAGAGCCTTATGGTGCCCGCGGAAGTGGAAGGGGTCGCTTTCGCCGTTAGCCGCGACGCATGGGAGATGCAGTCAGCTTACTGAAAAGCGGATAGAGGTTACTGTTCCAAGACACAAGAAACGCAGATACGTAGAGTCAATATGTCCAAATGTAACAGGAGATGTCTCCATGCACGAATCTCTGATCCGTTTCATGTCAGAGAGTCTCTCAATTCATATAAGCTATGTCTGGACTGGTTACTTATGCCTTGTTGGTCATTGCATGTGAATGTTCCGGGTTGCGTAGTCCTTGGTGTTCTTTGGGTGTCAACGAGGCTAAATGAGCTAGTTCCTGACAGCAAAGGTCGGGTGCGTAGAATCAGTACAGTAGAGAAACCTGCTTGATAAACTCAACGTTATTCACCGACGCCGTACTGTGACTGGTGACATATCATCGCCCTTCAACCGCCTGATGCAACCCTCACATCCTTGGTGCTACTAGCACTATTCTACTATCCAGCGGCCCAGGGATTGCGCACGCATATGTCCATGTCTCGGCTAACTAGACTATGCCACCACTCTCGCAAAAGAATTCAAACAAGCCCCACCCCACACTTCTTGTGCTCTCTCCTTCGCTACCGTATTCTCTTAGAAGCAACCAATTAAACCGCCACAATCGCCCACTCGACCTCATCCCTCCTCAAATCCTCGCTCGCCACCTCATTCAACGCCGCATGCACCGCCGTCTTCTCCCAAGCCCTCAACTTCTCGTTCCGCCACAACGCCCGGTAATCAACATGCCTCACCGGCACCCCCGCCGCGAGCAACACTTTCACCACATCCAGCGCTTCCGCCGGCCTCGCACACGCCACGGTCAACGGCGACTGCCCCGCCTGATCCACCACCGCACCACCCTTCTCATCCACGACCTCGGCCCCATACTCCAACAACACCCGCACCAACGCAACCGCGTCATCCGCCCGCGCACTCCTCGCAGCTAAATGCAACGGCCTCTCCCCCCTCCTCCCCATCCGCGCATCAACCACCCTTTCCCCCTTCCTCCCCTCCCCCTTTTGCCCTTCCGTCCCGTCCCCCCGCTCCTCCCCCGCCGCCGCCCCCAGCAAAACCCCCAGCACCCCCTTATGCCCCCCCTCGACCGCCAGATGCACCGCATTCCCATCAACCCTACACCCCGCCGCCAACAACACCTCCACAACACCCACCTGCCCCGCCCCCGCCGCCACATGCAGCGCCGTCCGCCGCTCCCTTCCCGCCGCCGCATCTCTGTCCGCCCCCGCCCCCAACAACGCCTCGACGACGCCGACCGCGCCGGCCTGCGCGGCGAGATGCAGCGGCCGCTGGCCCGTGTCGTCGGCTGCGTTGCGGTACGCGCCTGCGGCCAACAGCGCCGCGACGACGGCGGTGCGGGCGTGGAGTGAGGCACAGTGGAGGGGGGTGAGGCGGTGGTTGGAGGGGGTGTCGATCATGGACTTGTCTCGGTGCTGCTGTTGGTGTTGATGTTGCTGTTGCTGTTGGTGGTGGTGGTTGGGGTTCCGGCGGTCTTGGTGTTGGATGTAGAGCAGGACCGCTTTCAGGTGTCCAGCAGCGGCGGCGCAGTGCAGCGGTAGTTGGCCTTGGGCGTCACGGGCGAGCGGGTCGGCGCCGAGGGAGAGGAGGAGCGGGACGGCGTCTTCGTCTGCTACATGTAGTGGCGTGCGGCCTTCTGATACTGTTAGGTTCGGGTTCGCGCCGCCGCGGGTGATGAGCGTGTCGATGATGTCGAGGTGGCCCATTGAGGCGGCGAGGTGGAGGGGGGAGGTTTCGACGGTTGTTGTTGTTGATGGTTTGGATGGCCAGGAGAGGTATTTTGATAGACTGCCCGAGGTGGAGGAGGTTGGCCGGCTGGTGGGAGGCGGTTTGTCGACGGATTCGAGGGACGAGGCGAGCGTCGTGCTGCTCCAGCGGCTGATCCTGCCGCTGCTGCTGGTGCTGGGCCAGCGCGAATGCCGCACGTTTACGTCGGCGCCTTCGTCGCAGAGGCGGGCGATTAGGGCGGCGTCGCCCTGGAATGCGGCGTCGCAGAGTTGCTGTTTGGTTGATGATGATGATGAGGTGGGTCGGCGGAGGCTCAGCCATGAGCGTCGGGACTTCTTGATTTCGGCGTCGAAACCGTTGGAAGAGCTGGTTGAGTTGGTTGAAATGGTGGCTGTGGTGCTTTCTGAGCCGTCGTTGGTGCCTGATTGTACGCTGCCTGGCCGCAGCTCGAAGAGGTCGTGCTCGACGCTGCTGAAGAGTGTGCTGCTGTTGCCGCTGCTGCTGGCCTCGGGCAGTTCCACTTGCTCGTCTTCTTCTTGATATTCGGATGGGCAGTATATGGATGCCCGGTCTTGTGCGTCTCTTAGTGTCCGTTGGCTCTCAATGCTCTCTAGAAGTATGCGCTGCCGTGTGCTGGACTTACTGCGGAAAGGCGTCAGCTTTGAGCTCTGATGGTGAATGCAGAATGCCAACTTACAGCAGTATAACATTAAGAAAAATAGCCAAGGCCGCCGTTTGGCTGTCGAGGCTCTGCTGGTACATGAGATACTGTCCCTCGTCCCAGAGATGTCTCACGCGACCTCCCAACCAACCCGTCTTGACGCGCTGGACGTGCCGCAGTATCTCGCGCACCACCATCTGGCACGCGCCGATGGCCGTGTGCAAGTCCGCTGCCACCTGCGGCGACACCTCTTCTTCATTCTGCATCATCCACGACCGCAGCTGCGACACGGTCGCCTGGATCGTGCTCAGCCGCGCGAGGATCAGCGTTACCGTGTGGTCGATCCGCCGCGCCTTGGCCACCAGCTCGTTGATCTCGCGCGACGTCCGCAGCACCACCGTCAGGCATGCCCCCGCGACTGAGATGACCGACGTCGGTTCCATCGAGCTTGGCGTGCCGCTGCTGCCGTTGTGCGGGGCATGGGGCTGTTGGGTTGTTCGGAAAACTGAGGGTTCGGCGGAGACAAGCAGCGGGGGACATTACAGCCTGATAAGCTCTGGTCACGTTCACAGCCCCGCTGCGGCTTTTCTATTTTTGGGGCATTTTGGGGATTACGAAGCAGGCTCGATTAAACCCGTTGCAGTGCATCGTAACAGTTGGGTACATATTGTGCTTCACCGCCTCTTTTCTCTATAGAATGTCTATTACCTATTCTAAAATAACTTCGCACTAGTGATCCTATCTTCCTCTTTCTTCTTTCTATCCTTACTGCCTCCATTGACTCTTGTGGAATTCAACAGAGCCAGCAACTTGCGAAAACATGCACAAAGTTGAACGCTAAAAGAATATGAGAGCAGTATTCCTTCACTACTGAGTGTATCTGAACCTAATCAAATCAAAGTACATTTTCGTGTCCTGTAATTAAAACGACGTGCAGTTCCCAACGTCATTGGAATTGGTTATCTTCTCGCGCTTCCCGCAATGCTTTTGGCCTTTCAAACTTTGGGTGATTAGTTGTCAAATTTTGCTAGAAACGGTTAGAATTAGGGCGCCGACATAGGCCCAGTTCAGCGGGCCTTGAATGTTATTGGACGAGTCTCAGAAGGGAGAGCCAATGAGGAAGCCTGACAGCAAGATCACCAACGTCGACCATGAATACGGAAAACAAGAGGAACCATTATGGGCCCAAAATAAAGAGAGCAAATGGACTGGATATATTCCCGAGTGTGCCAGACCTTCGGAAAGCTCCACTCGAGAATTGGTAGAAAGTAAAGATCATAGCGGGTGTTCAGCGAATGCCCATCATGGCGTAGAAGGGTCGGATCGAACAGCGAGGACATGATAATCCTCGTCGGCAGATCAACACCACCAATTGGACGTGTGGGTGGAAGGCGGATCTGGTTTACTCCTTCACGTCGGATCCACATGGTGGGGACTTGCTCGGTACTCTCGTCGGTGCCTGTCTGGCGGGAGCACGCGACAGTCAATTGCCCGATGCTGCTTTCGAAGACAGGGAGGTGACTTGCCCAAAATCAGCTCGTAAAGACGTTGGAAAGACTGTGAGGAGAAATCAACCCTTCTGACCTTCATGTAGCACCGTCAGCCCCTCGTGGAATGCGTCTTGTACTCATGAATATGGCCACGGGCGCGCGTGCGGAGCCACAAGTGTCTGCATGACGGATTCTGACCAGAACTCATACATCACACTATTTCCAACGCGACAGAACATATGCCAGCCCCAGCCCACGAGTATCCAACTGGCGATACTGAGCGCCCGCTAGGAATGGAAATGATGTGACTATAGCGGACAGACAGGCTTGTTTGCGGTAGCGGCGGAGAAGTTGGGCGTCGCGACCTTGGCGGTGTAGGTGGCTAGGTGCATTCGCTGCGAATACGGAGGGCGGTATCGCCCTGAGTGGGCCTGAAGAATTGAGTGCTGGCTGTGTGCAGTCAACCTGACAGCGGATAGGTGCTAATCGTTTGCTAGTGGCCGGTGCACGATCAAAAGCCATGGACGCTCAGGCCACGGGCTAACACCCCGAAAGACTTTTGGCGCGGAGGCAGGCTGGGATGATGCGGCTCCATCGAGTCAGGCGGCTAGCGAGAAAGCTGGCGGCAAGCGGATCAATTGCGTCGGGTATGGCCATCGCGTTTACTGACCGGTCGTCACGGTAAACTGGCGGGAACAGGGTATAATTAAGAGCATGAGGGGAAGAGGCACAGCTTCGGTACATCTTCCGGTATTTGAGAGCAGACACCAGCCGTCTGGCCGAGACATGCACAATTCACGTTTTGGGCGGAGCAAATGCATACAAATTACTAGGGTAACGTTGGCCCTCCCCAAAACCAGAAAGATGCCCTGACAGAAGAGCAGGGGTCCCTTGAGGCGCTACAGCTCGCGTGGTGTACGCATCCGCATACAGTATGACGCCCGACCCACCGGCTTCCGCAACTACGCCAATGTTCTGCAGCATCCCATCGCCGCCAGCATCTCAACGTCGACATCGCGGGTCAGCAGCGTGCACATCAGAAGCATATGGCGCCAATCGTACCATCTCCGCTGCCGCCGAATGGGTGACGAATCGCTAGAGAAGTAGCGAAGGCTGCGGAACAAGTACCCCTGCAGCAGCCCTAAAGACGGCGACCGGGAACACGTTTGTGGTCGAACCTCTTTCCCCATTCGGGCTAGCGTGGGCGGCACGGGGCGGGGGGTGCGGGCCGGAACGAGAACGGGCAGCTCAGGGATTCGCGAATACGTAAATTACTCTACCCTCCCGAGATGGTCGGAAAACGAGTTTGGGCCGCAGTTTCACCCTTGTCGAAGCTGTCGACCATCGCATGGTTGAGCGTCAATAACACCGGCCGGTAGATGGCCTCGAGGACGACGCTGTTGCAGTTGAGCATCAGGAGCTCGAAGTTGCTGTTATCCAGGGCCACCCGCTCTTCATCGTGCTGCCATTTTGAAGCCCGTGCTGGGACCTTCATATCAGTGGACCCCGTCCCGGTGAGGAGTTCGGCGAACAGCCGGCGACTCTCCCACGCCATGTGATTGCTCTACGTCTTGCTGTCCCCACGTCGTCGGGCAGGTATGCAGTGCCAACTAGCTCGCGGTTCTATCGAGAGTATGGCGTATCACGCAGTAAAATGTGCCGTTGGATGATATGTGGATCTCTCCTTCCAGGACTGCTTGATATTCTCCGGCCCTTGTATGAGAAACGCGGCACGAAATCGAGCGTAGGGTTGACTGCATTCTACTGGCTGCTACCGCGTTCGCTGTTTCTGTACCATGTCAGCAAAAGGCAAACGCCCGGCGACACTCATGACATACACTATTGTTTCGATGAACTCGACAGGATTCCATACGAATGCCAGTACATTTTCGAATTGAGGCGGGGTTGGTGGTAATTGTTCCGGGCTTTTGCTTCGCAGTATGGTCCTGAAGATGAGAAAGCAAACAAGATAATGCAGCTGAAAGGGTACAGAAATGAGGAAAATGGAAACCAGAAACTCCCGCGCAGTTGGCATCTTGGAATTGTTGTAGCTGCTTGGACAACTCTATGGCACTTCCACCTTTACTATATGTATTGCTCAAGAAATGAAACCCTGCCAATTAGAGTAGTCGCTGCTAGTTTTTGCCTTGTTGGACGTTGGAACCACAGGGAACCCACCAGAGCCTCTCAAAATCTGGATTGCGATGCACGCAGGCATGTCTGACTGCTCAGCCTATCATACGATGCCTTGGGCACAGGATCTGGCCACCAGCTGACATGCGTCTGACCATCTTGCAGTTTAGCGCATCGGCGCATTTCCCAAGGCTGTTATACGATACCGGTATCTTGCGGCTGACAGTCTTTCAGAAGTTATTTTTCTGTGTATTGGCTGCCGCAAAAGGCGGAAGCTCAGAGCCACACCCAGCCAAAGCTCTACAGCCCTGCCTTTCTTTGTACTAGTCATCGACCACAAACGTGGGGTGCGAGGCAGCCATTGTCACTTTATTTTCCCAGGCAAGAATGCTAGGGTGGAAGTGGGGGCGATCGCGTACAAATCCATCACAAATCCCGGCCCCATCTGCAGGGTGGTACAGGGATGCCCACACTCAATAAAATCTGCATACAGCCTGACCACCTGCGTGATGGTTCCTTTTTGTAGGGTGTGGCATGCCAAGTAAGAGCAGGGCCCGGCTCCGGGATGCTCGTCGCCCCCAGGTGGTAGAATACTCTCGTGTTTCTCTAATTTTACTCACCCATCTCTAAATTTACTTGCACAGCCCACAGCTCAATGGCAGCGACACAGCCTCTCACGGGGGCTGCCAAACAACATGCCATTGACACATCTGGTCTAATCCACAAACAGCAATGGCTGGTGAGCGTCATCCCCCCTCCTGCACCCACGAAGAGAGACTGACTGAGTAGCCTGTAGGTGGCCAGCTGGGTCATGTGCGGACTCGCGCTGCTCACCGTCGCGGCGCGCATAGCCATGCGCTTCTTCACTCGTCGGAAACTTTTCCTCGATGACTACTTCCTGCTGGTGGCCATGCCATGCGTCGTCGTGGCCACGAGCATGCTGCAGTGGGGCGCCGATGGCCTGTTCCTGTACAAGGCCGTGATATCCGACGTGCCTTTTGTGCTGGACGCCGCCGACCTGAACGAGCTGACGCACGTCACCATCGTCACGAATGTGTTTGTCGACACCAGTTGGACGGCCATCTTCTGCGTCAAGTTCTCGTTCCTGGCGCTGTTCCGCGTGCTGATCAAGAACGTATCAACGCACCTGTCGCGGTACTTCTGGTGTGTCGTCGTCATCACCGCCGTCACTTGGGCGTTTCTCGTGTCGGAGGCATTCATCCTCTGTTCGAAATTCGGATGGGCTAGCTGTAAGCACCTTCGCACATCCCCATCCCCCTCTCAACCCAGGCCAACAAACTCCAGTCGGCTGCACAGGAGCGGGCTCCAGGCTCTACACGCCACTAACCGCCGTCGTCACCGTGCTGGACATCACAACCGACGTCCTCGGTAAGCCTCCCTCCTGCCCTCCTCCCACCCTCCTTCCACCCTAACACCCGCACGCACGACAGTCGTCACCTTCCCCATCTTCATCCTCCGCCGCGCCCGAATAGACCGCGAGCAAAAGATCGGTCTGGGCGCCTTTCTGTCTCTCTCCATCGTCATGATCATCTTCGCGACGATCCGCGTGCTCGGCGCCATCCGCCTCGGCGAGCCGCAGCTGGACGTGACGTGGGAGTTGTTCTGGCAGCTGATGGAGGCCTGCGCCGCCATGATGGCTGCCTCGGCGACTGTGTTTCGTACTATCTTCTTGCGCCGTAGCAGTGCGCCGGTGCCGGGCCCCGGTCATGCGCCGCTGCCGTCGGCGTCGGATGGGCCGCGCTCGGGTACGGCGCCGGGGGCCGTGGTGCCGACGATGACGGAGATAAGGTCGTTTATGCAGAGGGAGGGGTTGGAGGATGTGGAGCGGATAGGGTGATGGTGGTGGTGGTGTATATAGTGAGCTGGGTTGGAAATGTACATAGTGAAACCATTTTTTCTATCATCAACAAATCAATGACTGCCGCGGCATGTTTGACGCCCCGAGGGGATGTCATCCTGCGCCGCTTTTGCGTAACGTACCACCTGGTGGACTTGTGCGGCAGCAGCTCAATGTCGACCCACTCAGGTCAAAGTGATTCGCTGCCTATCTTTCCCAATACAACGATAAGATAGCACCTCATAGTGGGCACAGATATCATATGATAGGTTGCAATTTTCACCTGTTGGGCCCCGCCAATCAAATGCTACCGTCCGGCCGGGTTCCTGCACAAAGACGGGATGGCCCGCTGCGCCGCATACCAAGAAATGTGCTGTTGCATTATTCATTCCGCCGTTCTCAGGAAGCCTGCAGTGACATACATAAGGCCATCCATACACCTGGAGAACTTAAATGATATGGAGCTAATTAAGTGGCCAAGGCACTGAGCTTTCATTTATTATCAACGCACATTGAATGCTGAAATGGGGGTTGATGTAATATTCGATAATGTTAATCATACTTTATCGCATCAGTCAGGTGTCTCTAATAAAGCTAGACCTTCGTCTGGAAGTGCGTGGACCTAGACAATGCCTGAAAAGAATGGAAACCACTCATCGCCCTGCCATCTACACCAGCTTTACCTCACAAGGCTGGACGTTTTCCCAGAGTTTCTTCCCGCCTAAGCCCCTTGCCTCTGAATAAAAGAGACCTACTTTCAGAAAGCCATCTCCGTTCTCATTTCGTACCAGTAGAAGCCCAAACATGATCTCCTCATCTCTCACATTCCCATAGTTCGAGGCAAGCTGCGCACTCGATATGCAAATCATCCACAACTGACCAATGGATCCTTTTGAACAGCTATCCACATGCTGTCCTCCTGGGCAATCGCAGTCAAAACGAAAGTCAGCAATGTACTCATCCTCTGGCGAGCGAAGCGTGAGATCGAACTGCATGTACAGCTGTGCATAGCCTTCTTCTTTCGGTTTGGGAATAGTATTAGGCTTGCCATTTGCATCGAGAGGGACTCGGAACAGTTTCGCGTTCAATAGGATATATCCGGCCGAAACGCTCCCAAACGGATTCCCCGGGTCGGTTTCGAGCTTGGCATCGCACAGCTCGAATTTGCGAGTATAAGGATAGCGCGAGTCGTCAGGGCCGATGATCCGCGTGGGAATGATCGAGTCGCAAGCCCAGCTCCAGGACGGCGCGATGTATTCGTTCTTCCTGTCTTGCATATAGTCTTTAGATCGGTTCCTCCGTTCGACCGTCCAAAGAAGCCCGCGTTGGAGATCTGCCTCCCACAACCCGGCCAAGTAGCGCTGTCCAGGGTAGAGCTCAGCCACTGTCCGCGCCAAGGCAGAAAGAGCTGGCAATTTATCTCCAGCGACAGTGAGGTGTCTAGAAGTATACAAATCCACCCAGTCGTACCAGCTGACGAATATGTTGTCCAGATTGGGCCCTGTCAGCCGAGAAAGTAGAGAGTGGTACTCGAAGCGAGACCCATCCTCGGATTCATGAAAGCCCATGCAGCTCACATGAAACATGCGGTCGCCGACAAAAATCCTCCTTGTCGATAGCTGCTCTTCTTGAAAGGTCCAGCCCCTTTCGGTCCACGCAGAGCCCTCCAAGTCCCAACTTGCCGGATGATACAAGGTGTGATTTCCTGCTTGGAAATCGTATTCGAAGTCATCGTGCGCTGCTTTAGGCTGGCTGAGGTAGAATTTACCCGACACGGAAGCGTCCAAAGCAGAGCGGAATCTCACAGCGAGTCTAGGACGGACTTTGCGGGGTTGCAAGAATCCGTCCACACATGAGCTTCCTCGAAGGACGCAGACAGTGCAGAGGCTGTTGGCATAGACATTCGCCATTTCGAACGACTCTCTTGCCCAGTCCTCGGCGTGGCTTTGGATGATGCATAACGCGTCTACCCACAAATAACGAATTTTCAGTGTCTGACACAGCTCGACCGCGTCCGCAATTGTCCGCGGCAGCTTCTCGTATTGCAGATGCTCAAGATGCTCGTTGAGCGTGTCGCCTGTAGTCTTCAGCTGCTTCTCCGCATCTTCCCTGGACCCCCAGCAGTAGCTCAACGCGATATACCTTTTCGCCGCTGGATCAACCGTTTCCAGAAACGAAGGGTCATCTTTTGGGACTACCAATCGAAGCGTGGGTTGTGACCGCGAGCCGACGTCAATTAGTCGCGTCGGCAGGTAAAGATTCTCCGTCGGGGGCGGGACGCGCCGAATGGCCTCTTCGAGCAGGCAATTCAGTCTCTGCGAAGGCAAAGCCTCTGGTGTCACCAGTCGGCGCCAGATGCCAAGCCATCCCGCGCATTTATCTAATACAGTCAACAAAAGCCATTTTCCCAGGGGATGAGCTCTTACCAAATGAGTCGGTGGACACGTTGTAGGACAATGAGCCTTCCCTGAACTTCCGACCGTCGAAGACCCTGAAGAATACTGTGAAGGTATCGAGCCACGGCAATCCCCTTTCACCACCATTCGACCAGGCAAAGTATCGATACTGGCATTTGATTTCATGGATGAGGATCTTCCCCTTGTCAGTGGGCCCTAAATCTTCAATTAGATTCGTGCTATCCTTAGCAGGCCTCGTGTCCTTACTGTCGGTCCCATTCTCTACACGTGCTCTCACGTCGGCCAATTCATCTCTCTTCAACCAGACAGAGAGCAGATCTTGCCGTAACATTGAGCAAAACTCGCATCCCTGGCTGGCAGTTTTTTCAAGGCTGGGCAGGTTCGGGAACATGTCTTCGCGATGGTAGCCCAGCGTTAGCACCCTTCCATTGGGGCTTACAACATAATCATCGCCGTCCGCAGGCCTGTAGTAATCATTCAAGTGTCTTCCAATAGTCTCCCGTGCATCACCGAAGGAAACGCGAGATGTCCCACTGCTATCGATCTCCACCTTGCCACCGAGCTGTGCGTCATCCAGTTCAAGGCATTTGCAAGAGGCGCAGGGGTGGTCGAGGGTTGCCTCATAGTATTCTTCTGACATAGCTAGTATTCTCTTTCCAGCAGTGTCGTTCGTTCTGGATCGGTAGCTTGTATGTCGATCTTCGGGGGTAGAGTATGGTTTGGTACAGCGTTGCCGGCCGAGCAAAGCAGTTTCAGTTTGCCACGTCACCCCGCCATGCGCGAAGCTAAAGGAAAGGTTTGTCAGCGACTCGAGTCCGTTTAACCATTGCGACCAATCATTAAGCATCGTGGTGGAGACAAACTAGCACTAGCGCTATCACCGGCTCTCGGACTACCGGCTGAAAATGGGGGCCGATATATAAGTCACTGCCATTCTCAGAATCTAACTACCTTAGTCATACCAATGATTGATATTCAGTAGTAACAACTCTGGACAGGCTCAGAGCTGTAGAATCATTTACATAACACGTTATCGTTTAGTCGGAACCCTCACATGGTAGGAGGCTGGTCTGCAAGCTTCATCTTTCTCAAAGTTTCATGGCTCACTGTATAATTTGGGAAATGCCAAAATAGATCTGGTGCGCGACAGCCTCGTTCTCGATTGCAAAGGGGCGAATGCGGCGCGGACCTTAATCTTCCAATCACATTCAGCGGAAGTGAAATCCTTGCTGACATGGTTCGGCAGCCTTCCACTGTGCCACCGCTGTGCCTCAATCCTACGCTTGGCTCACGGCTTAACCCAACCCCTTCCATCCCAGAACGCCCACCAAACCAACATCTGCCGCCACTCTCATCACCCGCAACCATGAGTGTACCGCGTATCGCTCTTTCTGCCACTGGCACCTCAATGTCACTACTGGTTGCTCTTGTATGCGCCCTGCTTTACCTTGTCACCAAAGCATACCTCTCGCGCAAAGTGATCAATGATCTACGCAAACAAGGACTGGTTTGTCACAGTGCCACCCACGAAGTTCCACTCTGCTGACAAGTGCAGCCAATGCCGCCGTTCAGCTGGATCGCGGGGCATATGCTGGTAATCAAGGAGTGTCTCGAGGACCTACCTGTTGATGCCGTCTTCAACTACACTGCTCGGCGCCTTTCTCTCGATTTTCCGAAACACCACATGTTCTACCTTGACTTCTGGCCAATCAGCACCCCGTTCCTTGTCGTGGCCAACCCGTTTGCCGCGTCGCAGATCACCCAGCAGCTCAATGCCCGCAAACCTGACGCCGTGGAAAGCGCATTCCAGTCGCTGGCCGGCGGTCCCAACTTGATAACCATGCCTACTGGCCCATGGAAGAAGTGGCGCTCTATTTTCAGTCCTGGCTTCAGTCCTGCCTACATGTTGGAGCAGGTACCCAAGATGGTTGAGAAGGCCGAGGTCTTTTGCCAACTGCTGCGTGAGAAGGCTGCCCAAGGCGCCGTGTTCCAGCTTGAGGAGGCTACGTTTCGTCTGACCATCGATGTCATTGGTCTGATCTCGCTGTGCGCCATCTCCGTCCTTTCCTGCCCTGTGTTTCCAACTACTGACATGCGCTGCAGAGACTCAGACTTCAACTACCAGACATCCGACTCCGAATTCCCCGCCACCCTCCGCTCCCTCATCGAATGGGCCACCTTCGGCGACGAAATCAACCCGCTCAAGCGCTGGAACCCCTACCGGCCCTTCATCTCGTGGTACTACGGCCGCCGCCTTGACACCTTCATCCACGCCGAGCTGGAGAAGCGCTTCGCCGAGCGCAAGCAATTCCTGCAGCCCGAGAAGCCGAAGGACCGCAAAGTCCGTTCCATCGTCTCGCTCGCCCTCGACAGCTACATGACCGAGCACCCTTCGGCCGAGTCCAGCCCCACCCTCGACCCGACCTTCAAAACCTACGCCACAGCCCAGCTCCGCCTCTTCCTCGTCGCCGGCCACGACACCACCTCCAGCGCCATGACCTACACCCTGCACCTCCTGCACACGCACCCGGCCTTCCTCGCCCGCGTCCGCGCCGAGCACGACAAAGTCTTCGGCCCCGACCCGTCCGCCGCCGCCGCCCTCCTCGCCGCCGACCCTTCCCTCCTCAACAAGCTCCCCCTCACGCTCGCCGCCGTCAAGGAGTCCCTCCGCCTCTTCCCGCCGGCCGGCGGCATCCGCATGGGGGCGCCGGACATCGTGCTGACGGCCGAAGACGGCACGCGCTTCCCGACGGACGGCTGCAGCGTGTGGGTCGTGCACGAAGCCGTGCATCGCAACTCAGCCCTTTGGCCGCGGGCTAACGAGTTTGTGCCGGAGAGGTGGGTGGCTAGGGGCGAGGAAGGGTACGACGAAGCGTTGCAGCCGCGGGTGAAGGGGGCATGGCGGCCGTTTGAGGTGGGGCCGCGGAATTGTATTGGGCAGACGCTCGCGTTGACGGAGATTAAGACGGTGTTGGTGGTGGTGTTGAGGAGGTTTGATATCAGGCCTGCGTATGAGGAGTGGGATGGGATGGATTCGAGGAGGAGGAGGAGGAGGAGGAGGGGAGTGAAGCGGGCGATGGGGGAGAGGGCGTATCAGGTTTCGGGGGGTGGGGGCGGGCAGCATCCGGCTGAGCGGTATCCGTGTCGGGTTTCGGTGAGGAGGTGAGGGTGGGAGTTGCTTTAGGAAACTTCGGCTGCTTTATGGCGGTTGAAAGATGACATTCGTTCCTGGAATCTACTTGATGCTTTGAATGTAAAATCCTTTTGTTTTACGACATTCCCAACGGCGAAGGACCCGCATCCCATGCAAAATGAACACCCTCAAAATGGCTAGCCAAGCCGGATGATCTCTTTTTTCAATAATATTTCCGTCTCTGGCTTCTCCTCCGGAAGATACTTGAACAATGGCATAATTGAGCCCTCCTCATCTCGCACCTGTAGAAAGACAGGTATATGTGCTGGATCGATCCAACAACATGCAAGCATTTCAAAATAATCGTCAAGCTTTTTGACGAAAATCACAAACCCTCGAGGATCCCCATTGCACTCCCCGATCATGAGGAGACCTTTGAGAGGACTTGAAAGTAACTCTCTCTCCTGGTCAGACCTATAACCAACCCGACTGAGAAAATATACACTCGGTTCGTCGTCCCCCCACTCTACATCAAGCCGACAGCCTTCCACTGAATCAACGATCACAATTGTACCGTACAGTCTCTTTAATTGACAGTGTACAATTGGTGCTTCGATCCGAATGAAACGACAAGTCGAATCTTTGAATATAAGTCTTTGCGCAATCTTTTGGAATTCTTTGCTGGAAAGACATATGTTTGAGCCGCCGTAGCTGCGCTCCAAGGGTTTTGGCACATCCACATCATCAACCGAGTTGAGAATCGAAGTAACCGTCGTATCGAGTTCAATCCAGATTCGCAGGTTATATTCTCGGACGAAACAATCCCAACAATCATTAAGATCGGGGCTTTTGCCTGCGCCCTTCCACCCGGCCCACGACCAACTCGGAAACTCCTCTCGTCTGTCGCTTTCGTATTGATTCAAGTATGTCATAATGCCGGATAGAAATCCTTCTTCCCAGCTCATGATCGTTCGAGGCTCGATGCGGAAGCGCTCGCGTAATATTGGGGACCCAGATAAATGGCCCACAAGCATATCTTGACCTTGCAGGTGACCCAGTATACCGGCAATGGCATTGACTCGATCGGATTCATATGTGAGATTGCGACGGTTAACATCAGTCAGATGTAGGAAGAGTGTACCTACTCGATACTTCCTGTTGTTCTCCAACACTTTCGCCAGATCACAATGTAGGCGACGATCTTCAGCCCTCTCTAAGTTTCGCAAGAAGTCTTCAATGCCGTATTCCCCGTCATCTTGCGTCTGATTGCAGCGGAAGAAAGACTGAGTGTCGGTGAAGAGTATGAATCTTCTCGATAAAATCTCTTCTTGATAGGTCCACGCTCGAGTGTGCCATTTTGATTCTGGGACACTAATAAAAGACGGTTGTATCGTGTCGCCACTGAAAAAAAGGCGGCCATTTATGACTGTGTAGGTTTGAGTTCGCGGAATGCTCATCCCCGGAATTCCGTGATCTGGGCAGTCGCCTGCTGCCGCGATAATGGTAACGTGGGATTGTCGGAAGATATGATGCATTTTGCCGACCTGGTCCATTTTCTCTTCTGGATCGTCCTGTCGAATGCAGTACTTGTCGACCCAGAGATATTCAATATCCAATTTCAGTGCAACATTCATCGCGTCCGCTATTGTCTTCGGCATCTCGGCTGGTAGTTTGTCTCCCTGTGCAGCACCCTGTGGACCGGTTCCCCAGACGTAAGAGAGAGCTGCGTACGGACCACCTTCTTGCAAAGCGTTGACAATGCGCCTTTCTCGGATTTTGATCAGCTTGAGTCCGGGGATGCTATCGCGATGCCAAGTTGCTGCACATTCGGGGCCATGATTGTGAGAACAATCTTCGATCCAAGATTTGAGGATTGCGAAATCAATCTTCCCTGCCACAAAGTTGCTCATGGTAGCAAATGGAATCTCCCAGAGACGGCTCGAGACACAATTTTTTAAGTCCACGATTCTTCCATCTTGAGTGTTTGCTAGACAGATACGGCGATTCTCCCGGCCGAGTAATTTTAAGTACCAGGGAGGCTGCTCCCGATTCCACCATGGCCATAGCACCCTGAGGAGACGGCAGATGCCGCACTCAGGATCAAGATCATATGAGGTGTCGTGTTGAAGAGGCACGTATTCGGGTGGGTCCTGCGAGGAAAACAGATTCGGCAAGTCGATATCCTCACACATTGGGCAGATATACAGTTCGTCCTTTCCGGCTTCGGATGATGGAGTCTCGTTGATCAGTGCACATGATATCTTCAAGTAGGCCACGGGTCAGCATGGTTACGGTTACTGAGATCTCATTGTGTCATTACACCTTGTACGTACCGTTCCAGGGGATTCCGGCTCGACTATCTCGTCCATACTGCTGAATAATTCGGCTTGTTGTAGGTGGTTGGAAGAAGCCATCTGGTCGGCCTCGAAAATTGTTTTTGGTGTGAATGTTATGTATCCTTTTAAAGTTAGGCGCAAGATTCTATTAGCGAAACGCAAAGAGTCAAACTCGTACCTGACCAAGTGAGCTTTTCGTTCAAGTATTGAAACGTAGGAAGCTTGGCCGTGTTCCGCTGAGACAATTGCAACGAAAAAACTTCTTTCGGATGCTTTAGATGGGGATTGGATATTTATGCGTCAAATCAAAATCCAGCGAGAAAGGCAAGCTACGTGTTCATTCCCCACTCTCAAAAACCGAGGTCACCATCCGTAAAGGTGTGGGGCCAGCGATTCAAAAGCCACTGACAAGACCAATGAGCTATTCAACACACTAGAGATCTGTAGCTGTCCTGCGTGTACCCTAGCCGACTCTGGATCTAGATAGTATCGTCTGCCCCACATAGCTTAATCCACCTCCACACGGCAGGTTTGTTTTTATGATTTGTGTTTGAGTACGGCCATCATGCAATGAAAAATAACAATGCGCAGATCCATAATTTTATTGCTACATTCAAAAATACGTGTATCGCGATAGGTGATACAAATCTTTGCTTCAGTTCTCCGGTCTTGATATCGAAAATTTTAAGCGCTTTGCCTGAGTCGATACGCCGCAAAGATCGTCGTGTTGGCTGCGGCACAGCGGGGCTTTCCCCGGATGTGGATCCAATCAATAAACTTTTTCATTACACATACCAGGGTGTCACATAACATTAGCGAGACTGCTGCTGTTCAGTTTTCCCGCCCCTTTCCAACCCTTAGCTTCCCAAGAAACCTATAGCGCCTGACAAGTGTCAGGCCCACTACTCTCAGCTACAGATGCCCCCAGGTATAGCGTGGCCAAGTAGCCATGCGCTAGCCAACATAAGCAAGAGGAGCGCACCAGCCGAGTTCCACCAGCAGTGGCGCAATCCCAGCGACATTTTCTCGCTTCTTCTAATCATCGGCCCGGACATCATCAAAGCCGCACTTGCACAGCAAACCGGATACCTCGTCACGCCTGCTGTCTTTTCGTTCGGCTGGATGGCCTATGCATTTAATACGTTGCTTTCTGTCTTTGGCGGTATGCATGCAGTCGTTTCGAGATTCATGAACCCTGCTGATGATCAAAAGATGGCCGCATGACACCCAGTCCCGACTTCCCGGCGCAGCTCATCAGTGCGAAATTCTCTCACGTGAGAGAAAACAAGTCCTGGGTTATCGGAAGGCTTCTCCGAGATCTTGAGCTTTCTCGAGCCGAGGCCGGCTTGTTTGAAACGGACAACAACGAACAGAACGAGCCATTTAAGATCGAGATATTTTCGATCGACCAAAACGCGACGCAAGGAGAGATCAAACGAGACCTCGTATGGTACTCTGGCTTCTTCGTCATACTTATTCAGATCGTTGTCGCAATTGTGCCGATCATTACAAAACGGAACTGGGCGCCTATTATCATAACCGGCGGAGGAACCCTTCTGGCTCTTCTTCAAGGTGCGATTCCGCAATGGAAGAAAGAGAAATGGGCTTGGGCAAGGAAAGGCGGGGACACGGTTAGCATCACGCAGGGGAATGGAAGTCGATATGTTATGGTTATTCTCGGAGAAGAGCACCCACTCACGCAGGGTTCGGGGCGCTACAAGGCACCAAATCTGGAGATGCTGGCTGCCGGCAGCCAGCGGCTCAAGGTTTCATTGATCTCCCGTGCATCGAGCGTAATGCTGGCGGTGCTCTGGGTAATCCTTCTCATCTCTGTGACAGGCTTGGAAGAAGATACTTGGTGTAAGTGACGCTTGAATATTGACAAGTTACAACCATCGACTAATATTTTGCTAGATCTCATGGCGGTTGGTCTACTGGGAATGATCCACAGTATATACGTTGCTGGGGCAGCTCGCGACTCCAGCGCATTGGGAATCCATCTCGTGAAAGAGAAAATCATTGAAACGAACAAAGTAGCCGAGGCTCTGCAGAGGTTGGAAGCAAAATTCCCATTGGTGGGGTCATCTTTGATCCCTACCTTCTTCCCAGGTGGCATGTGGATCCCCACAGAACAGGAAGGGTTCTGGGACTGTGCTGCTCAGCGGCGTGGGTTACCAGGATATAAGCAACTGGACATAATAGTAAAAGAGCTGCCTAAGAGGGAGTCCTTGAGTGGGTAGATGGTCGTTCCACATGGTTCGTTCCATTCTTGGTTTATCGATGATCAGTCAGTCTGACTTGAAAGTAATTGCTTCAGCATGATGACACTCGCTATAATAGTAGGTAGTGATAATGCGCGTGCACGTCACGCTTCGGGATGCGGCCCGAAGCGCGGAATTCGATCCCGTCCTTACGCCCGGCTTGTAATCCCGCTATTTACTTTTGTGTTGCAATGCTTCGCCCTCGTGAAGAAAATATTGCAAGTACAAGCAGGCGATATCGAGAAATCACTGTCGATCTCGAAACCTGCCATTTACCTTACTCTTAAAAGCCCGTTCACCCATGCGGATATTGCTCAAGGCTCTCACCAGCGTGAGCTTCAAAGTCACCGTAGCCTGATTTCGTCCTTTCTGAAAGCATTATCATTCAAAGCTCGACCTTTTCACAGACCCATGAGGCTGTCATAGAACCTTAGAT